CTTTTATAAGAGCTAGAGAGAGGCCTTTGTTCATCTCCCAGGTGACAATTGCATATGAGGAGGTGAAACGTTTCCAATCTGGATGAGAGGGAACAAAAACTTGCTTGTATTTGTCCCCTGTTTCATTTTTGCACTACATATGACACAAGTTGCTGTACAACAGAATTAGGTACAAAAAGTGCTTTGTTTTGGCACTGATGTCCATGGTGGAGAGCCATCCAATAGCATGTCATACCCCTGAATTCACTTACACAGACTTTAGTGATTAATTTGCACTTTTACATGAATCTAAGGGGAGATCCATGAGTTGGACTGAAGGCACATCTTGGCTTGCACAGCTTGGTATTTGCAAAATAAAATACATTAAAAGGTCTTTCTTATGCCACAGTATCCTGCAACAGTTGAAAGACTAAACAAAAAAATAGATTTCTCAGAGAACTCTTCCTCATGTTTAGTTTTATTAAGAAATGAACTAGAGAGCCATGAGTTTTGCAGGTGACTGATGTCTGCAACTAAGTGGCTTGTTGCTCTCTGTAAGCCAACTTATTAAAAAGTAAAATATTTAATATCTTTGAAAACAGTAAAGATTTATGTCAGGAGGACATCTTTGGAAGGTCCTTGAACACATTACTGTTACAGTCTTAGAAAAAAACTGATGTTCTATGTAAAGTGGCTGTGTGTAGAACACATATGTATACCTGTTTTTACAGCCATGATTAACATGGAGAAAATTAATGAAAATCAAGATATTATCAGACAGTAATAACCCTATTACTGTCTTCAGTAATAACCCTATTACTGTCTTCTGGAAAAACACATACCCCCCATGGAACAACATTTTAAAATCAGTGGTGCTACTTCTGCTGTTAAGTCAGTGAATACTGTGTGTGCCAAGATTCACAGTGACATAAGACTTTCCAACATAAGCGTCCTCCCTATTACATCTGAGTTGCTTCAGCCAAAATTTAAAAATAACATAAGAACTTTACTGCATTTTGGTTCCAGTCTGGAAAATATAAAGAGTTGATGGAAGAAGTCTACAGTCTTACATTTTAGAAAGTAATTAAAGACATCAAAAGGTTTTCATATGTGGGCAGTATGATGTGCTTCTCTTACTCTTTTTAGCCTTCTGTCACCTGGTATAGATTTGAATAAGGCAGACTGTTACAGAACAGCAGCCAGAAGTTTACCATTCATTATTACCCTCCTCCTCAGCATACCTTCCCTACATTTGGGAAGTATTTTTATTAAAATCCAGAGTTTTAATAGGGGATAACTACAGAAGACAGAATGAGCCTCAAAGACTATGGCTGAAATAAGTGTGACCTGAACAAAAAAGTTTGAAGTGCAGCAGTAGACAGCATGATTAGGAGTAAATGAATTATTACTTTGGGTCGTGATTTCCAACATAAGTTTCTGTAACCAGCAGTTTACACATTGGCAGTGACAACCTGCTCTGGCTAAAACTTGGCATAACAGTTGAAATGTTGAAGACTGCCAGTAAATAGATATTTTCAACAGGAATTGTGAAATTTAGATGTATTTTTGAAAGAGTGACTTAACAAAATACGCTATGGAACAGAACAGCTGTGTTTATGTTTTGCACTTTCTTTGGTTTCAATCCTGTAGAAAATATATCTGATGTGATACAAGGCAAGCAGTTGCTGAAGGTAAGCCCTATATGTCTTCATATGTCACCTGTAGGTGTGCACTTGGAAAGCAGTAAAGTAAAATAGCATGGCATAAGCTAATTCATATTAATGATAAGAATACAGACTCCTTTTTAAACCATCTTCCTGTCTTTGTTTCCACTAAATTCTTTAATTTCCAGAGAATGGGATATTAATGCAGAACAGCATCATTCATAACATAACATACAAAATAACCATCTAATTTTTTTCGTTTGTTTTAAGAAAAGTTTTCTCAATTCTAGTTTACCTTTCAACTTAATAACATAGTATGAAATGTTGTGAAACCTGGGTGCCAATGCGATAAGGTTTTGAGTGGTCAAAATAGAGCACTCTTCATGGAGAACAAACAAGAGAAAGCAGATTTATACCTGAGCCTCTGTTTTCTGATTTTCCATCTTTTCTGCTGCCCATAAAGAAATGTTTTATATTCTTGTCTACTTCAGACACTTAGCTCTTTGTAAAAAAGTTACTTGTTGTGAGAAAGTAAAGACAGCTAGTTACCTCTTTACCTGTAGTCTGTGCATAGAATTGTTTCCCACACTTGGGTGGCTCAGTAACTGTTGTACTTGATTAGATTTGCTTGATTTACAAGTGAAAATTTTTCATCCAACTGCAAAAATCATGCATATTCATGCTGAGCTCTCTGAGTCATCTATCATAAAGAACAATAAAAATGTTCATTTGAATAAATGAGCAAAATTAATAACATGAAAAGAATCACTTATGCCTAATTATATAATGTTGACAACTATATATTTGCAGTTACATTACTGTTGAGGATCATTAAGAGTAAAGCTTTAGGATTCTAATACAGTGAAGGACTTAAGTTTAAGAGGAACATAGTGGCTATGGTGAAGTCATATTTTATATCTTGATGTTTTTTCCTTTAAAAAAAATCTATCAAAGCACCTTTTTCTTTGGTAATGGCTAAACAGCATTGTTGCAAAAAGAAAGGAACACTAATATTTTTTCCCAACTCTTTTAATTGTGTATTTTATCCAGACTTGGAACAATCTTGAGCTAGAGTAAATGTACAAAGTCTTGCAAAAGGCAATTGAGCTGTGACCATGTCAGTATTTCACTTCATACAGTTACTCAGCTTCCTGCTATCTGGATTTTATTACTTTCCCTGGGATATTAATCTTCATTCATAGCTGTAAATAGTTTCAAAGTTCTTGATGTGACTGTGTTCAGTCAACAAGAAGCTCGCATCTGTCCCCACTTGTCTTTGCTTGGGTCCATCTCAGGAAGTGAGAACAAAAAAAGTGGTCAAAACCCCCAGATGAGATAAAACCCTAAATGTACAGAAAATATTTATTACAGCCTTTCATTTAAACACTGGACAAATATTAGCAAAGGTCACTCTGGAAGGTCAGAGTTAGAGGAAGGTCCATTCAAACTCCTAAGGGCTACATAGTGCTCAGGCAGAGCTGGAGTCAGAACAAGGAATTGCTCGGCTCCTGTCCTCAGATTTAGACTTTTGTAATGCAGTTGTTATTCCTGGTGGATGGGGCACTAACATTAATATTAGAGATCTACCAGACCAAATAGAAGGGATGCTTGATGGTTCAGGAATAAACCTTTGTCGTAGTCAACTCATTTCATTTGTATCTGTGGGCAGAACTGAGGCTTAAGGATGAAACTAGATGCAGGGAATATGGGAGCATTCCAAATCAGTATCACATGTGACACAAAGCAAGCAGTTTGCCTCAGTACTTTGCCAGCATCAGTGGCTAAACTTGAGGATGCCAGAGTATTTTTGAACTCCATCCCGTTCACATTTCAACTCTTGGTGTCTAGGTAGTAGAGACAAGGTATGCTGGAATTTTTGTTTGTTTTGGTGTCTAAATACATTACTGTGGGTAGATGGTTTAGTGTACAAAGGAAGAGATTTCCACATAAAATGGAAGAATAGATATGCAGCTTGGTTTTGCTTGGAAGGGACCTAATCTGAGACTATAAGGGGAAGTGTGAGTAAGCAGAGAAAGGAAACATGGCTTTTGGATGGGCATCTCTTTTAACCCTAGAAAATTACATTGTAGATGCACAATCCCTGAAGTTGACAGATGCATTTAAGCATGACAGTCTTCGTTATCAAGTTGTTAGGATAATTAATGTAATTCTACTACTTCATTTGCTGACCAAACAACTTAATACATGATTTTTAGGCATTCTGAGAAACAAGGTGAAGACAGGTTTGAACGTGTTTCCTGTGGATCTTTAGAAAGCTAGCCTGCCTTACATGTGTATAATTTATTGCTTGTACATTTAATCATTTTCCCAAATATCAATCACCTGGCAACTTCACTGTTTCTCAGTTTATTCCTCTAGCGCTTCTCTTGCAGAGTTCAGCCCATAATAACCATTTTATATCGACAGATATTTGCATTTGTGTGAATACTTGAAAAAAACCACCAAAAATATTTTAGTCCTAACCTTAACACAAATTTACAACTCCTGAAAGAGTTCACCATTTACAGTGCCTGAACCTATTGCAGCCTAATACAGCTCATACAGAAGCAGAGTGCAGTTTGGGAGCAGGAGGATTGCTAACCAGTACGCTCATACATGCACCAGACTTGTGATGGCAAAATTAAACTTCTGGTGTCTTGCAGAATGCTGTGTTCTACCATAAAGCTGATACATTAAAGGTAGTCAATAGGTAAAATCTACTGCTATGCTTTTGTTTCAAAAATCAGTTATAGAGGCACTTGCAACTATGTATCTCCAAACCTTTTAATGTAAGAATTAATGCCTGCCGAGAGCACCAGAATGTTTACGTAATGTAAAATACAACATGCAAAATATTCAGATGTACCTTTTTTTGAAAAGATCTTTAAAAAATTGTGTCATTTCATAGAGCATTATCTCTCGTAATAGGTGGCACATTCTTTTTCCATCACCATGTCCTGTTGCTCACATTAGACAACCCTTACTAGGAAGAAATGTGCACAAACCAGGTTTTCGTGGTGCTCTCCATGAACTTGCTGTTTGTTTGTTTTTCAAATGTTGAAAGTCTTATTTGTGCAAGGAATCTTGCTCTGATGTATTTGTGAGTCTTTGGAGAGTTACAGGTCGAGTTAGGTTTTGTGTTTTTCTTTTTCTTTTCAGCAAACAGCTCTTTCTTTCTTAGTGTCTTGGCAATGTACAGAGGATTTGTGCATTTCTGTACAATTTATGCCCAATGGTATAATGGGGTTGAAAAGATTTATACTCTTGTGTTGGAAACATAATGTTTCACAATGTCCACACACCTACACTTTTTCTAATCTTTGTGGTTTGTTTACTTATTTATTTATTTTCTTCTAGAATGGTTGCCTGGGGAAAACAGCACTGCTGTGTTGGTGGAATACAGGACATTTTTTTGAGATTCAGGATTTTTCAAGCAGTCCTTTTACTTCAGTTGTTCCTGGCTACAGCAGGCAAAGGTAAGAGAATTTTTTCCTCATGTGTCTAGTGTTGGTATTTCAAATAAGTCACATTCATCTTGATGAATAGGACTTTTGAATGTATTCAGAACAGGCAAGTTTTTGCCCTCCTGAATTCAAGAGGAAAAACTGTCACTAACAAGAAATGAAACAGTTGGTGCTTTGCATTTTGGATGCTTTTATGTTTTCATAAAAGATCATTGGTAGTAACTTCTTTTGGTTATGATTGAGGAGGTAACAAAACCACAATATGACATAGCAAGACAAATTATTTTCTTGCTGTTTTTTTAAACTGCAAGTGTTCTTATTTTCAGAACACATTTTTAAATCTTTTAGGCTGTTCTTACAAAAACACCACAAAATTCTTTGAGCTTCACTCTATTTAGGGTGTGTATGAGCATAGAACATCTGCATTCTCTTGATCTGAATATGGCTAAGGAGAAAGTAGTAAGGTCCAAAATGTGTAACTGAAATGACACATTTGAACTTGGCAATTTATACTCTTTCTATAACAGTAAATGAAAAATAACTTCGTAAGGTTCTTGTATAAGTTGGATAAGTTCTGTCATGCTTTTGTGTCAGGTAAAGTAGAATAAAGTGAGGTAAAGTAATTCATGTTTTCTCATGGCTATTCTGTAAACTGATGGTTAGACTGTCACCACTCTGGACCCCAGCTGATAGAGATAACAGTGCTTGTGATTTATAAACTTTCTGTATATCGATAGCGTGTAATACATTTATCATGTTAGCAATGTGCTTGAGGTATTAAAAAATTGGAAGTGTTTTTTGCAATGTACTTAATATTAGTTTCAGAAGCTGCTTCCTGTGTCATGGCATGTTTTTACTCCAGAAGGTCGGAGCTTCTTTCAGTTTGAATTTACTACTGGGGTTTTTTTAAATTTAAATATACCTGCTTAATGACATTGTACAAGCAATGAGGTTTCTTAGGTTTAGTGACTAGACAAATTCTGATTCTAATTCTCCAAATATAGTCATTTTCATAAAGTCATTTGCACAAAATGATTTTATTGAGAGAGAATCTGAGATTCAGGTGATAAAACTGCTACTAAGATGTAGAGGTTTTAATGTCTTGTGCTTCAAATAGTAAAAAGGACAGAGCTGCTCAGCAGGTGGACAGATGTCAGAGAAGAGTTCTGAGGAAGGAAGCAAAGAGGGATTTTGTTTTTCACCTCTGTATCAGTTGCAAATGTCAGAAATCCTTCAAGAAAAGCTAGACAGACACAAGGCCATATTTATGGTTTCATCGTATTTTACTGGTTTTTTTGGTTTTAGGCTAAGTACTGTCAGCAGCATCTCTATTCAGTTTTGTCATCTGAAGTGCCAAAGTATGTGTGTTCTCCAAAAAATACGGAGAAGAACTGCTTGTGTTTTTTCTGATGCCTAGGACACTGAAAAACATGGCATAGTTTATCCCCAGATAAACAAATACAACTGTGAATGAAAGGAGGGATTAAATTAATTTTGAGGAAACAGTTCGTAGCTTCAGATTTCCAAATGTTCAGCAGAATCAAGTGGCCCACATGTAGAAAGTTTAGAGTTTTAAACTTTTTATAAAGAACATTTATGAGCTCTAGATGGAATATATTACTATACAAGATTGTTTTGACGTCATTTTAATGGTCTGTGGCAAGCCAAATGTGTTACAGGTGGCAAACACTTGCAAGGAAGTTAATGACTGTTGTTACTGGTAAAAAGCCAGATTGTGCAGACACATAAACTTGTGACTATTTTTTTTCAATAGAATACTTGACTGTATTAATGCTCAACTATACTAACACAGTGGTTAATAGTAATGTGAGTAATATAAGGAAATATAAGGAAAATAACACTAGTACTAATGTATTGAGAGGATCTGCTCCTGGATGTGTAATTCTTAGTACCTATGGTTGGCTATCTCTTGTAAAGACATCAGTTATCACCATCTAAAAATGTTTCAAACAAAAATGTTTGAAGAAAATAAAGATATTGCGATTTTGTTTGTTTTCATTCTTAGAAAGTTTATTTTAAACATTTCAAAGTATGCACATCTGTTTCAGGATTTCTTTTAGGGCTTAAGAGAACATACTTACTAAGTGGATGCTTTTATTTCTGGTAAGGTTAAAACCCCCAACTTTTGCATCTGTTAGAGTTAAATATAGGAAAAAGAAAAAATTCTCATTTCTGAAAGGGCTGATGTGCCCAAATACAGCAAATGACATTGAAAAGTCATCCCATGATTACTATTGCATGGAGTTTCCTTCACTCCAAATTGTAATTTTATTTTTTTTCCCCCTCACTAATTTTTCTTACTCTGGAGATGTTTGGAGCATTCTTCCTACTATGCTACCTTTTTTGTGCTGTGGTGATAAGGGTGTGTTCATAGATACTTTTCTGAGTGTATTGTATTGTCTGGACCCAAGGAAACTAATTATTAAAGTCTGGAATGCCACAGAGTACAGCCAGTTCCAGCTCCTCGGTTCCATGGTCAAGGGTGGGCCACAACCCACAAGTACCATTACTAGAGAAAATAAGTGATGATTAACAGAACTTACAAAGGCTTTAATGTAAAGTCATCTCCTACTTACATGGCATCCACCCACATATCAAAGAGACTTAACCAAGATAATACTGATAATAAATTTCTAACATAATGCTGTACTGCATGTGTTCCACTTGTAGCAGCAAAGTGCATTTGCTGGCTATGGTTATGATTTCCTCTGTGCTTTTTCCGCATTCTTTGGGTAGATAAAGCATATGAAATTTTCCAAGCCTTTCTTATAACAATTCAGATAGTGTTAGTATCTGTTATCTTAATTTTGGCACTCCTTTTTGGCACTTTTTTTTTATAACTGTTTAGAGCAAAGTGGGCCGGCCTTTCCAGTTTCCAGAAGGTTAGACCTCTCTATGTAAATGCTTTTGTTACTTTAAAGTCATTCTTCGGTCCTTGTGTATTGATCAACAGGAGTCTTTGAATTATGTAAAGCAGACCAGAAGAATCATCATCAAATTGTTGTCATTTTGCATGATTTCTGTTTGCTACCTGTCTCATGACTTTTTTCATCTGCAAGTCTGTGCCCACTCTGCCTCCCTTGACAACTTTGAAGTGTCAGTTTCCCTAAATAATGTAATAGGATTTAGCAGCCCTTTAATTCATTATTGGCACATCAACACTGATTTAATCCTTAACATGAAATCAAGCCTCTCTCACGATTTTCTCACTTCCAAAGTAAAGTCTGATGATGGTATTTCAAGTTTTGGTTAATATTTTTGCTCAGAAATAGTTTTCCAGTCTGTCAGTTTGGATACTTAACAATGACTTCAAGTTTTGAAGCTGTGTCAGGAAACTTCCTTAACCAGTCACTTTGGCCATATCTGCATGCTCAAGAGTGCTTACAGGAATTTTGGAAGCTATGTGAGTCATGCAAGTATATTTCTGACATATACTCTGAGGAACAGCAGCTGCATCAAATTTTTCAAAACCTTCAGCAGAATTCCCACTTAATAATGAAAGACTTGAGCAACTATTTTTATTTGGAGAGACTGTGTCACAAGTGTTGGCATATAACTAGCTAGCTGTTTCCTTTAAAAAATCAGTTTCCTCATGATCTGTCCCGCTGTAAGGTGGCAGATCTATTTTAATTGTAGTAATCTTTTTACTAAAAATGGAAGGTACATTTGAGCCTGTATCTAAAAATCTTGTCTTCTGTGACAATTTCCCCTTCCATCCACTCTTCATCATCCCAGCTTTTAAGCTGTTTTAAAAATTGGTTTTCCATGCTTTTTCCATGCTTTTGCTTTTAGACTCTGACAAGTGGCCAAACTCAATGAGTGAATTCAGGCTGTAGGGTTGGGCAGAGGGGAAATAATTTTGCTGATTGCTGTTGGGTCAAGTATGTTTTGCTTTTCCATTGCCACTTAGAACCAATCTAAGTATTATCTCACCATTCAAAATCCACTGTCTGCTGGTTAGGATTTTCACCTAATTCAGTCTGTACTCAGAGAATTTTTTGTTTGGTCTGTAGCCTTGGTCTGTAGCATAGCATTTACATGATGTATGTTGAACTTCAGGAATGATTCAAGGTTGTGAAAGGTTTTTGCTAATTAGTGTCTTTAAGCTCTAGTATGCAACAAGAATAGATATTGATGACTTTTACATGTAACTGGATCGATATATTTTGTGTTTAGAATGTTTTCTGGTAGCTTGTACCTATCAAGCTGCATTTGGAAGTTAAGAACTTTCTCCTTGTTTTCATTTGTTGCTGTCGAAAAAGAAATTTGAGAGCCCTGAGGTCAAGAGAAAGAAAAGTTGTCAGAATTGGCCTGATGAAAGATGGTGCTCTGGTTGCTTGAGATTACGGAAGACCTGGCTGTGATCTTGACAGCTAACTAGGGCTATAACTTACCCTGGAAAAAAACCCTGATCCAAATTGCCTGGAAGTTTGTGTTCTTACAGGGGAGCTAATGGAAAAGCTTTTTTCCCCTATGTTAACCAATTTTTTTTCTGCTTTCAAACCCTGACCAATCATGATTAATCCCAAACCTCCTCTGGAGCATTCATAAAAGGTCTGCTTATATTGATAAATAATGACCTCCTTAAAGATGTCAGTAATGTGTTCTCTTGCCCTGGCTGAGCATTTACCAGACTGTTTCATTTTTCTGTAGTTCCACTTCACCTTCCAAAGGACCATTTTCTTATTTTGTTGTTGATGTGTGCACCCTAAAAGCAAGCAATCATGATAATGATTATGTGATTGGAATGTGTGTATTTCCACAAAATGAGAGTCAGCTCCAAAGAGCCGACATCTACAGCCACAAAAGTCTGTCCTTTCCTGTATTGGGACAATGGAGGAAATGAGGCACCTACAAGCACTGAACAGTGTTTGAGGCATTATCTGGAGCTACTTGTTTTACCATTGACAGAGCCCGGCACATTGTTTTTTACCAGTAAATTTACTGTTGACACCTCAAATTCTATTTATAATCCAAGTTGAACTCCAGGTTGCCACTGTCTTAAGGACACATATATTTGAGATTCACAGACCAGATATCTCTGCAACCAAGTTCTCTGATAGAGAGCAGGGAATGGGGGCTGAATTTAAAATAAACCAGTGGCTCCAAAACAAATTTTCTGTAAGTTGCCTAAAGTCATTCTCTCTAGAACATGGCTGGTTTTCACCTATTTTGCTGTAACTGCCAGTATTCAGGTGAGGATTTAAGAATCTCAAGGGTGGGGAAGGAATCGTATAATCATAGAATGGTTTGGGTTAGATGATCATAAAGATCATCTCGTTCCAACCACCCTGCCATGGGCAGGGACACCTTCCACTAGACCACATTGCTCAGAGCCCCATCCAACCTGAGCTTGAACACTTCCAGGGATGGGGCATCCACAACTTCTCTTGCCCCAGAGCTGGATGCAGCACTTCAGGTGGGGTCTCTCAAGGGCAGAGTAGAGGGGCAAAATCTCCTCCCTTGACCTTCTGGCCACACTGCTTTTGGTGCAGTCCAGGATATGAGTGGCTTTCTGGGCTGCAAATGCACATTGCTGGGTCATGTTGAGCTTCTCATCAACCAACACCCCTAAGTGCTTCTCCTCAGGGTTTATCTCAATCCATTCTCTGCCCAGTCTGTATTTGTGCTTGGGATTGCCCTGAACCAGATACAGAACCTTGCACTTGGCTTTTGAACTTCATGATGTTTGCTCAGGCCCATCTTAAAGCCTGTTAAGGTCCCTCTGGATGGCATCCCTTCCCTGCGGTGCGTCGACCACACCACACCACACCACACCACACCACACCACACCACACCACACCACACCACACCACACCACACCACACCACACCACACCACACCACACCACACAGCTGGGTGTTGTTGGCAAACTTGGTGAGGGTGCACTTGATCTCACTGCCCTTGTCAGGTGTTAAGCAGTTCTGGTCCCAGTACCACCCGGAGGAACACCACTAGTCGCTGGTCTCTCCATGGACATTGAGCTGTTGACCACAATGTTTTGAGTGCAACTATGCCAGCCAATTCTTCATTCACTGAGTGGTCCATCCATCAAATCCATGTTTTTCCAGTTTAAAGACAAGGATGTCACGTGGCACAGTGTCAAATGCTTTGTAAAAGTCCAGGTAGATGACATCAGTTGCTCTTACCTCATCCACTAATTCTTTAACCCTGTCCTAGAAGGGCACCTCAGGCATGATTTGCCCTTAGTGAAACCATGCTGATGGTCCTCAATCACCTCCTTCTTTTCCATGTGCCTTAGCATAGTTTCCAGGAGGATCAGCTCCATGATCTGGCTGGCCACAGAGGTGAGACTTACTGGCCTGTAGTACCCTGGGTCTTTTGTTTTACCTCTTTAAAAATGGCACAGAGAAATATGATCTTGTTCAGAGGAGGAGGATGCAAGACTGAGACATAAGAAGGCAGTAAGGGCTATAGTGCTGCCTTCTAGCTCTGTTTCTGTATTTTATCCAGTATCTGTTAAATGCAAAATATCTGTGCAGTCCTGGGTATAGGACACACAACCTGTGATTTTCTTTTTGCCTCCCACTTGTCATTTCTTAGATTCTTAGAGGATCTTAGAAATTCCTTAGATTGCTACATTTTAGTTGGTCATGGGTCGGTTTATGCAACAGAAGGCCTTCTGACGACAGATGGGGTACACATGTCTCAAAGTGGGAAAATGATCTTTGCATTGGAATTAGCAGTGCTTATTGGAAGAGCTTTAAACTAGATTTGAAGGCAGAAAAGGCTAAAAAACAGGATCACTAGAAAAGTCTCGGGGCAGCACATCAATATTTGAGGGATTGTGTGCTAGCAGCATCCTTTGGTCTGCCATCTCAGTGGAAGCAGGGGAGGGAGATCCCTACAGCATTATTATGTGTTAGAAAGCATGGAAGTGCCTGGGAATGATCATGGAGGAACCAGGGCTCCTCCCTCCAAAGAGGTGTCAGGATGAAAAGCAAAACTAAAGTGCATCCACACCAACACATGCAGCGTGGGCAACAAAGAGGAGAAGCAGGAAGCCATTGTGGAGCAGGAAAATGATGACACAGCTGCCATCACAGAAACGTGGTGGGATGCCTCACACCCGGAATGCTGCAATGGATGAATATAAACCCTTCAGGAGGGACAGGCAAGGAGAGGCAGTGGGGTAGCTGTGTTGCATTAGGAGTGTTTTGATTGTCTGGAGCTTAATGATGGTGACAGTAGGGTTGAGTGTTTATGGGTAAGAGTCAAGGGGAAGGCCAACAAGGCCTTTGAAGACCTCCCAAGGTGGGAGTCTGTTACAGACCACCCAACCAGGATGAAGAGGCAAATGAAATATTCCATAAGTACCTAGGAGAAGTCTCACGATCGCTGGCCCTTGTTCTCATGGGGGACTTCAACTTACCAGATGTCTATTGGAAACATAGCAGAGAGGAAAGAGTTGAGGAAACAGGCCAGGAGGTTCCCAGAGCGCTTGGAAGGTGACCTGACACAGTTGGTGAGGGAGCCAACTAGGAAAGATGCCCCACTGGACCTGTTGTTTGTGAACAGAGAAGGGCTGGTGTGATGGTTGGAGAATGTCTTGGGCAAAGTGATCACAAAAGTATAAGAGTTTTTGATTTTTTGAGAAGTTGACAGAACTGCCACCTTGGGCTTCTGGGGGGCAGACTTTGGCTGGTTTAGGAAATTGATTGACAGAGTCCTGTGGGAGGCTAGTCCTAAAGGGCAAAGGAGCTCAGGAAGGCTGGACATTCTTCTTCAAGAAGGAAATCTTAATGGGACAAGAGCAGGTTAAAAGATGGGCCAGAGGGGAAGACAACTGGCCTGGCTCAACAGAGACCTTTGTCTGGAACTCAGGAAAAAAGGAAGAGTTTATGACACCTTTGGAAAATGGGTCAGGAAACTCAGGAAGACTACAAGGATGTCATGAGATTATGCGGAGAGAAAAGTAGAAGGGCTGAAACTCAGCTAGAACTTAATCTGGCCAGTGCTGTGAAAGACAATAAAAAATGTTTCTATAAACACATTAGCAACCAAACGGCTAAGGAGAATCTCCAGCCTTTCTTGGATGAAGGGAGAAAGATAATGACATAGTCTGAGGAAAAGGCTGATGCCTTCATGCCTTTGCCTCAGTCGTTATTAGAAAGACCAGTTGCCCTCTGGATACCCAGTCCCCTGAGCTGGACAGAGAGGGATGGGGAGCAGAATGAAGCCCAGGCAGTGCTGCATACAGGCTTGGGGAAGAGTGTCTGGAAGACTGCCTGACAGAAAAGGACCTTGGGGTGTTGATCAACAGCTGTCTGGACGTGAGCCAGCAGTATGGCCAGGTGGTCAAGAAAGCCAATGGCATCCTGGCCTGCATCAGCAATAGTGTGACCAGCAAGACCAGGGCAGTGATTGTCCCCCTGTACTCAGAACTGTTGAGACCACACTTCAAATCTTGTGTTCAGTTTTGGGCCCTTCATGGTACAAAAGACACTGAGTTGCTGGAGCATGTCCAGAGAGGGGCAACAGAGCTGGTGAAGGGTCTGGAGCACAAGTCTTATGAGGAGCATCTGAGGGAGCTGGGGTTGTTGCACCTGGAGAAGAGAAGGCTGAGGGGAGACCTAATTGCTTACAACCTGACAGGAGGTTGCAGCGAGATGGGGGTTATCTCTTCTCACAGGTCACAAATTATAGGACAAGAGCAAACGGCCTCAAGTTGTGCCAGGGAAGGTTTAGGCTGGATATTAGGAAAAACTTCTTCATGGAAAGGGTTGTCAAGCATTGCACCGGGCTGTGCAGGGAAGCTGTTGAGTTACCATCCCTGACGGTGTTCAGAAGACATGTAGATGTGGCATTTAGGGACATGGTTTAGTGGTGGACTTGGCAGTGCTGGATTAGCAGTTGGACTTGATAATCTTAGAGGTCTTCTCCAGCCTAAACAATTCTGTGGTTCTACATGGTCATCCTTGGTCTTGTGCCTGAGTTTCACTTCAAAGCTTTCATGAGCAGCTAGGATTTATTGACTGCCTCCAAAACTGTCACTTCCCTGTCACAAAAAAAAAAAATCCCCAAAACCACCACCACCACCAAAAACCAAACCAAAAAACCCCAAACCAAAACAAACAAAAAAAACCCACCAAAAGAGTAGATTACAAGGTTATTTCTTAATGCATTTTTTTCAAGACTCCTACATAAATGCCTAGGAACAGTACTATATGGAAAAATAACATCAGTATAAAAGATACTTTTAAAAACAAAATAATTTTACAAATCACCTTTTCTTTATTTAGATCAGGAGGATTTCCTGGGGCGATATAAAGCTGTCTTTAGGACTGCATGTGAAGATCCTTGGATTATGTCATCAAGAATTTCTCTGCATCCCTTGAAAGAATTCCTTGTCTGTGTGGACCTCAAACTGTATTCATCACATAATCCATGGATAGCATATGTATACACTCAAGAAGCACCTCACACCAATGTCTCTACAAATAAGTACGATCTTGGACTTGCGGGAGATCGTGGCAAATTGAGCATATGGTTGTTTGGAAATCAAATAAATAAAACAGCAAGACTTCATGAAAACACTTGGAACCAAATATGTATCCAGTGGAAAAGTGACAATGAGGAGATGAAGGTATTCATAAATGGAACAAAAAAATTTTACAAAAAACTAAGGGGGAAAGTTCATTTGCCCGGAAAAGGCCAGTTCTTGCTTGGCTGTTCAAAGCTGCGAGGTGCAGCTGCATCACCTAACCAGGGTATGAGTGGGGAACTGTACATGTTCAGAATGTGGGACAAGGCAAATATAACACAATCTGAGGACTGCCAGGATAGTGGTGTTATAGGCTGGAGAAAGGAGGATTGGACCTATACCACCACAGTAGAAGAGGATAACTCTTTGCCATGTGGTAAGTACCATTGCATTGCTTTTGAAATAGTGGTTTAGTCAAAAGTTTCTCTTCCAGATTTTACGAAGTCTCAATCTATTAATCATTCCTAGCTAAATTCTTAATGAGAACATGTGAAGACCTGTGGCTTTTGCTAGCTTTTATCCAAATGAAGAAGCACAGCAGCAGTTCTTTACAAACTTTCAACTTGCTTCAACTTTTGTGTCTATCTGCTGTCCATGTAATATGAGAGCAGGATGCATGCAACCCAAACATGTATCAATGTCATCTTAATTAATTTACACACCTTCTGTACAGGGAATAAATACAGAGGAAAGCATTGCTGATCCTTAATTGTGCGCATTTGCTGGGCCAGAATTTCAAGGAGTGTAAGTTTTTGCTGCTTCACTGGCACATTACACCATCTTCAGCTGGTATGGTCTACATCTGTAAAAATTACTGGAGGCTTCTTCTTTATCAGTAATGTCTCCTTTATTAAAATGACCAAATGGTTTCTCACACATTTCTCAGATTTCCTTTCTGCCCTGAAAAAGAACCGTGAAAATCTTTAAACCAAACCAAGAATTTTTTTCGGAGAAATTGAGTTCAAGCAAGAGAATAACCCTGTATTTAGCTCTTGCTAGCCTATCTGTTGGCAAGAAAGACAAACTTGAATCAAGCTTTGGTGGGATCCAGTTTATCAATTGTAGTAAATGATATTTCCTAAGAGATTTTAAGGTGACTGGTTCAATTATTGTTTTCTAAGATTTTTATATAGCATCCATGTTTCAGTTAAACTGTGGTACTGGTCTTAGTCTTCATCACCTTTGTCCTTTAAAACTGTACCTATCTGTTTTGTGCAGATTCAAAAATATCTTTTAGCTGTGTAATCTTGTAACCACTGCCTGACTGGGTGGATTCAAAGTGTCTTAGTAAGGGCATTAAAATGAGATCAACAGATTTCTTTTTCTGGAAGAGAAAGCAATCTGTCCAACAAATCAAGACTCACAGAGAATGCCCCTAGCACTGCTTTGTAAGGAATGAAATGCCTCTGCTGGCCCTGACACTGTAGTTGGGAGCACATCTTTGTTGGGTTGTGTGATTTGAAAAAGGAGCTGAAGAAAGAATTCTTTTATTCATGTGTGAACATGTTTGAAGGAACACAATCCTAAAACTGAAAGGGGGAATGTTCTGGTCTACCAGAGAAAAGTTTTCTACAAAGAAACCTTGAGAGAGATATGTCTGGATAGTGTGGAGTGGAGCATCTGATTCTCTTTCACTGGTACATAGAAAGGACAACCTCCTTGTTTTGAGTTCCAGCACCTTCTGCCCTGAATATAGAGCTCCCTTGAGCATCACAGGGCAGCTTGGTTAGGCAGTGCCCAACTGATTAATGATTTTAGAATTCATGATTTAGTGGCTTGTGGAATCTTTTGTCTATCTGCAAGAGCTCTCTAGTGAGTATGTAAGATGCATGGTTTCCAAAGCTCTGCTACTTAGTGAAACTGCTGACAGGGGATTGTTTCAGTGCAGAGGCCATCTCTACTGCCAAATATAAGTTATCTCCTCTAGATAACTTGGGAGATTAAATGCATTTCAAAGAGAAGCTCACTGGCTTTTCTTTTTTTACAGTTTATTTGCCTCTCTTCAGTAATAGATGCATTTCAGCTCATTGTCCCTCCCCAGGTCATCCTGTGAAAAGCATGTACTTAGCAAATGCCAGTCCAATAGATAACAAAGCATGTACAGTAGGAATATCTAACAGTGTCAGGTGATTTTAATTGATAATGCTACTAGTCTTATAATCTGATTTCTTTCAATAAATTCCTCTGAACAACTGTGTAAAAATTACCTGATTTGGGAGGCTTCTCTATTTTTTGTTAAAACAGAAAGACTGTGAGTATTAAGTCTGCAAAAAGATCTGATTTTGCATCTGCAAAGAATATAACTGGCAAAGGGATAAAGCTTGGGAAAGGACTGGACCTCTTGTATAGGCAGAAAGGTGAAAAGGAAGTGGTTCATTACAGTCATAATTGTGCCGGAGGACAAGTTTCAGAATTTTTTTTTTGTGACCTGGTTGGCATTTTGTACCTACATGAAACAATTATTTGCAAAATATCAGTCAAAGGCTACCATAATTTAACTTAACATCACATTATTATCTTATGTTTCCTTACTTCCTTTTCCTACCTTTCTTTTTCTTGTCTCTTTTGATTATTTTTCTTTAGGTTTTATAATTTATTTTTATGGCACTTTTTCAGATGACCAAACATTAATTTAATATTTTCTTAACCATGTGAAGTCTAATAAGCACCAAAGTCCTGATTTTGGTAAGATTTCCACACATGCTTAGCACTTAGGGGCATGCTCAACTTTAAGCAAGTAGTTCACTCCCCAGGAGTGGATGGGTTTACCTCTGCAGTAGCTCCATGTCTTGTACATCTGAAGATTTGCAAGAAAGGACATCCCTGGCTACTTCCCAGTTTGTGATGAGGGCTGATCACATTTCTTGGACTAATGGTACTTAGCAAGAGCAAACCTTTAGATCTGAGTTAAAGATGAAGTTCTTGCTTCTTCTGGTCAGAGAGCCTTCTGGTTCTCCTCTGCTTGGTGTGGCCATTGCAGGCTGGGCAGGTGTAAATGCTGCAGATAGGGCCAAAGAGGGCAGGAGGCCACACACGTTGTGCGTCACTGGCCTTCCACTTACATTCCTCAGGTTCTTTGATAATTCCCCTCTTGCTGAGAATGAAAGGCAGCATAACAGCTGTGAGACAGCTGAAAAGAGTGCCACAAATTGAATGTGTCTCACTGTACAGGTCATCTCCTGTTATTTAAAAATATATAAGTGAAGAAAGATGTGCTTACTATTCCAAATTCTAACTTTGGAAAATTTCTGTATATTGTTCCTTGATGAATGATTCCTCTGTAGCTACATACTTTAATGTGGAGAATATGAATGATATCACTAATGTCTCTGTATAATCCAACAAAAAAGCCTACTAAGTAACCTTAAGTTTGGGGTGATTCAAGAGAAGAGACTCACAAGAAAATAAGTGAGTTTAAAATGCTAAATCCTTGAAAAGAAATTTTAGTCACCTGTGAGCACCAGCTCTTCAGTTGTCATTTTTACATGGGATGTTTGCAAGTTGCCTTTAATAATAACTTCACAGCGGGAAGAAATGTACTGTTTAAACATTAATCATTTCAGTTACACATTAAACAGTAACTTTCTTAATCCAAATATAAATATCCGAACTGTTACACTGTGCATTTATGCAAGGAGCACAGAGATGATGGAATATCTTTAATTTCAATTAATAAATAAAAGAGATTATTTTTTGCATAACTGTAAATAGTATCACTGACAGTAAAGCACCGTCATCTCATTTGTGATATTGGTGCTCTAGGTTTTAGCAGGAGCCCAGTGCCTGTTGCTTTTGGTTACCTTTTTTTTAATAACAAAAATTTGGTGAATATATTGTGGCATTTTAGATTTTTGTAAACTGTCTTGTCCAACCTTCAAGATTAAGATGTTGCCCCCTCTTTTTCATGTACCCTTTTCACTCTCAATATTGCTAACTCTGCTGCTGGTGTTGCTGGAGGAGGTTCCAGGTTTCTGAACAAAGCATTTAATGCAGATGGGAGAAATGTGAAGTGACCATTTTGCCTTTGCATTCTCAAGGAAGAGGAACCCTTCAGTTTGGGCTGTTGTTCTAGTTTGCAGCTGTGGGCAGTAGGAGGTATGTTTTAGGTTCATATAATTCCCTTTAAGGATTTCCCAATCTCTGTCCCCATCTGATGACAGGTTCACCTTTCCTGGGTGGGAGGGTGGAGTCCCAAGACTTTATGTCCTCAGGCAGAAACTGGAAATGAAGCTGACACTCATCCAGTCTGCATCCCATTCTGTTGGTTACCAAATTTTGGGTCTCATTATTTTGTTTACTGAGTGGATCACGAAAGCAGAGGATGAAAAAGTAGATTATTTGCCCCAATACAATTTTCTTTCTAAGACTGTAAGGATACCACAGAAACCTCTAGAAGCTCTTGAAGGAAGTAAATGTGATGGGAAAAAAGTACCTAACTCTGGAGTGCCTTTTTGATGAGTCATGTGCCACTCTACTTTATACCTATTAACAGAGTGCATGTTTGACCTGCACTTTCTTTGCTCTCGTTCCCTCCCTCTTCTGTGATATTAAAGGAAATGAGTTTTTGGAAATCAGCTTGCCAGAGAATAGGTGATTTGATCCACCTCTGTACCTAATGTACAACTTTCTGCAAACAGATAAAACCTGTATTTATAACCTGATTTTCTAAAAACCATGTAACGTGAAAGCTGAGTTAAAAATAATTGTGCCTAAATATTCTAGTAACGATACTAAAACTGACCGAAGTGATAGACCCTGATGTGAAAAAGCGCTGTCATTGTTTTCTTGCATATTTTTCTGTCCAATGGTCAGTGATAATTCATCCTTTCCACCACAGGGAGTCAGAGGAGATATGAGGTGTCATGAGGGGCACCAAAACATAAAATAAAGATTGTACATAAGTTTTTTCCTAAAAATTTATATACAATGTGCCTCAAAATCTAAGTTACATAGAAAATCAAGGTGGGCTAATGTCTATAGTGTACAACTAACAACTGTTAGTTGGGGAGGATTTTTATGTGTTATTGTTATTAATGCCTTGTGTGACAGGATGGCTCATTTTGGCAGAACGTTTATTCATTAAAGGTTTCAAATGTTAAAGGGACCTCAACTCTTAATAGAAAATATGGATTTAATTTGAATATGAGAATTGAATGTCATATTTTTGGTGCCTGTTTCTGTAAATAGCTGGACTTTAGAACAGCACTACTTTGAAATTTTGCTATTTGAACTTCTCAGGTTTTTTTGTGACTAGTCCTGTGAAATGTATTAATGCCAGACATTTTCATTTCACTGAATGCAAGTGAACAGTAGTTGCTGCACAATACTGGTGACTGCTTAATACATACCAGTAATTGTTGCCTGTAAGAATATGTAGAGGAGGATTTGTATAGAATTAAAAATGCAGTGTGGAATTAACTTTTCAATGTAAAATGGTTTTAATTACATTTTTTTAAAACCAGAAGGTCATAACAAAAACTGGAATAAAAACTTCCACTTTGGCATTTTTGGTGGGAATTTTTAATGCAAATCAATTCCCCTGCCTGAATCAGGTGAAGTTTTGGTGAAAAAACTTCAAGCACTCAAAGTTCTGCTGTAACTTCTTATTTAGAAAATCTAATTTTAAAGTATTTCCTTGTATTTTTATGTGCACCTGTAAGTCAAAACTGGTCTTAGTAGCAACCTACAGTCATGGTTGTCTGATGCCATTCTGTGGTGACAGCCATGTCCATGTGCAGGCTCTAGTTCACTACAGCTCAGACTCTTTTTCTCCTCCTAAGAAAGCCATGTAGTTGTTGTCTCAGCTTGCTCATAGGATGCTTTCTGTAAAAGTTTAAAAGAGATCAGGAAGTGTTAGGTAAAACAGGATTAGTCAGCAGCAACACTGTTCCCCTGAGACAGGGGGGACAAAAACAGCTGCCAGTAATTTACTTCTTGCATGAAGTGTTATCGGCAGCCAGGTTCCAGCTGCTTCTCACTTCTCCACCCTGGAAAAACTGAGCTGCTTCTGGCAGAGCGGGTTGCCTGAAGACAGGTGAATCAGAAAGGGTGTTGGCCTCTCCAAAAGTTTTAAGAAAGAGTGTACTGCTTGTAAGTTAGATTGGAGGTAGGGAGAAGAAAAGGATTTTTTTCATTCTTCCAGTTGGAGATAGAACGCTGGACACCCTTCATGCCTTAAGGGATTTTTCTGTATGTTGTGTTTGACTTTCTGAACAAATAGCATGTTATGAGTGACAGTGCCTCTGGTGCAGGGTCCAGAACCATCTATCTCATCTTGACCGTCGTGTTACAAAGCCTCCTTCTACCTTTCTTTCCCTTTAGTTGAATTGGTTTTTCATTTCTGTGTTGCTTGGTGTAGCAGCTTCAGCAGGACATGTAGAGGCCATCACATCCTAAAAGAGCCAGTGACTTGAAGATTAAGAGCTGTCCCGCTAAGGAATGCTGTAGGCAGAAGGCTTTGTTTTAGATAGGGTCAGACATTGGTCTCTCTCAGAGCTTCATCAGTTTGTGCACCAAGCCTTAATTACTTTTAATAGGGAGTTTAATCTACCAATCTGAAGCTGCTAAAGTTACACTGGTTCCCATTGTCATACAAAGTCATTGTGGAAAATGAAAGGGAAATGAAGGCTGTCACAATTTTTGCAGCTGTGATATGGAGCTGCGGTTGGCTAAACAGGTTTCATACCAGTGGAACAATTTCCTCTGCCTGCATAAAGGGGTGTCTCAAGTCTTGGCTTTGCCTGGAGCTGTTTGTGTCGGAACAGTACAAAGTGATACGAAGACATTAAGGGACTTGCTGCTTCTGTTTCTAATGATGAATGTCAGTAACAGAAACTGGTGCTTATCTCATGTAATGGAGTTGCCTTTTCCCTCAGGAAAGAAAGTAAACAGTTTTTGTAGGATTCTGTTCTATCTCCTTTGCAACAGAAGATAAAATAATACTGAATGGGTTTTTGCCTATTTATTTGCTGTTTGAATCCTCAGGAATGTTTTATATTAGAGAAAATGTAGCAAAGTATTACTACAATATATGATGTTTTGGTACAGGATATATTAGGTATATTGATTTGATGATCCTGAAATAACAGTGTTGCAAATAAAAATCCCTAGAGCAAATAAATGGATGTTTCATATACATGTGGATTTTCTTGCTCTTATCAATGGTAAACAGTGTAAGGGAAATATATTTTTTACTGGCTTGTAACTAGCACACCTTGAGTTATTTTACTTCCCTTTCTTCATGTCAACTTTAGGGTTATTTTAGATTGAACTTTAATTCTTCTCCAAATAAACCTTACTAATTTTCTTTTCTAGTTCTTAAACACAGCAAAGGAGGAGGGTTAACAAATGTAAGTGATATTTAATAATATATGATAAGGTGATTCTGATGAAAGACTTGGTTAGTGAACTTAATTCTGAACCTTGGTCAAGGACAAGTGTCATGAATAATTCTATCAACTCTAGGCATGTGAATATTATGCTGTAAGAGAAGTAACTGTTAGGTTTGTGTCCAGAAAAAAGTGCCCCTCAGATTATGCATGCCATCGCCACTGGCTGCATTTGTCAGCTCCATGTTCATGGTTTGTGTTTAGCTGGTTTTACTCTCTGTACTGCTAGGTTTCTTAATGAAAGCATTTGGCATTTTTAGAGTTCACTGTCTTCTTACTAACCTACGATACTAAATATGTTAGTGGACAATTTTCTTACCTGCCTCAGGGTACTACTTGTGTTCTCAAAAATTCACAAAGCAAATTGAAAGGGTATGGAGGATGTGAAATACAGTTTGCATACAGCAAGTCTGTGTCTACACTGAATACATAAGGGTACGTGACAAAGGCCTTAAGGTCAGATTTCTTGGGCCAATCTTTTTTTTTTGGTGGGCAGAAGAAGCAGTGTGGTGGTGTTTGCTGTGAAATGCTGTGCATTTGAGAGGTGGGTTCCTTTTGAGAGCTGAATTTCCTCAAGGGCCTTTTTTGTTGGAGATAAGGACTTTTGCACAAGGTGCTAACCACTAGTGAGATAGGACCAGTAACAGGTAAAGTTTTGGAGATGGAATTCACTCTGTGGTAGGAAAGTCAGTTTACCCACCTGTGGAAGGATACTTTCTTCTCTAACCAGATATTCACTTCTTCATGTAGAATTGACTCAGTTATTTTTACTCACCCCATTCTAACTTAAAAAGCTATTTACTGTTTAAACAATACACAACAGTTTTATCTGGCTACTGCTTCAGTTCTACATATTATTTAAAGTCAATATTGTATCTTCAGGGTCTTCCTGTATGGGATGGTGTGTTGCCACACGTTTTTCAAGGCCCAGGGTGATGTTTTGAGTGGTGACATAGGCTGCAGTGTACATTTGTAGCCATGTGCTCGTTTCTTCCACCACAGGAAGCACATGGCACTTGCCTTGGTGGCAGGCTTGCAGCAGCGGTGGGATTTAATTGGTCTGCCAGGCCTCCTCATTGACGGCCCAGACACCATCTTCTATTCCAGGGAGATTTTACTCATTTGGCTTACTTGATTACAGCACATGTTTCACATTCATGAGTAGCTATGTGATAGCTTTGATTGCCAGATCTTTATCAAGAGCCCATCTCTATATGGCATCTCTCTTGGGAATCCCTAGGGACACGTTTCCTGGGCCCATTGAGCTAGAAACAGCTCACCTTTTTATTCCTGGTCCACATCCACCTGAACCACTTCAATTCTGGCAGCCTGATCTATCTGCTCATTGTTTAGATGTTCTTTGGTGGTGCAACTCTTGGACACATGAGTGCCTGCATGATGTACATGCACATCATGATGTAGATGTATTCTCCGGGTACATCTCATGTAATATGTCAAGATGTACAGAATAAAGCAACCCTTTCTTACCTAAATCTGCTACCCTGCTTTCTTTTGTTGCTGTTTGATTTCTCTATTTCTGTTTGTATTAATGACATTTCACTTCTTGAATAATTCATCAGCATTCGTTTTCCCCATTTTTACAAAGATAGCCATGTGAAAGCACGGTTGTGTGTATTCGTTACATTTCGGTTGCTGCTATTTTAGTCTGCTTTACCTTCACTCAAGCAAATGTGCTGAACAGGTTTCTAAAGACACTGGCAATGGAAGGGTAATGAGAAAGCTCATGGCCTAATCTGTATCTTTCATAAGTATAAAAGTGACAAACTGAGTAAAAAAAATAGTTCAATTTCCAGCTTTCAGAAAGACTTGACATATATTTCTCAGTGGATGCAAAGTAGTTTTGCAAACCAGCTTGAACTGAGTAGCACATCTAAAATGGTTGTGTTTAAGAAAGTGTGGGTATATAAATATTTGTGTGTGTACAGATACATGTAACAGCTTCTGCTCCTAAAAGATCTTCTTCTTTTGCAGTTGAAACTACTGCTACGTTGCCTGGCAGAAAACAGATAACAGGTATATTTGGGTTCTGTGGGGTTTTTTTCCCCATTGTTCTGTTTTAGAAAGTGTGTAGGAAGATTGCTGCTGCTGTTACTTTTTAATTCATAGAGATAGTTATGCATATGCAAAGATTTGCAAATCAGTTGTCCATATTATCCTGGTGGCTTATTAGCCAATTTCATGGTGCGAATGGCAGCAGTAATTTTCCAGAGAAAATACAATTTGAGCAAGGAATCAGGAGTGATTAGCATTTCAGAAACTTCTTGTTTACCATTTTTAATCAAAATACAATCTGGTTTTCCTCAGGGACTTTTGGTATCTCTAAGTGTTCTACAGGAGAAGGAAAGGCTTTACACTATAATAAGTATATTGTAAGCAATATTATGGGATGACTTTTGAGCTTTGAGAGAAGATGTTGAAATACCTTAAGTATATTTTTATAATAGTCCTTCATATTTGCATCCAACTGTTCTTTATGTTATATTTCTGTGATAACTGTGACTTGACTTGTCTGTGACACTATCAAAAACCACCCGGTGACTGAAAGGGCTAACTTTCAAGTGGCTGTGTGAATCAGATATCAGATTTCCTAATTTCTTTTTGATCAAAATACTGACTGTAACAATATAAAAAATCTGGTGACCAGTGTTTGCTATACAAATAGTTGCCTGGTTCTTGTCAAGACCAGAGGTTCAAACTCGAAATTAGAGTTGTTTTAATGCTGCTTTTTTGCAGGACAGAAAAGATAACAGATATGTATGGGATAAATTTGAAGTGGCAAGTCTCACTGTTATCATACAATGTCTGAGAGGAGTTCTTCATACAACCATCTCCTTGTGTGTGCTTGATTCCCATTCTCACAATTAGCAAGACACTCAGGATAGGCTCGTGGCTTTCAGGCTAATATGGCATATATCTTGGGTCAATGATCTTTAGTTTCTTAACATTTACACAATGCAAACTGTCCAGTATTTCTTGAAAACAGATAATTTTGCATTGAATTCTATTTTAATTCATAAAAACTGTTAATTTTTTAATAATCAGAGATCGTTACATCTGCCTTTTGGGCAACCTGGAAGTGTCATTCTGAAAAAGCAGGTGTTGCCCTCTCCTGGTGAATGTGGTAAACTTTTGATAACATAAGAAAAGGCTGCTGAGGATGATCATGTGTGTCATAATAGTCTTTTTTTCCTCCCTTTTTTTTTTTTTAATCTGAAACAAAATCTGTAGATTCAGAAGAATCAGCTGCAACAACCAGTTCTGGTAAGAAAATCAGTATTTGACTAATTTCTGCAATGTTTTTTATTTCCTGTTAGATAAATCTGCTTTTATCTGAGGTAATACAGAAAAGTTTTAATGTGAGTTCCAACATTCAGTGTTTTCACTGTTTATTTTTTGAAGAGAAAATTAATTGTTTCATTCTATTTTGTAATGAAATAACTCACCTAGTACGTGAAAGGCAGTTACTTTCTTGGTTAATGTATAGTACACATAGTACTGTGGATAGAAGAAATAATAGACAGAAACACACATGATTTTGTTCTTTTACAGATACAGTCTTTCTCTGGCTATGGTTCATCTTTAGCAACTGCAACAAATTCAGTATTTGTTGTAATATAGACCAAGCCAAATAATACAGATGAAAGCAGCACTTACTTTTCACTCTGATTCCTTGTACTTTGGCTGCTTGTTATTTGCATTAGAAAATTAGTTGTCTTCAGGGTTTTTACTTAAGAACCAAATATGCTTAGCACTTACACTGCCTGTGGAATTGAGGGCACAATTGAAAATGCTCAGAATAGCTAGCCTAGTGGAAGTAAATGTATCAAAAAGTTACTTTTCTCTTTCATATAGAAATTGAGTAGATTGCACTTTTTTTCCTTGATATGCAACTATCTGTGCAGAACCACCAACTTGTCTTTATTTTCTTCTTCTAATGACAGTGATGCTTTTAGTAACGAAGTTTGGGTAGTATAAAGTTCTTCTGTTGTGAAGCTGCTCTGACCCATGTAAAAAAAGTCACTGTCATATTGGAGTGATACAAAGTGGTCCTCTGACCACTTTGTGTTCCTGTACTGACACTTAAGAAACACTCACTAAGCACATCCTTCTGTAGATTTTTTTTTCTATTGTCTTAATTTAACTTTCTTTTTTTCCCCCCCTTTTTTTTTTTATGTAGCTGAAAAAACCTTTGCATCATTATTTTATTTATGTATGGTAACTGACAAAAATAGTGTTGCTGGAGAGAGAGTTTGCCAAAACCGATCTGGCATCTCTGCTTAAGAATGTTGTGAGTTCATGCAGGGAGAGACCCTTGGAATTAAGCAGTTGTTGCAATTGGATGTGCAGAATTCATCTGCATCTTCTAAAAGAATGAAACCAATAAACGGAACTTTTCAATTATCAACTGTTTTCTATTCAGGTTTTTTAAATAATGTGATCATTATTACAATGATCAGTATTGAAATATTGTGAACATTCTTAATAAGCTTTGCAGTTGTTCTTAAAATGGAACTTAGATAAATAATATTCAGTTTGTGTTTGACGTTATGCAGACTTGATCTTTTTCTCTCAGAAATTCATAGATGTAAAATACTTTATTAATACAGTTTTTACTCCTTTATCTTTTTTTCCTAGAATCCTCTATTGTTACTTTTGCCAACTGTCCTATTAATTCTTCAGGCAAGATGTTATTAATATTTCTTGTATTTAGATTTTGTTAGATTTAGACTTCTGGCTTTTTTACATTTTTATTGATTCTATTGTTTTTTATTGATTTTTACTATATTACATTTTTCTACTTCAGATATGTCTTCAGAGGAGACTACACAAAGTGCAGGTGAGAATTTGCATGAAGACAATAAGGTTTCAAGGGAGATGTTTGTTGCATTCATGTTTTTGTTGATTTTTTTGTTGTGTTTTTTTTTTAAATAACTGGGTTTTGTTTAGTCCAAATTATTTTCTTACATTATCTTAAAATTTGTCTTTTTCTACAATCTGTGTTTTAAGTCCACATGGGTAGGGCTCTGAGGTGCATTTAGCTGACACTGAGCTGTTGACCTTTCTTTTTTTTCAAGATATTACATGGCTTCCCAAAGCCCAAATTGGATAAATTTAGTTTTTAGCAAATGTATAGTTTTTTTGGTATATCTACAGATAGAATGTTTTCTATGCTTTCTGACACTATTAAAAGTATTATTACAGAAGTAAAATGTACACTCCATTCCTCAAAGACACTGACATGGTAGATGTTCTTGCAATGAGTAGCCAAATAGGATCAGTAAAGACTCAATCAGAAGAACTTGCTGCCCCTTTCTTTCCTGATTTTTGCATTTGGAAACAAGGAGTAGGTTCATCCCATGTCAGTACAGGTTCCTCCACGTCTGTGATGTGAGCTGGAGATCCTGCTGCTCTTCATTGTTGATGGAAAGACACATTTTCAGAACATGATTCAACTTAGGCTGAAGAGGCCATATAAAGTAGGATAAATGGGAATCACACCTTAAAAACACTGTTTTCTCCTCTGAAAAATAGGGAGTCTGGAGTCACTTTTTTTTTATGGGGACATAAACATGTGATTGGATGGATCTTACTCTGATTGCTGCTTTTGTACTCCTCATGCTGCAAGTAACTTAATCTCCTTATAAATCGTCATATATTTACATTTCTCCTGGGAAGATGGAGTCCAAATTAGAAACAAGAAAACTTATTTTTGTCACATGTATTTTGTAGGCTTTTTAAGTTAAAATGTGAAAACTTTAAACTTTTTTTTTCTTTTTTCTTTTTTTTTTAACAGAAGCTCTTAGAATCACTGATTATTACTCCACCATAACACCAGGTAAGATTCGTGTATCACCACTGATCTTCTTTAGTGCTTCTCAAAATTTCAGTTTGTGTGAGTTCAGGAAGTCTTCTCCCAAATATTTTTGATAGGATCTTTTTTCTTGGTATTGTGGTGTGTCATATTAGCAGTCTACCTTACTTCACATTGAACTTCAGGCTAATTCTGAGATGCTTGTCTAGATGGCTGCAAATAGAAGAGTCTGGTTATTTTGTAAGTCAAATCAGCAGGTTACCACAAAGTTTTAAGAACCACAATCTTGGGGACCACATTTGCTTAAAAAAAAAAATCCTCATGCTTTTTAGTAGATTGAAGCCAACTGAATAGTCATGGTGTTTGACCTCAGGGCAGGAAAAGTAGGATCAGGAGTAGACTGAATTTAATTTTGTAATTATCCATGTAGGAGCTGGGTAGACCCACTAGATTGCTGTAACTAAAAAAAGACACGTTCTGCTAGATGAGAGCATAAATGTTTGTTGCCATGTTTGAGCTTCATGCTATCATAATAGCCATAGTAGGATCCTCACAATCAGATAATGTGCTGCCTAATGGTTGAATTCTCTGATATTTGAAGAGCTTATTTAAATATTGATTTCTGTTTCTATTTGGATTTAAAAAATAAGAAAGAAAGAAAGAAAGAAAGAAAGAAAGAAAGAATGAGACCACTTGCATGTAAGTCTTTTGTGGAAACTGTTATAGAAAGTTACTCAAAAGTAATAGTCAAAACCAGCATGTTTCTGAATACCAATTCTTGAAAAACATCACAGTAAGTATTCTAGAGGAATGAAACCTAGTATGTCAAATATTTCTAAAAGGTAAAGACATTTACATTTAAAACATTAAAGGATTGTAAATGTTTGTGTCAATATTGGATTTACATTCAACTTTTTTACTCATTAGTTGTTTTTTTCCCCTCCCCAAAAAACCTACAGCAGGTGAAACCATTGTATGCAACATAACACATGTCTGTAATTATTCAGGTTAGTGGTTTTCTTTTTCCTTTTATTCTTACAGAAAATGTGTCCAACTATTTTATATTCTGAGTAATGAAGCAACTTTTAATTGCCATGTAGAAGCTAGTTCTGTAATAAATTTTCTTGTGAATTTAGGGAGATTTTGTATAATTTCTAAAAATACCAAATGTGGGAGTTTTTTCTTTTACAGTAATGTGTAGTCTATTATTTTTTATTCTTGTTTTCTTACCACATGCAATTGCAGATAAGAATTACAAACCTGAGAAAAAAAGAATCTAGTATGCTATGGTAGATGCTAATGTCTGCCACACTGAGTCTAACTCTGTCAGGAATAGAAGCTGAAATACTGTTTAGGAGAATTATTTTAAGAGCCTACTTTTATTTTAAAAATGTCATGTGACAGAACAGACAAAGGCAAATGGAAATGGCAGTCATGTTCCCTTTGTGTGTACGAAAAAACCATAGTAAAAGATGAACAGCTTGTGTGAGACATGCTTAAGAAAATGAAGGCCCTTCTGCCAAGTAGCCATATGCTGAGTAATTTATAGATTAAAGTATCTGCCCCCCCTTCCTATAAATTTTCCCTAGTATGTTTGACACAGTAAACTCCTAGGTGATTAGGGTGATGCCATATATGCGTTCCTGTTTATTGTTTTTTCTCTATAGCCTGCACTGAATGTTTGGATGCAGGAAGAAAGTGTTGTAGGAGTTCCTCTTTGTCTCCAAAATTGCCCTATGAGCTCCCAAGGACTGTTGAGTGATGCTCTGAATTATGGTATCCTGAAAGTTCTTTAATTCCCACAGGAGTGATTTTTAAAGTATCACTTTGCCTTTATCCACACTTTTTATTTGCACTGTGGGAGTTGGAGTTGCATTAATAGTAATGTACAGTGCAGTTTTTGTGTTTTGGGGAAAAGAGTTGCTAGAAGGAATTTAGGGACCACCAGAAAAATTAAATATACAGAAAATAAATAACTATTGAACTAGTTCATTTGTTGAAATAGTAAGTGAAGAGATGGAAGAACAGTTGCAAAAATACAAAAGCTAGTCCTTATTTCCCTTGTATCATAACACAAGTCAGTAAATTTTTAAACTCTCAAATAATTTTACATCATGTGTTCTAGCATTTATTTTCTTAACTTTTTTTACTTTTGGTTTTAGTGTTCTATGTGGGCAAGGTAAAACTTAAGGCAAGTGAAGAAAGTAATACATCACTAAGCGTGGAAATTGTAAGTATTCTTTCTTTTAAAACTTTATTTTACAAAAGGGTGAAATTAAATTCTTTGTCTGCACTTAAGATACTGATACCTTTACATGATTCTTACTATGTTTGAATAGTAAAAGGTACTCTTTGCAGTGGATTAAATTTTAGAATTTCATCTAAGTAAACTTCCTACAGTAAGGAAGTTCCTGTATCCTACATTCCAGTATAGCCACTGAAAGAGGGGGAAGCTGTGGGAAATATGGAGGGAGGAACTGCCTGATTAAGAATCCACATTTAGGAATACAGGATCTTCCTTTGGAGATTAATTTAGGCACCTGCCTTTAGAAGGCAAGCACCGTTAGATGGCAAGTGTGGGCATAATTAAAATTAGGTTGTATCCTGGAAATAATGCATGTTGAGACTCTCATAAATAGTTTTATGCTTTTTGCATTTTTTTATTATGCTTTTGCATAATCTTTCTATGCTTTTTGGCATGTAGTTAATCAGTTATTAATTTTGCAGTAGGCCTATGTGACATGAGTGTGTCCACTCATATAAGACAACAGAGGTTTAAGAAGACAGTATCATGGAAAGCAAGGGCCATAAAGACGGAGCACTGAGTTTGGGCAGGGATACACCCCTGGCAAAGGCCGCCCCTACACTGCGTTGTGTTTGGGTGGATAGTGCCCTGAAACTATCCTTGTGTATTAACATGATAATATGATGCCTACAGCTACTAGAAAAACTGGTTTACGTCTCTTGAAACTGTTTTATTTTTTAGAATGCTATTTCTTATTTAAAGCCAATACCATGTATGTTAGATGATGTTTTTCCTCACGGTGTTCGCTGCTTGCATGAAATGTTAAAATAACCAGTAATGGTGGTAAGCAGAAGAGCATAGGAATGCAGATCTGTAAAAGGTCTTTAGATAAACCTTGGTGTATCCCCAGGCCCTAATGCTGTGTAATACATATTTAACTCAGTTCTATCATGTCTCTCACCTCAGTTCCTGACTTCTTACTCCCAGTATTCTGCCCTCTGTTACTTATGGAGCTTGTCACATTGTTGCACTTCTAGTTACAAAGTTCATTCAGTGTCTGGTCTAAGCTGTCTTTGTTGCAAACTAAGCCAAATTCCTCTTTTTCCAACATGAGATAAGGTGGAGTCACTATGCTATTGCCCATATCTTTCAAAAATCAGATTTTATTTTTTGCTCTATACTAGATCAGCAGTTCCTTCCGTAAGCTGTGACAGCAATGTCATGATAAATATTTGTTGCAGTGTATTCATGAGGAAACAAACTTCTCTTTGTAATCTCAGCCTATTAAGTTGTGTGAAATGCACATTTTTCTTTTAAGGCTAAAAATTACTGGTTGTAATTACCCTTGGCATCTTTGTTTCTAACAGATTAATAACATAACCACCAGCAGTCAAGTTAGAAAATTAATTACAATTCCAGCATCTGCCCCACAAGAATTGAGGTAAGTAATTTTGAATAAGGATTGAAGTCTTTGTTATATTTGAAAAAGATGAAGTGAGACCTTCCATGTGTTGAGCAGACTGCATTATTCCTGCATTTTTAAAATTTCAGGAGTTCTAAGTTACTGCTCTTTAACATAAAGCTTATGTTGGTTAGAATAGTCTTAGTTTATGTACCACTGGACTTCTTTTAAAAAATGGTACACTTACTGATTTCCTTTTAGGTTCTTCTGGTTCCTTGGGGCTCAGCAAGGCCTGAAGTCCTTCTTGTTTATATGCTGCTGGTCTTAATAGTAGTAGTAGTAGTAGTAATAATAATAATAATAATAATAATAATACCACCTGAGGACATGAGTTGTGGATTGTTGAGAATGCCAGTCTGGCTGCTGCTCTCCATGAATAAATGATCTGTATAATTTCAGGATTTTGTCTACCTGGTAGGAAACTATGACGAGAACTTTCATAGCTGCATGTTCTCCAATAAATATTCTTGAAGTCATATCTATGTTTTTATTTTGGTGTAGCTTTTTCCTTCACAGTCTTTGTAAGGAGGGCTGTGAATGAATGAATATTTACTACTATTTCCAAAACTTGCCCCGAAAATCAAAAAGAAGTAATTGGTCAACAGATCTTGTTTGTAGAATAAATCCATATTTCTCACTCATTCTATTTCTGTGGCTTTGACCATAGATTGAGAATTCTGTTCCAAACGCATGCTTGCCAAAAGGCAACCTTGAGATCTATCTTTTGCTCTTTTAAAACACTTTTACAATGGGTTAATGTTAAAATGTGATGACAGAGGTTTGTGTAGTGACTAATAAAAGTCAACTTTCAAAATGTTTAATGCTTTGAAAAGTGTAAATTTTTTTATAGTGTTGTAATTGTTTTTAGAAACATAACTAAAAATCCTCCATAATGGTAACATTTTATTTTAAAGCATTTCAGAGTTCAACAAAACCTTGCAAGCAGTAAGTGAGGTAAGACTACTGGTTGTTATTACTGTTTGGAAAACTTTTTTCCATCTTACTTCTGACAAAGTATCACTCCTGATTTCTCCCGATAAAACAATTTTTGTCTGTTATCATTTGTCGTTACAGTCCTCTGTTATGGAATGCAGTGCAGAAAACCAGAGGTTTGTTATTAAATTTTTAAAGATCAAATATTTAAAAGCTCATATGTTGTCTTGTGAAATATGCAGTATGCATGGCTCTGTAACAGAAGAAAACACAATCTTTCTAGGAAGTTAAGTTGAAGAAATAGGCTGAAGAAATATATGTAGGTTAACAAATTCTGATCTCATAATTCTCCTAGCATTAGTAATTTTAAAAAAACTTTTTAGAGTTTTTTGGGTTTTTTTAACCAAACTGTATTGCTTTCATTAATCTTCTGCTGAAGCACAGGCTTGCCTGCCATATTCTTCTGCATCTCAATATTAGCTGAGCCATGGAGCAACTGGGAGCACCAGACTTCCAGAACTTGTGGATACAATGCAATCTTTATGACTACATTATTATCTTTACAAAATTATCAACTCTTGCCCAGCTGACATTGATTATGGAGGACCCCATTTTTAAGAATCATCAGTGTCTATAGAGATAAGGGACAAAAAGCTGACACAATCTGATGTATTACTCTTCTAATTAGCCTGCCATAGTGGTTTATTGCATTACAAATATGCCCCAATCTGACAGAGCCTAGGAAAAATGTGCTTTCACCTTCAGCATTTGGGCTTTTGTGCTTTCACTTATCATTTGATGTTAGTTTCACGTGTTTTAAAGATAAGGCAACTCTGCTTCTTTAGTCTAAAGCTTTTTCTTCTCATTGTAGTATACACTGCAAATTCATCATGAAGCTGGCTGAGAGAGAGAATATAAGCAGCTTAACAAACAGAGCAAAAATAAGCCAACTTGGTAAGTCATGTTTTAAACACAGTCTCATCACAATTTTATGTCTTTGCATGTGACCTCCAGGTAGATAAAAGAAAATATTTTTACTTATTTTTAGATAAAAATACTATTGTTTTTAACAGTATAAATACATAAAAATACAGCCTTCTGATTTTTGAGGGGGTGTGGGATAGAAATAACTTCTTTAAAAATTTGGTATGAAATTACTGACTACTTTAATAAAGCACATTTTGAAAGGATTAGGTGTAAAATTAGCCGAGAAAATAAATATGTTGCCAAAATGATGATTGAAAGGTTTCTTAAGCAGCCAAGTTCTCTTAGTGATATTGTGATAGTATGGAGTAGTGGTTCATACCATTTATCTCTGTTTCAGAAGCTGTATTTTTGCATTTTGGTTTGTTTACAATAGCAAAAAGAGAAATCTGAACTTGTCAGGGGTATGGCAATATTCTGACTGGTCAAGATTTCTTTCTTTTGCAAAAGCAAGTTTCAGAAAAAAATCAAAATAAATTATGCAGTATATACTGTTGTTTACAAACATAATACAAAGGGTTAAATATTTTACTTAATGATATTAGTAAGTGTTATGCTTCAGAATAAACTAGGTTAATGCCTCTTTGTCACACCAGATCGGTGCTGCTGTTCATCACCGAAGTATTGTTCCTTTGCTGCTGAAGAATTACAAATGTAGTGAGTATAAACACAAAATTTGACTTTCTTATTTCCTAAATTTCCTAATACATTACTACAGTCGACTTCCATGCTGCAGTGTAATAGCCAGGAAGGACTCCTCAAAAAAAAGCTGATAGTCATCTTCCTGTATAACTCCTTCCCCATTCCTCCTTCTTTCCCTCCTTTCCCTTCTTTTCCTTTTGAGTTCAACATCAGATCACATCCAGAACAGGCAGCAAGGGCAGTAGTAGTATTTATAGACTTGCTAGTTAACAACTACAGCAAAATAGAATGTAAGAACCCTCAAAATGTTAGAGCATGAAACATCCCATCTGATTGATTTTTAAGTATACCTTAGTAGTAGTATGTTCATATAATTCATATATATAACTCATTTTCTTTAAAATAGAAACAATGTTAAACTTAACATGCATTTTTGTGCTTTTTTTTCTTTTACAGTACTATACAAGTGCCACCTCATTCTATATGGGTTCCTTTCCCTCATTCTCCTTCTCTCTCTAAAAAGGCTTCCCCCAAATCTTCCCCCACTATACTTTCTGCTAAACAAAGCCCCACAATTAGACCACTGATCACACCATTCACAGAAACTCCTTTTTCTGGAACTCTCTCCACATCTCCCACTACAGACCCTCTTGCTGAAAATTCTGTGTCTTCCACCAGTGTTACCACTACACATTCCTTTTCTGAGTCTCTTGCTCAACCCACCATGTCAACTTTTTCTTCTGTAGCTTCTAATAAATCTGCCATTAGTTCCACACCTGCAACAAAATCTGTCACTAATGCTGCTTTCTCACTTAAACCTGATGCTGCACACCTTAACAAGTCTTTTACAATACTTTCTCCTTCTGTAGGTTTCACTAAACATTCTGCACTTTCCTCTTCTGAGCTCCCCCACAAACTTCCAATTGTAAATCGCCACTTTGAGACTATCACCAAATCAGTTGCACAGATTCCTCCTGCTACAACCCATCTTGTATCTGGTAACAAAAATGTTAGTACAGTACCCATTCTTCCCCTTACTCCTTTCACAATATCTTTGACCCCTACTGTTAGTCCTGTCAACCATTCTGTCTCAGCTTCTCGTCCTCACTCTACCGTTGATGGCCATGGGAGCACAGGTAAATATGACAAGTAAATTCTTTATTTTTTTAATTTTAATGCCATGTACTGGATTTGCTTTTAAACTTTAATAAGGTTATATATATGTGTGAGGTGACCTAGCAATTGCTATGAGTACTTTGGATGGGAGTGTTGATCTGCGGGAGTGTAGGAAGGCTATGCAGAGGGGTCTGGACAGGATGGATTGATGGATCAAAGCCAATTGTATGAAGTTCAACAAGGCCATGTGCTGAGTCCTGCACTTGGTTCACAACAACTCCATGCAACACTCCAGGCTTAGAGAAGAGTGTCTGAAAAGCTGCCCAGCGGAAAAAGACCTGGCAGTGTTGGTTGACAGTGACTGAACATGAACCAGCATGTGCCCAGGTGGCCAAGAAGGCCAATGGCATCCTGGCTTGTGTCAAAAATAGCATGGCAGGCAGGGAAGTGATTTTCCCTCTGTACTGGGCACTGGTGAGGCTGCACCTCAAATCCTGTGTTCAGTTTTGGAGCCCTCACTTCAAGAAAGACATTGAGGTGCTGGAGTGTGTCCAGAGAAGGGCAACAAAACTGGTCAAGTGTCTGGAGCACAAGTCTTATGAGGAGTGGCTGAGGGAGCTGGGGATATTTAACCTGGAGAAAAGGAGGCTCAGGGGTGACCTTTTTACTCTCTACAACTACCTGAAAGAGTGTAGCCAGGTGGGAGTTGGTCTCTTCTCCCAGGCAACCAGCAACAGGATGAGAGGACATAGCCTCAAGGCGCACCAGGGGAGGTTCAGGTTGGACATCAGGAAAAATTTTTTCACAGGAAGGGTTGTTAAGCATTGGAACGGGCTGCCCAGGGATGTGGTGGACTCACCATCCCTGGAGATGTTCAAGACATGAATGGACGTGGAACTTGGTGCTACAGTTTAGTTGACAGGGTGTGATGGTTGATCAAAGGTTGGACTTGATCTTGGAGGTCTTTTCCAACCTAAATGATTTTATGATTCTGTTCTATGTGAAAAACCTGAGACAACTCTCATAAGGTGTACACTTCTTTTAAATTCTGATGCCTTTGGCCATGGTGAGTGATACCTCACCCTGCTAATGGGTTTGTAACTGTGATAGATTAGCTACTGTGCTAAGTTCCCAAGAGAACAAATTTCTTTTTGGCAGAAAAAATTTGTCAGAGAGCAAGGTAGCTATTTTTTTTAAACTAGGCTAGTATTTAAAATATTGCAAATTAATGTTGGGTCATCCCTTTACTGCTATTGATTAAGAATATTCTTAGTGGCTATGTATTTTCTTATTAAGATTGTACACATCTTTACAAACTTCTTTTTGAATTTCTGGCATCTTGATTTTATGCTACATTCAGGCATCAAGTGGCTAAAAATCCAAAATAATAGGTTATTTAATATCATTAATGGTCAGATATGAGGATCTTTGTAATCAATAAAATGTGGAATTAATGCTGACAATTTGAAACCTTACCTTATGTGTTTTTATGAGATTTAAATTATTGCTCTCTGCAAAGTATCTGCTAGGGAGAAAAAGGGATTCTGTCTCACATAACTTGTTGAGAGACCTTACAAAGTTGCGGCAGGTTTGGTAATCACAAAATCACAGAATATGCTGAATTGGAAGGGACCCGCAAGGATCATCAATTCCAACTCCTGACCCTGCACAGGACATCCCCAGAATCGCACCGTGTGTCTTAGAGTATTGTCCAAATGCTCCTTGAACTCTGTCAGGCTTGGTGCTGTGACCACTTCCCTGGGGAGCCTGTTCCAGTGCCCAGCCACTCTCTGGGTGAAGAACCTTTTTCTAATATCCAACCTAAACCTCCCTGACACAACTTCAGGCCATTCCTTCAGGTCCTGTCACTGGTCACCAGAGGAGAGATCAGTGCCTGCCCCTCCTCTTCCCCTCACAAGGAAGCTGCAGACTTCAGTGCAGACTGCAGTGAGGTCTCCCCTCACTCTTCTCTTTTCCAGGCTGAGAACTCCTTAACTTTTCTGCTTCACAAAACTTACTTCATTTGCTGAACACTGTTTAGCTAAATGCACAACTTTTCTTTTGTCACAGGAAAAACACCTACCACAAATACAACTTCTGTGTACACCACCATGAGTATCACCACAGCTGAGCAAATTGTGTCCAAAATAGAAAATGATTTAGCAGCTGGAAAAGTAGAGCCAAAAGATGTAGAAAGGATGGTTAATGAGGTTAGCAGTGTCCTGACTGCTTCTCAGCCATTACCACCCCGAATTTCTAAAAGGTATGTCACTTTGGCAGTAGATTAAAGATGTGTTGTATTACCTGTCTTGATAAATTGGCTTCAACAAGTTTCATTTTTTCATAATCATAATCCAGAAGAATATTTCTTGTTCTTTAATGTACTTAAAAAAAAGAAGGACTGTCATTCTAAGGTTACCAACTCTACTATAATGTATCACCATGGAAAACTGTAGTTCTTTTTGTGTTCACTCCACAGTAAGTGAGCAGAGTCAGCTGTGTTTTACATTTCACTTGGATTGTTGCTCCCTAACCACAACTTGCCTAAGAATTTTGGATGTATGTGCTTGGTAACACTAAGTGTACTTTTTCCTAACAGAATTATAAAACTGGTGGATTATATCGGCTTAAAACTGAAGCTTTCAACATCATCTGCTGAATTTGTCTCCCCTTCCTTGGCTCTGGCAGTTGTAAAAACCAACAACATGCGCTCCAATGAAATGTCTTTTGCTGTCCAGGACTCAGCTGATCTCCAGGTTAAACACTGATAATTCTAAATATTTACAAATTCTTAAAGATTTATTTTTAAGTATTTATGGTTTTATATTTATATGAAGGGGAGTGTGTTCTGTGTTTATGTCACAGTTTCGGGATCTTTTGTTTGTGGTTTTTTTAGAGAAAAAATATTTTATTTTTTATGCCCTCCATAGATTTTCCTTTCTCTTGTGTAAATAGGTGTAAGAGAGCAACTGACTTAGCAGAAACTGGCATAACTAATGAACTGTTAGAGAGGGTGCAGCCAGAACACCAGAATGGACAGAGTGCTTGGCAGAATAACTTTGCCTCAAAAACCTGGAATCATGAGTTATTCATTCACCCACCATGACAGCACTGACATTTGTCAAGGAGTGCCAGATGGCTTCCTCTGTTAGAAGGAGATTAATTGTGGAGGGTTCTAGGAAAGAACTGTTATGTATGTTGTTTGGATAATGAATGATACTGGGACGTTTGTCACTCAGGACTAGTTGGTCTCACCAAGAAAGAAGTGCTTAGAAAGTTTGGATCCACTTTATCTCATTTAAAACCTTCCTGATTGAGGAATTTGGACAATACCAGCCTTGGAGGCTTAAGCAAGGAGAGGTGGAAAGTTTTGCACAAATTCTGGCACATCTTGCCTCCTCAGAGACTGAAGTAGCTTAATGTAGTGTGAGCCATGAGTGGTACTGGAACTTTTCAATGATACTGAGAATGGCATGAAATGTTGACATTAGAGTTCTTTTCTATTTCTCAGCAACACGTAATGCACGAATGTGAAATGACTAGGAGGTGGTAGTGCTGAAATATAGCAACAGATTATTGCTAAGTAATGATTTTTTATAATTTCATGGCACTGGCAATGACATATAGAGTATTTTCAATAAGTATCATCTACTTCAAACTAGAGCAACAGGAATGCTTTTGTAGAATTGATATAGGATTTCTTTGGTAGCTGTCTAAACCAGCAATCTCTGAAGTGGGGTTTGAGTACCACAGGGTGTGCACATGACAGTCCATTGCAATGTGGGAAGAAAATGTTATTTATGCGAATAATAAAAAATATACTTTTAAAAACAATGCTTAATCTCATTTTAATTTTATATATATATTATAACTTATGTAATATATTATTACAGTAGTACATACACATAACTTAGTTATATACTGGGGCTCGCGCTCAAAAAATTTTAAGGGATGCATTATCAAAAGTGTTTGGAGTCCACTTCTCTAAACAGAAGGGTCAAATCACACTATTAGGGCACTGTGGGGAGTTCATACTATTACTCTTATTACAGCCATTCTCTGAATACTCAGATAATTTCTTCCTTCAGTTCTGTTAATGTTTCAGGATCAGATCTCTCAGAAACTCTGAGGTGACGATATTTGTGTGTAAAGTGACTAATGTGTGACATGAGAATGCTGAGAGATTTTGTACTAAACGAAACTCTTTGGCCTCTAAGTACAACATGAAAAACTGGGTGAAAGTTCAGATCTTTTTTGTATAATGGTAGGTCACTAAGCTCTTCAGATACCTGAATTATAGCTTATTCAGGTTTTTTTTTGTCATTTTTGGCAGATGATCGAAAAGTTGAGTTTTACGTCCTTAGATTCCACTTAAACTGCTGTACTTAAAAACTTATTGACAAACAATGGCTATTTACACTTTTTCTGAATTCTTACATACTTCCTATGGGGTATGACAATTCTTTGCCTTTGCAGGCTTCCATGCTGTGAAATGCTGATCTCCCTACCCAGTTACACAGGCCTACCTGGGTTGTTGCTCTTCACTTTTTTCAAATCAGTATTATCCACTACAGTGGTGTGTTCTGTCCCTGTAAGCAAGTGGGTAAAGCCAGATTATTTTCAATGGTAGGCAGACCTGAAACAGGATGCATTCTTTTCAGTCCTGTAGAAGCTATTTATGCATTGGAGCAGGAGAGGAATAAGAGCAGCAGTTTGTGACAATGATTAGAGAGCTACGTATTTTGAAATTTGAAACTGAAACTAAGTCATAATTTATTTCTTTGGAGACTAAAATGAAGCATAATCCTGGCATTTATTTTTCAGATCGCTCTAGGAGTTCAGGCCATTAATGATTTAAATAATCTTGGATCAATTACACTTCCTTCATCATTGCTGACAAATTTACCCACTGAAGAATTGGACTTGGCTTCTAGAATTATATTCAACTTCTTTAAAAAGACCACTGTGTTCCAGGTATTTTTTTGGTCCTCTGTTCCTAAGGGTTTCAAACTCAAGCCTAGTACAAAATAAAATATGAATAGAACAACAATTCTACTTAAGTAAAAGGTATTATGTATTTACAGAAGATGCTTTTCCCCCCACTTCCCTTTATATCAGTTCAAGGAGGAGAAGCAGTCCTTTTCTGTTCTCAGAATTCCAGCTCTCTCTATCTCCAGTAACTCTGCAGCACTTTCGTCGCAGTTGGAACTTTTTTATCTCTCTCTCATTCTGTGTTGGCCTCCAGGGCTGGGCCTACCCCCCTCCTGGGTTAAAACCGAAGGCTGAGGATTACTCAGGTCCTGAAGGATTTCCTTCCATAGGCTTGCAAGGGGACACTTGCTTACTATGGATCTTCTTCCACAGGGTTACAGGGGATAATGGTTTAAGAGTTCACCCCTGTTTCCCTATGGAGGTCCCTCCCCATGGGAGAACAGTCCTTGATTGACTTTTCGGCATGGGTCCAGTCTGGATCCCTTACTCGGATCTCAATATCCTACCTGAGCCGTTTTCTGCTCCAGCGCAGGTTCTCTCAGGGTCACAAATTTCTAGCACCAGCAGCATGGATCCCACACATGGATCCCAATATCCCTACCCGAACCGTTTTCTGTTCCAGCGTAGGTCCTCTCAGGGTCACAAATCTTCAGTAACAGCATGGATCCCTCACTGAGATCCCAAGCTTATCTGAGCCGTCTCGCTCCAGCATAAGCATCAATCCCTTCGAGGGTCACAAAGTCTTTAACAGGACTCTGCCTCATCTGAGCCGCTTTTACTCCAGCATAAGGCTTTCTCTGTTAAAGTCACAAATCTCTGGTGCATCCACAAGCTCCTCTGTGAGCCGCATGGGGGTCTCTTCACCCCAACAAATTTTCACAAGTGGCAGGGTTTTATTTTTCAGTCTTTACCCTGCTGAAGGGAGGGAGAGCGAAAGGGAGAAAAAGCAGCTCTCCCCCCTTCGAACTTTTCTTCTCTCTCCTGCGACTGCAGCTTTGACCTTGAAAGTCTTGTTATCTCATGGCTGGAATTCTTCTGCAGCGGTTTCTCGTCTAAGCAGTTCGTCTTTTAAACCTTTTTTTTTTCTTCACTCTCTCACAAGAGAGAAGAGAGGCTTCAGTACTACACCTGCCTCCCCCGGCCCAAGCCGGGGAGGAGGGGGCCTTGGCCCTCCTCGGGCCCGCTACCCTTCTACATGGCTGCTGTTCTTAATTTCCAACTGCGACACAACCTTCTCTTCCGTTTTCTTAAAGATGTAATTAGCAAAGGCGTCACTGAACTTTTTGATTGGTTTTTTGTCCGGAAATCACCTGGACAAAACCATCCTCAGCCCCAGGGATGGGCTGGTGGGCAAAACCACGACATCTTTTTTGTATAATGGTAGATCACTAAGCTCTTCAGATACCTAAATTGTAGCTTATTCAGTTTTGGGGTTTTTTTGTCATTTTTGGCAGATGATCGAAAAGTTGAGTTTTACGTCCTTAGATTCTGCTTAACCTGCTGTCCTTAAAAACTTATTGACAAACAATGGCTATTTACACTTTTTCTGAATTCTTACATACTTCCTATGGGGTATGACAATTCTTTGCCTTTGCAGGCTTCCATGCTGTGAAATGCTGATCTCCCTACCCAGTTACATAGGCCTACCTGGGTTGTTGCTCTTCACTTTTTTCAAATCAGTATTATCCACTACAGTGGTGTGTTCTGTCCCTGTAAGCAAGTGGGTAAAGCCAGATTGTTTTCAATGGTAGGCAGACCTGAAACAGGATGCATTCTTTTCAGTCCTGTAGAAGCTATTTATGCATTGGAGCAGGAAAGGAATAAGAGCAGCAGTTTGTGACAGTGATTAGAGAGCTACGTATTTTGAAATTTGAAACTGAAAATAAGTCATAATTTATTTCTTTGGAGACTAAAATGAAGCGTAATCCTGGCATTTATTTTTCAGATCTCTCTAGGAGTTCAGGCCATTAATGATTTAAATAATCTCGGATCAATTACACTTCCTTCATCATTGCTGACAAATTTACCCACTGAAGAATTGGACTTGGCTTCTAGAATTATATTCAACTTCTTTAAAAAGACCACTGTGTTCCAGGTATTTTTTTGGTCCTCTGTTCCTAAGGGTTTCAAACTCAAGCCTAGTACAAAATAAAATATGAATAGACTTTTTTTCCCAAAAAACATATTTTAAAAGTTCTCATTTACAAAGGAATTATTTTTTGTCCAGTGCTTACTCTGCATAGTGACTGAGCCTGTGGGTGCTGTACTCTAGAATTGCTTCCTTTAAGATTTTAAAACTGGTTCTTTTTTCTGTCATTCAGGATCTGTCCTTGAAGAATGCATCTTTAATCAGCAATGTCATATCATCAAGTGTTGCCAATCTCACAATTCGCAATTTAAAGGCAAATGTTACTGTCACTTTACAGAATATCAAGCCTAATCAGGTATGGTTCACATTTTGGCAGACTTAAAGTACAATTTTGTTGCCTCCACTGAAGTTGTTGTAGAGGATATAGGGTACTAAGAATACAAATCAGTATGTTTTTCTTTATTAGTGTGGACATTTTGTTCTGTCACTCAACCATCCAGCTTTTATCTTTTTTTACTTACCCTCTTGCTTTATTCTACAAAGAATAAAAACTCTCAGATGGAAAACAGTGGGTTTCTTTTGAAGATGCTGCAGTCATGATGATTGTAGGTTCTGCATGGCCAGAAAGTAATATAAGTTTTTTTTCTTAGCGGAACTGAAACACAGGATTGTGTCATCTGGAAGTATTAGGACTCATGCACACCATCTCTTTCTTAAATGAGCATCAAGGATTAAAATCTTCTATCCCAAATCTTAACAGAGTTTAAAATACTATATTATTATACACTGAAAAATGTAGGGATTCCTCTGCTGCACCTGAAGCTTTTTTCAGGAGCTGATTTAGTGTAGTCTTTACCTGTATTGACATAACAGTGAGTTTTGAGACATAACCACAGAAGTATTAGTGTTCACAGCAGTACAGTAAATTGCTGCTGCTATTTTTAGAATTCCCATGTGTGGAGGGAAATCTGTATGTAAACATTTAACAACACGGTAATAGAAAGTGATCAAATTTTTGCAGATTAAAAAGTTTTTTCTTTTATGTATGGTAATGGTTTCAATACTTACAAAATCAAGAAGGATGAGAAATTGCAAGAATTTGTATAGTGTAGGAAGACAATGAAAGAGCATTCAGACTGTTCTACCAGGAACAGAATCTTTGTATAAGCATGGGATCTAACTCCTGTATGGTGACTTCAAATTTGTTCAGTATATTTTTGCATCCACTTTGCAATAATTAATCCATTCTATGCACCTAAATTAATTTTGTGTTCATGTAAAACAGGCATATTTGCTGTATAAAATATTTATTCTTGCCTGCATTTTGTATATAATTCATAAATCATTTGATCCTAAACTCATGGTTTACTAATTTTTTTTTATCTCTTTACCTCCTGAACAGGATAATTCAACAGTTAGATGTGTTTTTTGGGACTTTAATAAAAACGGTAAGTATTTTAAATCACCCAAGATACCATGTTCTTTTAGTTGTGTTAACCCATGTTATTATAATTAAAACCTTGTATGAATAACAAAATTGCTTTCTTTAACAGGTGGACATGGAGGCTGGTCACATGAAGGTTGTATAGTTAAAGAAAGTAGAGTAAACGAAACAGTCTGCTCATGCAACCACCTCACAAGTTTTGCTGTTTTGATGGTAATTATTTTTTAAAATTATGCAACTTTACACTGGTTCAAGAACACATTTAAGCAGGTGTTGTTTTAAGCAAATGAGGACCCAATAAGCACATACTACCTATGAAATAATACTTGGGTTCTATTCACTTCAGTGTGACTAACTGAAGTTTGTCACATGCTTAAGCTGCTGGTTGAATAGGAATCCATGAATTCCACTGGAGTAAAAAAAAATTTCCTAAAGTGCTGCAACTGTTACATTTAGATGGTTTTTTATGTTCTAGGAAATAAAATTTAGGAGAAATAAAATTTAAACCAAGTTTTTAATCAAATGGGTTTCCACAATTAGAATCACAGAATCATAAAATAATTTTTCAAGTTGGAAGGGACGCATAAAGATTATACAGTCCAACTCAGTTCTCTTTACAGGATTAGATTGACTTTTTTGTTTTTCAGTTAACCTTTTATAAGATCCATGGTAAAAAGAATGGTTTACTTTTTTTTTTTCAATTGCAGAGGGAAATGTGCATTTGGGATTTTTTTGACCTTTTTCCATTTAATAAACATGTTCTCTGAAATTAACTTCTGTTTCTGTTTTAGAACTTATATGGAAATACTCCTTTGAATCCCACACAAGAATTGGTACTGACTTTTATATCCTACATAGGCTGTGGCCTCTCTGCAATTTTTCTTTCTGTTACTCTTGTGACCTACATAGCTTTTGAGTAAGTACCTGTTCAACTAAGCTCCCATTATTCTTCAGTTATGATTGATTGTGGTCTTCACTGCAAAGTCCTTTCCAACAGTTATGGATTCTGTCTCCATTAATAATGCACAGATTTGGCCAGTTTACCAAGAAGGTGTTGATTCAGTCTTCAGGAATGTTAATCTTACAAACGAGTGAATTATCATGAAGCTCTCTGCATCAGAAGTGAAGAAGTAGCACTCTGACATATTTTATAATGGATTATCACAGTAGAATTGTGAGGGAATGTGTTTAACATACAACATATAGAAAGCAGTGTAGAATTATAGCATTTTAAATGCACTTGTATTCTTTGTTTATTCTCTCATTATTCTGTCTTTAAAGCCTTGTCTCTATCAAAGCTTTAGAAGCCCTGTCAAAAGCCTAATCTAGTTTAACAATAAAGAACAGCCACATTTTGGGTTTTGGAAGCATTGTAACAAGAAGTTCAACATATAATGTAAAAAAAAAAAACATGGCACTAAACTCAAAGACTCCAAGTTATTGTTTGTATTTATGTAACTTTTTCTAAAAAACTTTATCCATATAAGCTGCTAATTTGGAAATATTTTGTAAATTATTCTCTCCATCTATAAATCCAACATATGAAGCATTATATATGAATGAAAATATATTTTTTTTTCATAGGCATTTGTGCACTAAGGACAGCAAGGGAGGAAATAAGCCAGGGATCTCTGGACAATTGATGTCATGACACTGATTTGCTTTTTCTTTAGGAAAATCCGGAGAGACTACCCCTCCAAAATACTTATTCAGCTGTGTGCTGCGTTACTTCTGCTCAACTTAGTTTTCCTCCTTGACTCATGGATTGCACTGTATGATACACGAGGCCTCTGCATTGCAGTTGCAGTATTTCTTCACTATTTCCTCCTGGTTTCCTTCACCTGGATGGGCCTGGAAGCTTTCCACATGTATCTGGCCCTTGTGAAAGTCTTTAATACCTATGTACGGAAATACATTCTTAAATTCTGCGTTATTGGCTGGGGTATGTAATTTTTTTCCTCTTTTGTATGCTAAATAGGTAATTCCTCTTACCAAGTATTCCAGTGAATGTGACGCAGTTCAGAAATGAAAATTAAGCCATCATTAAATATTAAAACCTTGCAGTGACCAGGTGTTCATTATCAGTGAACCCGATCCGGTATGTTCCACCTTACTGAGGTATGGACAGTCCCCCCAGCTGCAGAACTGAAGCTTCTGCAATGCAAAGGATTGATAAGGAATTGTCTGTGTGCTAGTACAATAGAAACGATTTTTAATGGGCATACTTCCATTTCCATTTACCAGACAGATGGTGTCAGTCGTATTGGGAGAATAAATGCCGATAAGTATATATATTGCATTTCTGGGATAGCACTGTTGCTAACAAAAAGCAGCAAAACAGGTCTAATTGGATAGAGGATGAAGAGATCCTGGACCTGATTGTTGTCTCTGGCCATTTGAGTAAACATGAGTCAAGGCAGTAAAATGAATGGAATTGTTTTCTTAAAACATATGTAAGAAAGAAAATCAGGTATCCTGCAACTGATATTTTAAATCAGTTTGAGTGATGGCATTTGTTGGCTTATTCAGAAAGTTTTGGAGCTAGATGTGGAGAACTCCTCTTGTTTCTTTGCAAGTTGTTCTCCTCAGCAGTTTGAAAGCTGCAGTTTTTAGATTCTTTCAGAGAGCTAGTAGTTAACAGAATTCAACAGATTGATTTCATAAACAAGTTGAAGATATCATAAAAAAATATAATTTCAAGTCTTCATAATACTGTCTTTGTCAGGGTTTTCACTTCTGTGTTTGCTCATAATATTTCAGGGTTACCAGCATTAGTTGTGTCCATTGTGTTGGCAATATCACCAGATAATTATGGACTTATAACCACTGGAAAGGTTTCAATAAATGGACCTGATGAATTGTGAGTTAAAGGGAGGTGCTTTGGGGGAGGGAGGGAGGGAGGGAGGTCCTACAGAATTGGGTTTTCTTTAAAGTAAAGGTGGGGAAGGGAAGGAAGCAGTGGTAGTGCTTTGAAATGATGCAGCTCTACAGTATATCATGTGTTTTATGGTAATTGCCTGTAGGAAGGCTCGTGCCCTTTGGCTGAAAGAACTTCTCTAAAAAGGCAAAAATGATTTGCACGTGCAACAAACTACATGTGTATCTCCTGTTTATTTTACTTAATTTCTCTTTCTAATAATGGTTGACAGACTGTTCTTTTGTTCTAGCTGCTGGATTAAAAATAGAATTGTCTTCTATATTACTGCTGTGGGATATTTTTGCCTGATATTCCTGATCAATATCAGCATGTTCATTGTTGTGCTGATCCAGCTCTGTCGTATCAAAAAGAAAAAACAACTCGGTGCTCAAAGGAAAACAAGTATTCAAGACCTTAGGAGTGTTGCTGGCCTTACATTCTTGTTGGGAATTACTTGGGGATTTGCCTTCTTCACAGTAAATGAGGTATTTACTTACCTCTTTACCATTTTCAACACTTTGCAAGGTAAGCTTTATCCTTCATGTGACAGCCACTTGCATATAATATAACAAACAAAACATTTGGAAATGTCATTTTCTTGATTCAGCAATAAAAATTTAACTTTAATATGTGCTTAAACAGGTTAATTATATTAAAGGCGATACTGCTTTACTGTAATCTTATATTGCAGCTTTGTTATGGTAAGGTACAGGAAAGCTGGATACTATTTATAGGTATAGCATATTTATATTTATAAATACTATAATTTAAAAAATGTATGCAAAACAGACATCATTGGAAGTGACTGTGCTTCTCTAGTCAACAGATCAGTTGTGAATACTCACTTACTGTAAGTGTTCACATTATGATGCAATAAATCTAGTGAAAACTGTATCATTTCTCCACTTCCCCTAAGGCTTAGAGGGGCAGTGTGACATTCAGCAAAGGGCCATTGAGACAGGCAGGGCTGTAACATCTAAAAGGTAGTGGCTTAACTCTTAAGCATGGCCTGTGGTACTTAAGAACATATGTGAAATAGATATGAAGGCATAAAGCTTTGCAAAGACCAGGATACTAATGCACATATCCTAAAGCAGAGTGTCAGAGGCTGCAAAGGCTTTTGTATAAATGTACTGTAGGTGCCTACAGTTATCTAAGTATACCTGAATTATCCTGTTGAAGTTTGGATCCGAACTTCTGCTTAAATGGCACTTAGATGACTGGCTGGGTGATTTCCAGAGAGACTAAAGCAATGAAAATTGCAGTTCAGTGTATATGCCTCTCCCCTATTTACTGTGTTGATTTTTGAGTACCTTACCCTTTGGTAACATGAGGGGCTGGACCTACATTTTCTCAGGTCTTGCATGGGATTGCATTGAACTAACACAAGACTATATTCTGTGTGGTCAGAATAATCTGTTACATGAAGCTAAGTTCCCTGTTTACCCAGTTTTAAGTTAGGTGGTGGGCAAATTTTGATATTGGAAGTGCATAAATAAAGGTGCATAAATTGTATTAATTGAACTAAACTTATACTGGTGTTTCAAAACCGTTTCAAAATATTTGAAAGTGGCATAGAACCGTTTGGTATAGAGCAACACTTTGTTACAGTCAAGAACTAATCCTAAAAACCAAGGTAAAGTAAGATATGTAAGCAAAGAAAGATGTGAATAATCGTTTCCAGTGGGATTTTATATGCTTAATTTGCCCAAAAAGCAGTGTAAACATAATGTACATACGTGTCTACACAGGTCTGCTCATTTAGTTTTATCTCTTTATTCATTGTTAACGTCTGTTCTCAGGGAAATGTTGCAGATGGATAGTGATGATGGGCTTTTAAGCAGGGAAGTTAGATGCTACTCTGTGTCACTTCCTAGAGTCAGTTAGAGACGCAGACAAAGAATCTGTAATGTGGCACTGGCAAGAGACGGGATGAGCACCATCCCTTCTAGAAAATATTTGAAATTGTAGTAGAGAGGGTCCCATTTATTGGTATTTTGGATACGAGTTATTTTCTGTTAACAGGTTAGCTGCTAATAGAAGATATGACAGTGTCACACCATGTGCTAAAAGCTGCACAGCCTCACAGTGACATACCTCACCCTCTGTTTGACATTACTTGGAATTCTTTTCCAAAAGCGTTAAGTAAATTTCAGGATCAACAGAATTTTTCGCTTTTTATTTGATAGAAGGAAACTTTATGTACCTTGTGGATTTGGTTGTATTTGTTGTTTTTCCATTTGTATGTATGATTCCTCTAAGCTATGTATGGAAAAAGTACTCTGCAGTGTTCAGAGTTTTAAACTTTTTCACCAGAGAAAGATGTCATTACTTTTGATTAGAAATTTAAAAGAAATGAAAGAAAACCAAAACACAGTTCATTAAGAAGTAGCAAAAGTAAATTTTGCAACATTCTTTAATATTATTGCTTTGCAGGGTTCTTCATTTTCATCTTCTATTGTGTAACAAAGGAGAACGTACGTAAACAGTGGAGAAGATATCTCTGTTGTGGGAAATTCAGGCTGGCTGAAAACTCTGGTAAATATGAAAATTTTTTTTAATTTTTTTTTGTACTTCTGAGTATTTACTCAGTGTTAAGTTCCTAGTATTTTGTAATACTTTAAAAAAAATTAATCAGTTATGTTGCTGCAGTTGCAGTTATAATGTATTATCCAAGGTATAATAAAACTCCCAAATTTATAAGGGTGGTAGGTGATACAGTTCTTACATGCTTACTTAGATGCCAGATCAGTAATTATTGGGTTGGAACCACCTTGAGGGGGCTATATTTGTGGGTGTGGGGGTGTGTTGGAGCAGGGAAGGGATGAGTCGAACCTCACGGAGGTGAGGTGGTATCGTGTCCCTCAGGACAGGACCCTGGAACCAACATGGGGAAGCCCCAGAGTAACTGTCAGTCACAAAGAGCCTGGGAAAACTATAACACACCACACCTCCTGGAGCCCCTAAGCCAGGCTCGGATTGGCAGGGACAGTGAGGACACTGCCCCTCACCCTGGCCTGGGACCCCAGAGTGCCCAGGGGATCAGACACCCCTCCTGGAGGGGGTGACCATAGGGACCAGAGCAGATAAAACCAAAGGCATATGTTTGCCACATGTTGCAGCCCTGCCACTTGGATGTTTGAGACCTGGTCTTCCACAAGGTTCCAATGGTAGCTACATGATCTGTCTCTCCTTCTTCTTCTTTCTCTTTGCTCACACTGCTTCTCTTTCTTTGCTCCTTTCTTGATGCTTTGGGTGGCTTGGAGCTCGAGGCTTGGATTTTGACTTAAATGTGGAGACATTGGATTTTGACTTAAAGGTGTGGAACGTAGTATGTGCTGGGTCAGTATTGTAGTGGAACATTTTCATCCAGCTTGTGTGGTGCCCTTTTGAACTTTTGCTAAGTTCCCTTATTTTGACCCCTAAATTATTAATAAAAAATACCTCTTGGGAACAAGTCTGTAGCTTATTCTCTTGATGCTATCTCGAGGTATTAAAGAACCTTATATATAGATAGATAGATAGATAGATAAAAGTAAAACTCCTAGCTGAGCCTGTGAGCTTGCAGCTACTGGGAGTGGAGTGTTAGATCTTTGGCGCAGAGAGCAGGGGACCTTTAGAGGAAAAGAGGTATTTTTTTGTTTGGGAATAACTGCAAATTGCAAACAAAGAGACAAAGCATGTCAGTCGCCAGCAGCCACCGTGGAAGGTGAAAAGAATCTAAACTGTTCCCCACTTGTTGAGCTATTAATAGGTTATGAGACATACCTAGTCCCAAAAAAAGAAAGATGGGCTGAGGAAAACTGGCATGATCCCAAGTTAGTCTCTAACAAAAGAAAAGAACTGCCAAGACAGAATAAAAAGAGATGTGGTAAAAGAAAGACTTTAATCTGTTCTTTGCTGAGACTTGTGCTGATGACTGCTCAGAGAGAGAAATTTGTTACTAAGCAGAGCAATCAAAAACAGAATGAGTCCTTAGTTGAGTTAAGACTGGCTGTGAAAGCTGAGAGTTTATCTCACCAAAAGGCGGAGGAATGGTTGAATGCTGAAAAGAGATTGGTTGAAAACGTGACAAACAAGTTGAACGAGTCCTGTGAGAGAGAAGAAAAGAGTTGTAGTTGCAAGTGGCCCACCTGAGTGGGGGGGATGGAAAGTGACTCAAGCCTGGCTAAGGAGGCGAGATGTTAACCGCGATGCCACTTCCCACCTGGGCAGGGGAATGGGGAGTGAAGTAAAATCCCCTAGCCTGGCTAAAGAAGCAGAGTATCTTAACTGCGATGTCACCTCTCTGCACTCCTGGGAGGCAGAACCCACCTCTTTGAAGGAGAATTTTGATACAGTAAAGCAAAAGCTCCCCCTCCTATCTGAATTACGTCTGCTTTTAAAGACTAGATTTGTGTATGAAGGTGAAGATGAGGCAGAGCACACTGTAACAACTAAAAAGATTATTCCCCAACAAAGTAGTTAAAATTGCAAGAGAAATACAGTAAGCATGCATGAGAGAGTGATATAGAGTATATCTGGAGAGTTTCACTCACAGGTGGAAATAAGATAAAACTTTCAGATGAAGAAACATACAGATTTTGGGGCCCGGACGTATTTCTAACAATGCCTGATGGTAGAAAACCTTGGTCCCTTACCCAGAGAGCAGTTTATTGAGCAGAAAGACTGGACCCCTTGGAGAGCAGAGAACCTGTCGCTGTGCCCACCCCAACACTGGGTAAACTCACTAAAAGCATACAGCAGGCTGTTTGCCTCCAGTGAATACACGAAAGGTGGCTTGTCCCTCGCCAGCCCCCTCCCATGTGGTTGCTAGCCAGTCTGGACAGACTGAATCCCCTGATAAAAGGACTACCTGATTCCTCAAAGCTTTATGCCACCCAATTGCAAGATGGCCTTAGAGCTGCTTGTGCAGGAGCGCTGTGGGCAGGACCTGGTTTTACTTGGGAGGAAATAGCCAAGGACTTAATAAATTGTAGTAGACAGATAAGTGTTGTTGCAAATGAAGTGAAAAATCAAACGCCTGTCCGTAGGATGGAGTGAAGGGCAAAGCCTCCACAATTTAGAGGCTGAAATTGGAAGACAAAGTCTCAAAGAGCCAGTTGTAGAATGCAGGATTGAAAAAGGGTATCCCTTGAGAACTGATGGACAGACAGTCAAACCAGTATTTACAAATGCTTGTAAAAATGTGGAGTCAGTTGAGTGATAGTCCCCAAAAAGGAAACAGTGCTACTTCAGTGCCTGGCAGGTTGGAAATATCTACAGCCTCATTAGCTGAAAAGTCAGGAAATATAACAGAAAGCTCTCTGAAAACAAAGGAGGAGATATAGTAGTAACCTTTCCTGTTGGTCCTTTATGGTCCCCCTCCACCTTGTTAGTTGATATAGGGGCCCATATTTCTGCCTTGAAGGAAAGAACTGCAAAAAGATGTGTGGTAGTCCCTGATAAAAAACAGATTTATGTTGCTGATGTGTTTGGCCACAGCAGACGGCTCGAGTGAAATGCTGGTTACCGGATGATGATTGCCCCACTAAGGCCATAATAATATTGGGTCCTTTCCCTAGGAATATTATGGTATTAGACCTCCTTAAAAGAAAAGCCTGGCTAGATTATAAGAGGAATGATTGGAAATTTGGTTCCCCAGCTTTCCATCCCTTGCCTCTGGGAGCCAGAAAAAGAATTGCAAGCCAAATAGCAATTGTTGCATAGGTAGCCACCAATGCCCATGGCAGAGAACACAGAGTTAACACCAAGTGGATTGTTCCCTCTTTTTAAGACCAGTCTCAGCAAATTTTCTTTTCTCTCCTCTCATGCAAGTGTCCAAAGAGGAGATGAAGGGCCAACAAGACTGTTTCTGATTCCTGTATTTACTTGCACTTGAAAGATCTACAAGCAGGAAATCCTAGAATAATAAAGTCAACTCCAGAAACAGAAAATAGCTGCAACAGAATTAGAGACTGTAAAGTAAAAAGACTAAAAATGTCACCTTTTTTGTTAGGAAAAAGCAGTCTCTAGCATAAGACCGTAATAATTTTGTGACTTTAAGTTTTGTTTTGCTGCAATGTTTATGTTTCTTTTCTGATACCTACAGCAAGTGCAATAGCTCTGAATAACCAAAGTGTTGTATACCCCTTCCTACCTCCTCAGAGTGGATAGCCACTGGAGGGAGGGAGAAAAGGGGATAACAAAGACTATGGGTAGCAGCAAAAAGTTTTCTCCAGCTGTAAACAGGTGAAGATTTTGTGTTTAGTAACCACTGAAGTTTTTTTGTAAGTTAGACTGAGTTGGTAAGAACAGTTTCCTCTGTGGCAACCAGATTATTGTGTATTACTGAATATCTCTTTCCCATGATACACCCTGACATTGCCCCTGAAACCTGCTTGGTGGGAAGGATGAGGGTGGTAAAGAAGTAGTCTAGGATATAGGTATTTGGTTTGAGTTAATGCTTAGTGTGTTGTTATTAAGTAAGCAAAGACTTTTAAAGTGCTGCTCCTCACCAAAGAAGGATGCTGTCCACAGATTCCAGTGGAAGAAGTCCTCTGACCACTGCAATAAGCAGATTCTGAACTCTTTCCCTGGATCCTGGTTTGCTGCAGTTCGGGACCCACAGGGTGAGAGATAGATTTGCATAGAGCAGAGTTTCTATATTGATAGAACTCCTAGTTTATAGTTATTGATATAACACCTGCCCACTGTGTGCTTTCTTGCATACTTTCCTCTTTCTCCTGTCCTTTTTCTCCCTCTGTCCGCTAGATTGTACCACGGCTACCTCTACAAGAATATGAGAAATGGTTAAACCTGGTCCCAATGGTTGTTCCGACCCAACAGAGTGGAATGTTAGACACCAGATCAGTAACTGTTGGGTTGGAACCACCTCGTGGGGGGTACATGTGTGTGTGTCTGGAGAGGGACAGGATGAGTCAAACCTCACGGAGGTGGGGTGGTGTCATATCCCTCCTGGCAGGGCCCTGGAACCCACATGGGGAAGCCCCGGAAAAGCTGTCAGTCACAAACAGCCCGGGAAAACTGCTTTTATTAAAAGAAGGGACAGGAGAAAAAGGAACTATGGTTAGATAATGTTAAACATCAAGAATCATTAAGTTCTGAGGAGAATATAATTCTATCTAGAATACTGTGAGACAAGTGTGTAAAGCCTTGCTTTTAATTCAGTTGCATTATTAACTATATTTTTATATATTGCTTGTATGAGTTGTGCTATTTTCTGTGTCTTGTATCTGTTGCAGACTGGAGCAGAACTGCTACTAATGGTTTAAAGAAGCAGACTGTAAATCAAGGAGTATCCAGTTCTTCCAATTCCTTACAATCAAACAGTAACTCCACTAACTCTACAACACTGCTAATGAATAATGATTATTCAGTGCATGCAAATGGAAATGGTAAGTATAATGCTAAATAATATTTCTCAAGCTATTTTTTTCTTGTCTTAAAACACAAATGCTATTCTCTTTTATGCTGATGTAAAGGGAAGTGCTGCCAAAATAGGGTCAGAATATTTCAGGATTTCCTCACAAATAATATCACACCTCCATTTTGGGGAATTACAGGCAAAGTTGTGAAATATCCATTTCTCCTAGTCCCTAGGAACTCTTAATTTATATATAATTTTGTTGGTAATATATTATTATAGCAATTACTTACCAGAAGCTGCTGATAACACTTTTCTTGTCACCTGAATATATGACAAAAAACTTCAAACACATTTTGAAACAGTTCATTAAACCATATTAGAACAGTTCATTTTAAACCATATTAGAACAAATATTGCCTGAAGAAGAAAGAAATATAGGATAATAATATAGCTTGAAAGTGTGAAAGAAATCAAGTAGGAGGTAATATGAGGAAGAACATTAATTGAGTGCTCATATGGAAGCTGCTTATGATAGCAGAAGTAAGAGGAAATGGAGACTGTAACATAACACCTTAGTGAAGAGGTGACAGGGCTTCCTCACTATTGGCTACAGAGAAAACATTGAAAGTGAATTTCTCTATAGCCCTTTATTTCCCCTGTGGGGTTTTTAAGGATGTTTTTGCCTAACAGAAACATCTTTGTTGCAAGAAACAATTCTTCAGAATTAAAATTCTCTATCCTTCCTGCTCTGACATAATACTGTCCTCTGAACTGCTACTCTATGCTCTGTTCCTGATAAGTTGAAATGCAGGTGTATGTAGCACTCCACTCAATTTCACATGCAATCTGGTGTGGCTTATTTGTCTATTGAGAAAACTAGATATGAATCACCACTGAAGGTACTTATTAAAAACTGATCTTTTTTCAGTGGACATAATCTAGTTTTTCACACTCTTGCTGGGCACATTTCGTGCTGCTAATTTGAGCTCTCAGAAAAGACAATCAGGTTTTCAAGGAGAAAAATAACTTAAAAACCTGTAATGGACAAAAACTTAAGCAAATCTCAGAGGACATTACTCCTGTGTGCCTAAGGTATCTTTCCCTATTGATTAAGAGTTGAGGCTAAGAAGTCATGTAATCAGCTGGAATGTTTATTATGAGTTTGTTGAACACGCTCAGAGAGGTGATGTTGCACTCATTTCCTGGTCCATGCTGTCAGAAGACAGCAGATAATCAGTGGGATAATCTCAGCAGATAACCTCTCAGATGTATAGAGTGCATGCCCCCTAATAGATTACTGTCCCTTTGAATGTACTAACTGCATATTCTAAAGAAATCACAATACTTCAGGAAATGGCACTTGGGCATGCCCTGAACAGTTTTGCAAACTGAGCTTGTAAAACAAGTTTCTTTTTTTTTTCCTTTTGTTTCTTTCTTTTTTTTTTTTTTGATATTCGTTTATAAAATCTCTCTATTTGGATACCACACAATGCAATAATTAACATACTTTGTATCTACCAGGTCAGTTAAGAACCAGAATCCAGTAACTCTCACCACTAAAGTCAGGTAACATTTTAGGTAGAAGTATTACCTCTCAAAGAGAGAAATTGTCAGGCACAAAAGCTTGCATGTCTTGATGGGTATGTTTTTTTCCCCAGCTCTGATGAAAGATGCTGCCTCTCCCTCTATGTGTATAAACATTTTGCATGCTTATACACAGCTACAAAAGCATTTTGGCTGCTTTTCTCAACAGAAAGAAAGATAACAGAAATGTTCTAATAAACCACTTTGTTGTAGCAACTGAGTGAATGGTCCTGTTGTGGCTTTCTGGAAAATGTTTTTGTTGTTTTGGATAGCATTTTAGAATGAGATGCTAAATTGATGATCTAAACCGTTGAGTGATGCAAATTCTGTGGGACGTCCTCCAATTCTGTCCTAGTTTATTCACATAATTAGATCGTTCCAGTGTGACAGTCTGTGTGTCCGGTGCCAAAGGCTTCTCAGACAAAGCAAGCTGAAAGAACTTTGTTCCAGTGCATTCACGAACACAGATGTCCACTTCATTTTCTCCTGTATTTTATTGTATATTTTGAATATACTGTCAACCTTGTACCACAGCATCCACTCATGTCAAGACGGCTGTATGATACCTTGCTTGCATGGTTTGAGTAAATAATTCTTCTGGGTCTTTAGGACTTCCATGAGAAGATGCTAAACCTATGCTTGGATAGAGCTGATCCTCCCAGCAAAGCTCTTTGAGGCAATTCCTCACAGTTAATCTTCCAAACATGGGACAGTTGTATCTCGGAAGAGCTGCCTCCGAAAGGCAGTTGACTGGTGTTAGGAACATAGGACCTTCTAAGTTGCTGCTCCCTGCTTTCACAGCCAGAACTTCAAAATAGCATTGTAATGCTTTGCTTTAAAAAGTGAGCTCCAAAAAGAAAACACTCTAGAAATGAAGACCTATGTCATAAATATACTGAGCTGTAAGCACTTAATGGTTTTGGCCTCACTGCTTCCACTGAAATGCTATTCCAGACTGAGGACTGAATGGTTTATCATGATAAGTTTGGGATGTGGCTTTGCTTGCCTGCTGGACAGTGTAACTTCATCTTTTCATGGCATTTTAATATTTCCTTGTTTTCAGTTTTTCTGGTACTGATTTGCATGCTTGGGAAACTGCCATTAGGTATCACATGGCTGAGCCTGCAGATTTCCTCACTGAGGAAGAGAAACTACCTTTCTAAATTTGTTCACACAATAGCCTTATTTTCTTCTAAGATTTTGCCCTAACGTTAGGGCACAGCCATTTTGAACACTCCTTATAAAGCAAAACAGTTGTAGTCAGGCGGGGTTTAAACAACAATTACAGTGTCAGCAAGTATGGCTATTTTCTGTCATTTCAGTTTTCTTATGATTTGAATTGATGAACAAAGCTCCCCTCCTCATCTTACCCTTTTTGCATTTGTGCCTGTTTAAATGCTTGATGGCTGCTTAAATCAATAACCAAACAATAAAAAAAAATCCAAACAGAAGCATTTACACAAATACTTAGAATAAAAAATTTCAAAATCTCATAAAAATATTTAGAATGTGATGCATAGAGGTAGGAGATTCTATCCAGTGAACAGAGCATTTGTGGAGCATTTAATTAAAAGGCTTCAGTTACCGATGGTATTATGTATTCATTGTAGAATCACCTAAATGTGTTAGATTCTCTCCAGTCTAAATGGCTTTGACCCCATCATTGGACCTAGGCCATATTCTGATTGTTCTTCAGAAATAAAAGCTGCACACTGAATGCCTTTAAAAGGAAAAAAAATACCCTTGTTTTCTCAAACACTTGCTTCTTTCGGATGCATGGCCTACCTGAGAAACCTTTTAAACTTGATAAAGCAAAACTAAAATAAGGAGTATTTTGCATCTTATCTAGTGATATTTATTCCAAGTCAAGGTTTATATTTTGAGAATCTTGAGCCTCACTGCATAAAACTGTGGAATCCTATTTGTCTCGGTTTAACCAGACACAAGTGTTTGCTAAGGAGGGCTGGATACGAGAAAAACCAAGCTCCACCCTCTAAATAATTATACCTTCGACATTAAGATGCTCTAATCGAAAAGGTGTGGAAAAGAAAAATAACGGCTGTTTACCAGAGAATATATATGTATAGGTAACACGACAGAAGAGAAACAAGCAACAATCCTGCACCCAAACTCCCTCCGAAAACAATTAAGTCCTTTTAGCCTTTCGGAGCAGTTCTAACCACGGCCATCACGAGTGCGGTGGGGCTCCGGTGGGACCCCACGGAAGGCGAGGGGAGGGGAGGAGGACGGTGATGGTGATTCCTCCTGTGGAGTCACACTGACAAAGGCTCTGGCTGGAATTCCTCTTCCTCGACAGTCGGTGTAAACTGCTACCGGCACGGAGAAGGAGGAGTCGGGGGTAAGAACAGCCTTTCCTCTCAAAAGTTCTCCTGCAGATGGTACCGGCTTCTCCTATGAAATCCGAGGCGGGTCCGGGCCGTGGGCACAAACAGGGCGTGAGGGAACGGAGGCGAACCGAGGCCAAAGGCAGATAGGTGGCTTGGCTGAAAACAAAGTGAACCCCGGAGCTCTTTATTTTCACACGCACCCTCCCTGAGTCCGGGCAGAAGTGAGATGCTGGCACCAGAAACAAAAAACCAAAACCTCACCTTCCTCTACAGTCTCCTGAAGCCATTAGCTTGGAATGGGGGACTATTAGCCAGTCCTTCAGTCTGGCCATCTCCTCCCCCTCCCTCACTCAACAGCTTTCTTTCACAGTGGTAAAGGGAAAAAATTCCAAGCAGTTTTTTCTTCTTTCTTTTAAACAAGAAAACCTATGAAATTATTGCTCATAAATATATTGACATCTCTCAAATCTCATGATTTCACACTGACAACTATATACAAAATAAGTAGAGAAAAATCCACATTTTTTTTGTTGTTGCAGGGATAAAATGAGAGTCTATGAACTCCTTCGGTGACTGAAAAAGCATGGGAGTCTTAATTCTGAACCTTTCTCATGGGGGATACCCTTTTTTTGTTTCAACAGGCCATCTTTCCAGTGAGAAGAATGGTGTTCCTTTCAGTGTACAGAATGGTGATGTGTGTCTCCATGACTTTTCAGGCAAACAACTTGTATTTCAAGACAAGGATGATACTGGCAGCCAAGAAAGCCACATCTCACTCAGAAGGACTTCAAAGAGAGGAAGCCTAAATTCTATGGAAAAAATGTGATTTCCTTTTAAACAGCACATTGTTTTACAGTGTGAAGTAGAGTTTTACTTTAACAGTTTTACATAATGTGAGCAGACCAAGAACTGATTTTATTTAATATTTGGTTCTGGAACTTCAAGGCAGCCATGCAATGGATTAACAAGGACAATTAAAGGGGAAAAAAAAGGAAGCGACTATTTTTACAAGGTCTTGAATGTCAGATTACAGCTGGCACATTTCCGTTTTGATTCTCCGTCAGAATGGGGGTTTTGAGGGGTTTTTTTACATCTAAACAAAAGTTCTGTTTAGACTTTTTTCATTACAATTAAGTTTATCTGGATATAATGCTTAGTAGTATTGTATAGATGTAGAAAATGCATTACAACTTGTGCATACAAACGATGTTAACTTTAAAAATGTTAGCTACACTGTCCTCAACTTTTTGTACATTGTAGTAGCAAGCTCTGTAGTGATGTACATAAGCAGAAAAATATCAACCCTTAAGCATCTCAATGATACTTTTATATTTATTTCTTGTAATATAAATATTCCTATGTACAGAAAAATAATTGGTATTTTGTTTTTAACTTTTATTGTAAGTTCACATTTTTCTTTAGTTAATTAACAGAATGATACAGAAGTTACTTTGTTCAGTAAGTGGAATCACTTACAGTGGTTTGAATATATTCACTAGATGGAGAACTGTAAATAACAAACAGGATCTGTCTTGAACCTCTAGCAACCTTTTAGTACACCACAGAGGGATAAAAACCGGATATAATCCGAGCAGAGTGCCATGAATGAGGGAGTAATAAGTAAAGTAGTCAGAGGGTTATTAAATACAACTAAGTTATGTTGTGGCTTGAGTAAATCCATCAGAGTTTTTGACACTGATTTCAGCAGAGTCAGTTTTTGTCTTGAGTGGTGGTTCCAGAGATTAAGCACACTGCCATCGCTCATTTGCAATGATGAAAGTAGAGAAGTTTGTGGCTTCTTGGGAAAAAAAAAATAGAAATAATAAATACCAGCTGCTATATTTAGTAGCTGAGAAATTGTTTGCTTCATTGTGTGGCTGTTTTTTAAGGGGCAGCTCTTGGGCTATTCCAATGAGTATTTCTGCTTGTGCTTTGGCCCTTGGTTGGAAAACAAATCCCGAAGCCCTTGCTCAGTAAGTACTGAAGCAAAATTTCATTCCTCTTGTGATATTTACCTGATAAAAGCTGGATTTTCACTCTTCATGCAAAGCAACTCAAAGCCCATACAATGTTGTGAAGATTCTTCCTGAACAGAAATTAGCCTGAGCCCTGGTTGTACCTCTTCCTTCTCATACAGGTGTGTGGCTGTGGTCCACTGCTTTTTTAATCTATGTTCTTGGGCAAAGGCTGGATGCTCCTGGAGCAAGAACTAGAACAAACTGGCACCTGACTGCAGAGTAAGAGACCCTGTAAAGGGGGATGTGTGAAGCAGATACTTGTTGAAGGGGAGCAAGGGCTTTGCTTTCCCAGAGAACTCAGCAGGGAGCCCTGGAAATACCTTTCTCAACAAAAAGCATCAGCTAAATGCCTCCTATGTGGGGCTCTGTTCTAATTCAGCAGTTGAACCTCTTCAGTACTCAAACTCTCTTGTGGTTTTGTGGATAACACATGGCTTCTTTCGGTCACCTATGTCTAAGATTACTCTGAATATGCTTCTAATGTGAGAATTCAAAGTATTCGTTGTGTTTATCCACAAGGTTTTGCTGCATGAAAGCCCATCTTGGAATGCTAGTAGCTGGAGTGCATTTCTGTGAATGCTTTAAAACTATTTGGCTAATTGCCTTTGCAGTGTTTCTTGTAAATTTATTTGATGTTCTTGTATTTATATTTTCAACTGTAAAAAAAAATAATAAATTTGCAGCAAGTACAACACATAAAACACATAAACTTTGTCTTTTAGATAAATGTGTCATTAATACTGGCCTATATTACAGTTCTTCAGATTACATGAACTGCAATAACCTCTTGGAGAAAATGCTGACCTAGCTGTTACATTAATTGTCTCTCACATATTTTACCTTTCATTATTCTAGAAGATTTGGATTTTAGGAGAGAAAACTGTAGTAAGTCTGTCCAGCCCATACCTGTCCAAGTTTGGTGAAGCTCTCCCACAAGAATGCTATAAGCTGAAGCACACAGCTGAGTTTGGCTTCAGTAGTTAAATTCCCTATGAGAACACATATTCCACTGTCACTGACCTGCTTGGAATCTTCCTCTTGTTTCTATTTTTTGCACACTATGTTAGGATTCTTTAAATAATTTTTATTTTACTTATTCCTAGGAGTGGGGAGCCCTTTCTGACTTTGCCACTTAAAAGCACGCACACATTGTAGCAAAATTTTGCACTCACACCAGCATATTATTTCAGCTTAGTAAATAATTATCATCATTAAACTAGCTGAAAATGTGTTTTTGCATTGGGTGTTATGGTATCCTTTGGGTACTCGGTCTGTTGGGCACTGCTAGGAGTTTAGCCACAGCACCCAGAGCTTGGTGAAAGCTGCAACCCCTTCCCAAAACACAAAGTAAAACTGCATCAACTCGTGGGTGCAAAGCTAACTCAGGGACATCTGTAATGAGGTTTTAAGCTTAGTCATAGATAAACAGCAACCTGCCGTGTACAGCTGGCACCACCTTGCTCAGCAAACCTGTTCCCTCAGTGCAGTCTGTGTCTGTAAAAAGCGGTGCCCTGAAGCAAGGAGCTGGTGTGGAGTTTAGGGGCGTGAACTGGTCCGTGTCTTGGGACAGCACAGCTCTGGCAGATGGAAATGGTGAACCCTGACCCCTCCTGGTGGAACCTACAGTGTGTAGGTGTCTGATGTTCGCTGAAGGAATTTGTCTCTTTTGAATGCTGTTTTCTCAACCATGGCTGTCAGTTACATAGTCAATGAAGGCTGCACAGTAAGAAGTTACAGTATTAACTGTTAATGCTGCAATTTCACGTGAGAAAAAAAAAAAGTAAAACAATGGAAAAAAATCCTTTCTGAAATATGAGTGAATCCCATACTTCCAGCTACTCTGCAACATCTGTTCAGTGCTTCAGCACCCATCCACACTTAACACTCTTTTACTTTCTATTGCCAGGAGCACAGAGGGAAGGTGCTGAAGATTTTGCAATTGTACGTAGCAAGTTTGTGGTTTGTAAGTGTTTGTAAACATCTTGGTTCTTTTTGCCTGGCATCCCTTATTCCTGCTCCTCGCTTCTCTTGGGGAACTGCAGCCTGCGGTCAGGCAAGGGCAAATCAAGTCAGAAGCCTAGCTGCTCAATGCCCCTCGGGAATGCCTGTGGGAATAGCAGGTTCGTTTCCTTCAGAAATCTTCCAAGTCTTGTTTCTTTGTTAAGTGGGAAAGTCAAAGCTGGGGCTGGGGTGTGAAAACTTACCTGATAAAGTCTTGTGATTTTTTTTTCTTTTGTTTGTTTGGGTTTTTTGTTTTTGTTTTTCATTCGATGAAACCGACTTTGTTTTTATAACAGATGCTGCATTTCGACAAATGTTTTTGTCCCTCGTCACGCTACGGCCTCTGCCCCGCTCTGTCCTCAGTGCCCCTCGCCCCGCGGTGCCGGCAGTGCCGGCGGCAGGAGGCCGGGCCCGCCCCGCCCCGCCCCGCCGTGAGGGCGGGCTGGCGCTGCCGCCACCGCCCAGGAGGGAGGGGAGAGGCCGCCGCCGCCATCTCCGGCTGTCCCCGCCCCGATCGCCACGGGGAGGGCAGCGGGCGGGCCGGGCAGCCGGGCCGGCAGTGGGGCGATGCGGAGCCGCAGCAACTCGGGGGTGCGCCTGGACGGCTACGCCCGCCTGGTCCAGCGGACCATCCTCTGCCACCAGGTGAGCGCGGCCGCCGCTCCGGGGCGCCTGTTCGGGGCGGGAGGGCCCGGGGCGGTGGGGCTGTGGCGGGGGGCGCGGGGGAGCTGCCGGGGCCGGTGACGGCGGGCTGGGTGCAGGAGGGGCACGACGGGGCCGGTGGGAGAGCATCCCCCCTCCAGCCGGCTCACGGCCTCCTCCCCTCCGCATCTCCTGTGCCCGCCGGGAACGCCGAGGCGCTGCGGATCCGGGCGGTGCTCGCTGCCGCTTGTGTACATGCACCTTGGAAAGCCTGTGGAAAATACAGCGAGCCTGAGCTTGCAGATAGTAATACTGTGTAATAGTAGTAACGTGTTCGTGGCCATCCCCTCCCAGTGAGGGGATATATCTCATTGTGATCTTCAGCATCCTCAGGAGGAGAAGCGGAGGGACTGTTTCCGATCTCTTCACGCTTGTGAACTGTGACAGGACTTGAGGAAACGATACAGAGCTGAGTCAGGGGAAGTTTAGGTTGGATATCAGGAAAAGGTTTTTCACCCAAAGGGTGGTTGGGCACTGGAACAGGCTCCCCGGGGAAGTGGCCACAGCACCAAGCCTGACAGAGTTCAAGAAGCGTTTTGACAACGCTCTTAGGCACATGGTGTGTGATGTGATTCTTACGTGTCCTGCACAGGGCCAGGACTTTTGGACTCGATGATCGAGATGATTCTCTTCCAACTCAGTATGTTCTATGATTCTGTGTTATGATACGTTATGTTATGATACCCACCCGCTGCACGCTATACACCACAACATGCCCACAACACCATTAAGCCCTGATAACATAAGAGCTCTGAGCAGGACCTTTGGGCCGTGTCTGTCAGCACAGTTCGATGTGGATCCGGGACAGCACAGGGCTCGCTGTGTGCTCGCTGTGTGCTCCCAGTGGCACGTGTGTGCGGCGGGGCACGTCCCAGAGATTCCAGTCTCTTCTCCCTCTGTTAACGCTGCTGGGGCTCTGGCTCGTCAGACAGGGCTGCCTGCACATGTGAAAGAGCGAAGATAGCGGGGATGGTTGGGGCAGGCTGTTACTCACACTGTGCCTTTTGGTCAGCGCAGTGCTCTCTGCTTTGTGTGCTCCCTCCACCCAAGCCGGCTCTGAGGACTCACAGTGTGCTCAGCAGTGTCATGCCTCGGTTATAACAGTCCAGTACATAAAGATGAGAGCAACAGAGTTACTTGCACAAATCAGTTACCAAATATACTTTGTTGCTGAGAGTTTCAAGAAATTGGAAAGCAGTGAAAAAGAGGGCAGGACTGAAATCTTCCGAGGTCAATAAAATTTTTGTCACTGTGCCCAGATGCTGTTCTGGGCCCAGGGTCCAGACACCAGTGAATTGGTGTTTGTGTACTTTTTATTATGAACTCTTGTATTTGTAAACAAATACAAGAAAATCTGGAACATAAGTGGTTTGAAGAGATAATTTCGCTGTGCAAGGGTGCAGGAGATGCTTAGGATGACCTTGGGCAAATCACTTTGGCTTCCAGTACCTGCTTTGCTTTCCAAGTTTATAAGATGAGAATACTGATAACAGCCTTAATTTAGAAGAGAGATGGAGCCTCTGAGATCAAAAGCTCAAACATGCCCCATGAAAGCTGTGCCTTAATGTTATTGATATTTAACAATAGTAAAAAGGGGGTAACTAAATGGTAATACAGGAGTGACCCAGAATTTTTAATTGCTATTTACAGTGCCAGGATGAGTGTTGGTGACTGTGTATTGCCTTTTCCACTTAGACTTAATGTCTGGGAGACTTCAGAGGTGGGGAAAGTTTTCTTCTTTATGTGGAAAGCAAGCCACAGGCTAGAAGCAAGGCAGAGGGACAGTGATATCACAAGAGGGCCCAGAGAGATGCTCAAGGCATGTTTCTAGATTTTTTTTCTATATGTATACCCTTTATGTTTTTTCACTGCAATAGATTGAAAATGTTGTGCTCACCTGAGTGAAGAGATGCAGTGCTTACTTGGGCAAGTTAGGATGGTTGTCTTTGGGCCACATGCAATCCTGACTTCCTTGGGAGCAGAATAATCTGTGGCTGGACGGGCTGGGCTGCTGCCTCACTGCCACTGGTGCCTTCTTGGTTCCAGGGAGGGGGATTTTAGCCATCAGTTTGCCCAGAAGCAGCCTGGCAGAAGAGCCAGAAGGCATTTAAAATGCTTGTGAGGTGTCTCCACTCAGCACAGGGGTGATGTGTGGCTGTGACCCTGTACCTCACACCCAGAAGCTGCCCGAGCGCAGACCTGGCTCACCAGCTGGTGTGCTGTGATGGAGGGCAGTGACACGCTCAGCTTTGTAGGGGTGAAGCAAGGACAACACGTAGTGTGCTCAGAACATTTTGCTTTGATACACCTGGTTTAATACACCAGGAGTCAGGTTTCTCAGAAGCAGCAATTGATCTTGTGTTCATTCCAATCCCTCTAAACTGATGTGATTTTAGAGGTAATTTTTAATTGAGAGCGTGCATATGTGCTGCCAGGCAGATGTTTCCAAAGCCCAGGTCCGGACCCTGCACCAGGGTTGACAGTTTTTTGTGTGCAGAACTTACAGGATGGGGTCAGCAGCAAACTTGTTCTTGCTTTGCAGATGCTGCATTCTGCTGATCAGTCCCTGCACCATGCACAGTGATAGGTCCTGTTAAAGGTTGTTCAAGGAGGCTAAGACCAGACAGCTGGCTCCTGTCTGTGTGGGATCAGCCGGCAGTTCCATGTACCCCCAGGGACAGGGGGCAGAGGGATGCCTTGGTGCTGTAGCAGAGCAGACACTGAAGAGCACCACCAGAAGGATGTTCTCAGCTGTGTGCTTTTTAAATATTGATACAGTACTATAAGTGAAAAGCATATGGAACTGATAAGGAAAGCACATCTGTCATACTTTTATGAGTAAGCCCAGCTGTGTTACATCTGGTTTCACACAAGCAAGCTATCTGCAGGCTTTGCTAGAGCTTACATCAGTTTTCACCTGACAGATCAATGAGACAGGTGCAAATTAAATAGATTTTCAGCAAGATGCCAAATGTGGGCTTATTTGCTTTGCTGGTCTGGTTAGAACCCCACTGGTTTTGTGCCTGTACTGCTGAAGTTCTTATTACTGCCTGCTGCCCTGTAGGAACTGGTGTGTTTTGTGGTTTGGGTTGCTGGGGGTTTTTTTGACTCCAGATTAAGAGACAGATTTAAAAATAGGATTGGACATGATACAACAGTTTAAAGTCTTAGTCCAGCAATCAGCTTTCTGTTGCAGCACTCAGCTGGCAGCCCATGGGTGCTGGTAAAATTCTTTGCTCTGTGGATCTGTATGTGCAGTATGATTTGCAGGATGAGACCTGCTAGTCCAATTAGCAATCACTGCATAGGTGTAATGCTCTGAAGTACTAGTTGAGCTAAAATCCCTTTGACATCTGTGGGATTAAGTGCACTCAGTGTTCCTTTGAGCTCTTTAGCACCTTGTAAGTGCTGTAGTTTTCATATGGTGTCAGCAGGTAACAGGAGAAAATAATTGTAGTTTTTAAAAGTAAACACTTTCTAAAAAATCCAGAACAAAACCACTTAAAATATTAGTTCATATATTATGTTGTTCTGCTAACTGAATGTGCATGAGGAAAGACATTAATGTCTTGTTAGTCCATGAGAACCAGCCCCAGTGTGCCCCAAAAGCTGTGACCATCTTGTAGAGGAACCAAAGGTTCTGAAATGGTGATGGCTGCCCTTGGATGTGTTTAATACAGCCTCTTGAAGGTAGGCAGGTCCCTCCCTGGGAACTGAAAAGTCTTTTAGAATCTTGCATGGGCCATTTTTCTGGGACTTCCATTTTGGTACCCAGATACATTCTTATTTTTCAAGTAGAAGCCAGCCCAGCATTATAGAGTGGGGAAAAATAAACCAAAATGATAATTTTGCAGACAGCAAAGTGACTCTATTAAGCCAGGGCTGCAGGTGCATAGACATTTGTTGTCCTGCATGGGAGGAAGGGAACCAAAGTGCTCTAAAAATGCCAGGAATACGCTGTCTGCCTTTTCAGATCCTGGGTTTTGTCTTGTGGGCACAGTGCTGAACTGGGACCGAGGTTTCCTTGTTTGCTTGCACACTTGTTCTTCCCTTACTCCTTGCTTGACTTTTCAAGATCAAAATGACGTTTTTTAAGCTGTTTGCATTCCTATGTCCTACTTTCCCCATCAAACAGGTGAGTAGGGGGTCCTTTAGTTGTTACTTGGTTTGTGGAGACCGTGCTGAGGAGGGACTGTTTCAGCAGAGCCATATATTTACTGCCAGGGAGTCTCTAAGTGCTGCTGTATTTAGACCATAACAATAGGGCAGACTGTCATATCTGTCAGGCTGTCACCCCTGTGGTGTTCAGTGGTCACATGCAAAGCCCAGGAAATTGTAACTGAAGCTCCTCCCCCTCAAACCGACTTCTTAAAAATAATGATGAAAGGAGCTGAGTGAACAGTGTGTGGGAGAAATGACAGATTAGTGTATGTATTCTTTTAAATTTTACTCATCTTTATTATTGTAATCTTTGCCCCTTGTCACGTCAGCCCTGGCAACTGGTCTTCATTCACTGAAATTTTCTGTAAAGGCTTGATTTGATTGAAACTTCAATCAACCTTTTCCTTCTTTGCCTCATTTTTTTGTTAGTGAAGAACTACACCCAAGAAAGATAGTCTTAAAAATTATGGATAGTGAAGTGATGGGAATCAATGATGCAGTGAAAAATTTAATGGAGTATTTGGGATGCAGGAGACTACTCAGTGTGCTGCTTTTCAACACCTTCAGAATTTGTCTTTCTGTACATTTTCCAAAGGAGAATATAAAAAGACTTTGCATACATTCATTTAGCTGTCATAAACCCAGCAGGCAGATATACAGAAATACTTTTTTAATCTCCTAGAAGATAAGCTGTGTTTTTTTACTTCCTCATGATTATGTCAGAGATCGGATGCATAGAGATGAATATATTCCAGACTGAATTTTTCATGTTGACTTGGTACTCTCTTTTCCTCACAAATATCTAAAATTTAAATTCCTATTTCCTCAATGTATTTAGAATTTCACTCAGTTACTTAGCTAACAGTCCTGTGTAGATAAGAATGCCCAGCTGGATGCTATAAATTTTACATCCTGAAATGTTCAGATGAATTTTACATTTCACTTCCACGAGTTTAGGAAAGAAAGATGAGACCTCACTTCTGTTGTGAGATTGTGAGAAGCCACAGTGTGGAATCAGCATGAAATCATGTTTGTTTTGTTACCCTTTAATAGAGAAAGAAGTGGTGCTTCCTAATGGATGGGACTTTGGCTAGTGATGTTTGTTCTTTATTCCTTCTGCCGTGGTTAGAATCCAGTCACGGGCCTGCTTTCAGCTGGTGCTGACCATAAAGATGCCTGGGTTCGGGACAACATCTACAGCATCCTGGCCGTGTGGGGGCTGGGAATGGCCTATCGGAAGAATGCGGACCGGGACGAGGATAAGGCCAAAGCCTACGAACTCGAGCAGGTTTGTCAGAGTTTGGTATAAACCAGTTATAAATGCAAACAGAAAAAAAAACGTGTAGGAGTCAAGCTGTCATCCATTGGCCAGTTGTTGAAAAATAAGCTTCTGATTTTGTGAGATTTTAGGCTGAATTAGGCTGAGAGATTTTGTGCCCAGATTTACAAGCCTGTCTCTGATTAAACCTTGAGGTCCCTCATGAGTTGTATTGTACAGCAGAAAATCAGGCCTAGGTTGCTTGGATCCTATGGTAGCAAACTATCTGCCAGACCTTTCTTCCCTGTAAGGATGAGCATGCCATTTAAAGGATCCATCTTTGGAACGTGCACTTGTGTCGTCTCGTGGAGGTTGTACAAGGTGTATAGATGTGTTTGATCAATCCAGAGAAGGTAACAATCTCCAAACTGGTAAGACTCATGCTGGAGAGTTGGAAGGGAACTCACACAGTTAATTTCTTTACTTGCACCTGGGAAAGTGGGTATTAGAAGTGAGGGTGCAGAGATGGGTTGAATGGCAAGTGAGGGACTATTGGTGTCAGTGTCCTGCTGTCACTTTGAAGTCACTGGGTAAATTTTTTGCTGACATGTCCTGCTCAAACCAGGGAGGTCTGTGGTGACAGAATAACCTTGACTCTGCATGGTCATTTTTTGAGGCTATAACTTTTGGGTAAAAAGATGGGGTTGATTTCTTTATTTAAAGCAAAATCTTGTACTTCTCTACATTCATACTTTCTTTACACCAGTCACCTGCCTTCTGTTGTACTGTATAAGGAATGGAAGGAGCTTTACAGGTCTTCCAGTCATGTCAATGTCTTGCAGTCACCTACCAGTGTTCCCTGGATCTGTCACTGTAAAAATTATTATTCTTCTTATAAGACACAGCATTCCTCTCACTTGCTTAGCTGGATAGAAGGACCACAGAGAGTTGTTCCATTGTTTAGAGAGGGCCTTTGGGAAAAGATTTGTGCTTCTAGATAGGGATGTAGGAGTAAAAGTAGAAAACAAAAAAGCATGTAGAGCATTTTGGGCAAATACACACTTCTTTTACCTTTGGCAGGACGTTAGTAGAGGGTGGGATCTTTATCACTTTTGAATGTTGTTTGTAACAGCTGATGAGTCTGACCACGTGAGGGTGTCACTGGTGTGTTTTGTTCCTGCAGAATGTGGTGAAGCTGATGCGAGGACTCTTGCAGTGCATGATGAGACAGGTAATGTCAGAGGTGTGAGTTGAATTAGTATGTGTTGTATTTACAAAGCATTTCATTGAAGCATATATTTGTTGTGTCTTCTGCAGAGTGACTATTTTTGCATGTGTGTAGATGGTGGTGTGGGGAATCTTTTTAAAACTGTTGAGCAAAACTCTGATCTTGCTTGCACTTTTTTGAGATTGTGCTTGTAGCAAATCAGAGTTTTTTGCCTTTGCAAACTGATTTTCACCAAGATATACACCTGTAGTTTAGATCTGAACTCAACAAGGTAATTTCATCTTGTTCTTTCCTGTAGAAATGTGTATGTAACTGGAGTCTATGGTCAGAGTTGTGTTTAAGCACTCTGATCAGTCAAAACCCATTGAAGTGAGGTAACAGGAATTAGAACCTCAAGTTTCTCCTCACCTAAGAAAAGTTGTTGATTTTGAAGTAGTTCTTCTGAAACGTTTCAGCTTTGAGCTTTGTGGTGTTTTTTAGGTAGATAAGGTAGAGCGGTTCAAACGCACGCAGAGTACCAAAGACTGCCTCCATGCCAAGTATAACTCTGCAACTTGTGCCACAGTGGTTGGGGACGACCAATGGGGGCATCTGCAAGTGGATGCAACTTCCCTTTACCTGCTCTTCTTGGCACAGATGACTGCATCAGGTAAGCAGAAGACATTTTTTGCTTTTTGTTGCAGTCTTTTTCTATTCTAGCTTTCATTTAAAAAGGAAAAATAAAGTAGTAACAAGCTTTAAAGACCTTTAAATAATTATTACTCAGAAGGAAGTAATGTTTCTTTGGAAAAGAGATAAGACTTAGGATTTCATGTTTATAGTAACTGGTAGTGTCTATTCCTTTAATGATTACTGGCATGCAAATACATGAGATATTGAGAGTTATGTCAGAGAAGTTTCATGTTTAAAGACAGTGTCCTGATGGACAACCAGGTTTCTTCAGAGAGTGGCAACATCAAATCAGGTGCCACTTTGTGCCATCTGTTCCTTTTCTTACTGGTGCAAGTACTGAGATTTGCTGCCTGACCTATTGAAATCAGTATGAGTTTTTCCTTTGATTTCTAAACAAAAGCATGAAACTTATTGAAGAGTAAATATTTCAGTTCTGATACAGTATAATTAATCCCTTCCCTTCTTTTAATCAGGGTTACGTATTATCTTCACCCTTGATGAAGTTACCTTTATTCAGAATCTTGTTTTTTACATAGAAGCTGCCTACAAAGTTGCTGTAAGTAGTTATTTATATGTAAATCATCTGAACACTGCTCAGGTGTGGGTGGAAAATTACTTATTGATGGAAAAGGAAAACAGGGACTTGCTTTTTCCATGAGAAGGTATCAGAACCTGTCAGTGTTTTATACTGTGAGAAGAGTCTTTGGAGATATTGGGAGGGCTTTGGAGGATTTACTGCTGCGTGGGTTAGGTATACCTGTTCAGTCATAATAACAGAGAGTTTTTTAATTGATAATTAATAATATTTCCTGATGTTTAATTAAAATCTTGTGGGCCTTCCTAAGCAGAGCAGGATGGAAACAAGCGTTCTGAAAGTGACGAGTTGAGGGGACACAGGGAGAAACAGGCACAGGGGGAGGGATAAAGGGCTTTGTGTGTTCTGTGAAGGCAGTGATTCATGACTGTATACCTGATCCTGCTGGGGTATACTTTTATGTGCTGCTCTTTAAACACGAGCAGGGTCTTTTTGGAAACTTAGAACCCTTTTTTTTTTTTTTCCCCTGAAGGCCAATTATAAGCTAATTTCATGCAGGAGTCTGGATTTGTTGTGGGGCAAGGCAGGGGGAAAGCACTGTGTTTGTGTATAATAATGCCGTTTTTTTCTTGATGGTGTTGTTGCAGGATTATGGAATTTGGGAACGTGGTGATAAGACAAACCAGGGCATCCCTGAACTGAACGCGAGCTCCGTAGGGATGGCCAAAGTGAGAATATTTCCTGACACCTCCTTCGTGGCTGTTGTGTCGTGCTGAAGGGCTCTGACAAACCTGATGGCTCCCTTTGCTTAGTGTTCTTGGCCACTGCAGTAGTTAACTGATTGTATAAGAATTCTTGTTTGGGTGTGAGTGAGTATTTCTTAGCGTAAAATCTTTGTGATAATGGCTCTCCTTAAAGGACCTCAGCACAGTTCTTCCAGAGATTGCAATTAGGATATCAGGTTCATTGAACTGTGAAACTAATAGATTCAATAAGATGCAGTCTCATAAAGTGACCTCTGGTTTTCTTCCCTCTTTCTTAATTCTCCAGCCCCAGTATTATATGTGATGTTTTCATGGTAAGATTAAATCAGATGCAAATTCTGGAAAACAGCAGACTATCAGTCTAAGAAATTCTTCACAAGTAATTCAGAAAGAAAAATAAATGAAGGTGTACTTTAAAAAAAGTGGATATTTCTCATTCCCTCATAGCACAAGGTCATAGAGATACTAAAAGAAGTTCAGAAGGCCATAAATGTAAATGTGTAATCGACATCTACCTTTTCACTTGGTGTCTGGAGGACTGGCAGAAGACAAAGATCATTAAGGTCAAAGGTGTATTTGCATTTCAGCTGGGTTAGTTACCAAGATCTTGTGTGCATTGCAAGAGGAGAAACTGCTGGTCTTGGCTCCACAGTTCAGTCAAACAGCAATGGGGCACTGTCTGTCAGGGCAGTTGTTCCTTAGATGTCCACTATGAGATCTTTTTACCCTGAACATTCTGGTGTGGTCTCTGCGTGACATCTGGACCTGTTGATGTTGAGGTGATCTGCAGAACTCACTGCACAACTTCTCTTCTCTGTGGATCTGAGTTCAATAGAAGTGCTGTTTCAGGTGGGAACTGGTGGGGGGCACAGTGAAGGCCCTGCTGCAGAGGCTGAGGTAGATGCTGTTTGTTTTAAATGTGCTTCAGGAGTTCTGTCCCATACCTGCTTTGTGTGGCTACCCATGGCAAGAGCACAGCACAGAGTATATGCCTTTGAGTGGTTCTCAGAACCTTTTCTGCACCATTAAAACTGCCCCTTGGTCCCAACTAACAGTTCCTCAGTGGGACTTTCTGCCACCATCAGAAACATCTGCTGCTGTAGTGCTGGTCTAGAGAGAGGGGCTCTGCAAAGGCAGTAAACCCATCTTTGCGTTGGAATAAGAAAAATATCCTTGCTCCTCTGCAGAGAGATAAGGAAAGCTGCCCTCTGTGATCCTTCCTTTGTCAGAGAAGCTGCATGTCCATGAAGCTGCAGGACAAAAACAGGCACAAGAGCAACAATTCAGTGTTACCACAACCCTGTGAATATGCATTTCAGAGGAGGGCTCTGCTAGCCTGGCCCTGGCCATCCAGTCCTTTCTCTTTTGCTGCCACGCTCCCTGTGCGGTGCTGCACACCCCAGTTCTTCAAAGCCAGCTTTTGTAGCCTGCTAGGTTAAAGGAGGAGTGTCCAAATTGAGTCAGTGTTTGGGCTGGTAGTGTCTTCACCAGGCAAAGGCACTACCACCAAGAGGTATGAAATGTAGTGACTGACCTGTTGGCTTGGAGCACTGTGTGCCTCAGCTGGCTGTGGGGAGATCAGACTTCTCATTTCTCTTCCACTCGGGAAGTGACGGTATCAGAGAGGTGCTGCAGGTCTCTTCTCGAGGGGTCAGCCTTCGCTGATTCTGGGTCTCCTTGAACAAGCCTTCCTCTTTGAGCAGCTTTTCAGGCAGGAGGAGGGAAAGGACACTGAATGGGGGTTATTTGGGAATGTAGGACAGGACAGCACATCTATTACTAAGTACTTCGCTGTTTAGGTGATGTCTCAGTGGAAGCCCAGCTCCCCATTGTTTTGCATTGCCTATAAATTGTAAGAAGGATCACCAGCACATCAATCCTGTATCCAGCTAGTGGAAAGACAGAAATATTTACTTTTTCTAAAATATCACCAAGCTTCCCTTTAAAGATTAAACATGTCTGTGGAGCAAACTTATGTCTTATACCATCTCCTTCAGAGGATAAGCATGGGTGCTACAGTGTATACTTGGTTTAAAAGGTATCTAATGATTTTGGGTTGTGGTTTGGTTTTCTTTGAAGGCTGCTTTGGAAGCAATTGATGAACTAGATCTTTTTGGAGCTCACGGAGGACACAAATCAGTGATTCATGTTCTTCCTGATGAAGTAGAACATTGTCAGGTAAAAATTAGTCTGCTCTTTCCTTTGCTATGGGAAAGCCTAACCCTCTCCTTTTTGTTTTTAAATTAAATGTTGATTAACTGAACCAAGAACTCAATGTAATACAGATGGATGCAGGCTATGCTGTTCACCCTGTTCTAGTTTATCATCATGGCTACAAACTGAGTGGTGGGAAGCATTCTCATTCTAACTTGGTTAAAAATAACTATGCAGAGAGTTCTCTGTCAGTTTGCAAATAATATAGTATGTTCCATTTACGCTTGACATAGTCTTTTGAAGTGTGTAAATTGTTTTACATCCATTTTTTCTATTCTTGTTTTGCTCAGTCTATTCTATACTCCATGTTGCCAAGGGCATCCACATCAAAGGAGATAGATGCTGGCCTTCTCTCTATTATTTCTTATCCAGCTTTTGCAGTGGAGGATCTAAACCTTGTTAATGTAACCAAGAGTGAAATCATATCCAAACTGCAGGTAAGAATTTCCTTTCTTTTTGTTTTACAGAAAGAAAGAGAAACAGAACCTTTCTTAACCAAAAATTCTAATTAAACAAGGGTTTCCAGACTTGGTTCATCTGTGCCTGGAAGAGAGGAAGCAAAATCCATAGGTGACCCTTAAAACTCAGCACTTGTTGTGTTAGTCTGTGAGGAAGAACAGTATGTGTAATTCTCTGGAATTTTGTGTGTTTTCACAGGGCCGCTACGGCTGCTGTCGCTTTCTCCGAGATGGTTACAAGACACCCAGAGAGGTACTTCTGATGTGCATTTTCAGTAGGCATTAGGAAGAATTTTATCTCTCCTTTATAGACATACTTTGTCTTATTTACATGAAGGAGTAAAGTTCTCCATCACTGTTAAGACATCTTAGTGGATCTGGAGGTAACCCAGGTATCCACCGTAGAAATGACACATATCTGAAGGAGTCTGAAAACCATTTATTAAGGGCAAAATGTAATTAATAATTCTGTAAGAAATTAATCCTTAGATATGCTTACGGTGTCTAAGCAGGAGCGGTGTCCCTGCAGATTCCAAAGTATCTTTGAACTGAGGCAGATCCAAGATTACTTGGGTGACACTTAGATTCTGAGACTAGGAAGGGTCAATTTGTCTAGGGAACCATTAAATGAGTTTGAGGCTGAATGTAAAACACTGAGGAGACTGCATGGTAACTATTTCTGGTGGGTTTATTGGTTTCTAGGTTTTAATTACTTGTATGAAATAGGCTACCATTATGATTGAAATATAGGTGACTAATTTAGCACTGTGACTAAACAAGTGTGGTTGAATTTTTTAGGATCCAAGCAGGCTGCACTATGATCCTGCTGAGCTCAAGCTCTTTGAGAATATTGAATGTGAGTGGCCAGTATTCTGGACATACTTCCTAATTGATGGAATATTTAATGAGGACAAAATTCAGGTGAGAAAAGTAAATTGCTTTCAAATTGCAAAGCCATTTACCCACGGTCTTTTGGAACTTTGCTCCTGTGTTTATTTTGGGTATCAGTTGGATAGAGTGGAATAGTCTTCAGCCATTCTCACCTTCCTGGGGAGTTCATGGCATGATACAGGCAGCAGGGTTGTGCATACTGGGGCCTTGTTGCCCTCTCCCTGCCAGGCTGAGTGGCTCTGTTAGCTGGTGTGGTAAAACTGGGCTGAACAGGGTTTATATGCCTAATTTTGTCTTGTCACCAACCTCGATGCCCCTTTCGCAATTACTTCAGGATGAGAAACTTCTTTTCCCCAGTCTCTGTGGCTTGGCTGCTGAGAACAAGATTCATGCTACTTTAAGTCCTGTTGTACATTAAGAGAGATTTGGGATTGCCTTATGAGGAACCATTTCATTTTTACTAATTCTGTAAGTCACTTCATGCCATTGCTGTGTCAAGCACCCAGTGATCAAGGCAGCTAAATTGATTATAGCCCTCCAAAGGTTATGGTGGCACCTGGAGAGTGCTGGTGAGTTAAAGAGCAGCAAGTAGCCAGGACTAAATGTATTCAGACCAGGACTTCTGTGGATTGGTGGCTTGGAAGAGGTAAAAAATGTATGTGATTTAAAATCGCCAAGTATGCAGAGGGACAGGAGATCGCTAAACTCCTTAAAAAATAAAATGACATCAGAAACAAAGCAGAGAATTTCAGACCAAAAACCCTTTTTTCTGTACCAGATGTTGCAAATCAAATGAAATACTTATTGACACTAGAAATGTAAAATGTTTTCCTGAGCACAGTAAAAATACGTTTTTGCTGTGAAATGGTGGGGAGAGAAATGGCATTATTTCAGGAGGGGGGAAATCAGAAAGTTTACTGAAACTTCAGTTCTGTCAATAAAATAGAACTTCATGAAGCAGTCTCTAGAACTTAGGTGAATTATCTGGGACAGTATGTACCTGTTTGCTTTTATGTTGTGCAGACAGGCTGTGCTAGGGCATGGTCAGGGCAATTACTCCTGGTTTCCACTATTTAAACATATCTGAATGAGTCACTGAGACACTCAGGTGAGTGTCTAGTCTTCTCCAGTTACTGCTGCCATTGTTAGAAAAACAAGCACCCTGAGGAGTCAGAAAGAGTAGAGAAGGACACGATTCTGAAAATGTGAGTGTACCATATTGTGAAACTGTGGGTTCCTTACTTAGTGTGGTCCCCTGTACTCAGGAATAGCAGAAATAGGATCTCAGAGTCAGGTGCTGGTAGTGCTTGAAAACAGTTTCCCTCTAAGTAAAAAAATTGAAACGGAATAATTGAGAGATGAAACAAAATAAGGAATCTGGTAAAAAGAAAATAAATTACCTGTTCTTTATTTTGTATCAGTCTGCAGCTCCTGTTCATAATTTCTTGTCTTACAGCACAAGAAGATGACTTTCTGTTCAGTGAACTTAGATATTTTCAAACAGTTTAAATCAGTTTTAAGCTTTCCATGGGACAAATTTTTAAGTGAATAGTTAAGAGAAACTGATTTCAGTTTCAGTAAGTCATAGGCAATATGCACAGCAGAGAGCTGACAATTTATACACCTTGCACTCTTATGGGTATTGGCAGTCTGATGCCCATGTCCTGCATTGCAAATTTCATGTAGGATTTGTTCCAGTGACTTCTTTATAGGGATATGTTAGAAGGTTTGTGCTGCAGCAGTGCGTTACAGATTTAAGATGAGTGCTGAGGTTTTTGAGGCTGATAATATTGAGATGCTGGAACAGTCTCTGATAATTTGTACCCTGTTCTTCCATCAGTAAGTCATGATTCCCTCTCCCTCACCCCCCCTTTTTTTATATATTTATGTGAATATTCATCAGAAAAGTATGGTTGGAACGTACTAAAACTTTATTGTTTCCATTTTGCTGACTGGAATGTGAATTCTTACTTCTGTTTAAAAATATTTCCAGGTACAAGAGTACAGAGAGGCTCTGGAAGGAATACTTATTAGAGAGAAGAATGGATTAGTGCTAATGCCTGAGCTGTATGCAGTCCCTCCAGACAAGGTATTGTGAAAATGCAGCATTTAATTCAGTATGCAAAGTAGAGATAGCAAGAGGAATGGTTTAATAGTTTTTCCTGTATCTGATAAATCTAAACCAGCAATGAAAAAAGACTACTGCACATGAAAAACTAAGAGACGTCTCACAGCTCCTGCTGAGAAATGGTCAACTTTAGGCTTCCACACTGTCACATTTCTTCCTTGGAAATCTGAGTGTCTGTGGAAATATTAGAGCAGGTCTGAAATTTTACATGCTTATAGCAAGACACACATTTAAGAAGTGTTGATACGGACTTAGGAACTGAAGCTCAAAGAAGAAATAAAGCATAGACTGTCCTTCCTGTCTAGTCTATTGATTGATTGTGCTGCTCTTTTCCAGAGCCTGTATGGGAGACAGAAACAAGCTTCAGATGGATTAGGGTTTGGGATGGGATTTTTGTTTGTTTTCTATGGGTATTTTCTTTTACCCCATCTTTGCTGTTACTGTTTATCTGATTCTCCCATTGTGACAGAGAAATTCAGATGAGCCAGTGTGCTCTTCCTTGCTATTTGCCCTTGTATCCCTCCCTGCCAGCTTCTTCTCCCACTCCAGACTTCTCAGCCCTCACTCACCAAGGGTGAGGAGCCTCCTGGGTTGGTCTGAGCTGGTCAGCCAACAGCTGATGTCTTACTTGCAGATATGAGATGGAAACTCTGAATTGCCTTCCTAGTGGGAAGTGTGTAAGAGTTCAGAACCACCTTCTGAATTTTGATATGACGATAATCATCTGACAAACATGCCAAATAAAACGGTGGATTTTGCCTATGTAAAGATGTAATGTAGGAGGGTTTTCCCCCTGCCCTCAGTAGCTCTATATACCTACTGCAAAACTAAGGCAGTTGTTTTTTTTTCTAAATTATAAGTCTGCTCTTAATTTTTGCATTGGCCATCCTTGCTAACACAGGAAAGGTGGAATAGTCTTAATTTTTGGAAAACACCTTTGTTTCAGAAAGTTGGGTAGACATCAGTGCAGTTGAAGTGCCATCTTGGAAGGGATTGGAAAGCAGAAACCCAGTTAGCTGTGAGCAGCTCAGAGGGAAGGCAGCAAAGGCATGGTGAGGAGGAAGTGGAAGAACTAACACCAAAGCTAATTGCATGCAGAGTCCCTATTCATCCTCCAGCTTTGAAAGGTGGGGTAGAGTACAAAAAGGAACCGTAGTTCCAGTCCCAGAAAATGTGCAGCCTTAAAAGTAAAACCAAGAGATGTCTAAGTCAGTAATAATGGCAGGTTAGCAAGGGTAGATGAGAGACCATATGTTTCAAATACTTATATGTTACCAATGGAGCCCCTGGTGGTCTAGGGGTAAAGGCGCCGCGCTGTCACCGCGGAGACCCGGGTTCGATTCCCGGTCAGGGCCACTCCTGGGCAGGTGGGGCTCGTTAGCCCTTAAAGGCAACCCACCTACGTCCTAAGGACCTCACTGCCACTGTCCAAGCTCGCTTGGCCCCGGCAGATGAACCTTAGGATTAAAGGGTGGGCTCAGTTCCGCGCACACTGTGTCTCACCTAAAAAATCCAATGCGCAGGCTGGAAGGTGGAAAGACCTTCCCCGGATCTTCGCTCGCGAAGACTGGCCATTATTATTATTATGTTACCAATTGTTCTTCCCAACTTCAGGGTAATTTTTCTTGCTTATGTATTTGTTTTCAGGTGGATGAAGAGTACGAAAATCCTCACTCAGTGGATCGTGTCCCAGTGGGAAAGTTGCCACATCTTTGGGGCCAATCATTGTATGTCCTGAGCTGCCTGTTAGCAGAGGTAATTGTTTCCTGAACAGTAGGTAAGCTTGTATTTAATTTTGTTTGAGATGGCTTGAGCTTTCAGTACAATTTGGTTGTCAGATAGGGAACAATGTGTTTTCCAGTAGAAACATATACATGAGCCTTGAAAGGGCTGAGATTTCAGGAGCTTTTGTTTTGATTTGTTTTTTGGTGTATATATATATATGTATATATAGACATGCAATTGTCTGTTTCTAATCAAGCTGAATAAGTTGTCACATGGACTGGATTTAGGGTTAGGATAGAGGACTATACCAAGGCAAGGCTGACTTGGCTGTTCCAGAGGCAGGATTTTGTGCTGTTTCAGCTCCACTAGGCTATGCCTTACTCTGTGGCATAATGTGTCTACGGAGTTCTCCCATATCAGCCAGACTAGTTAAAGGAACCACAGAATATCTCTGTGGAGCTACAAAAAAGAAATCACTGGCCTGAAGAAATTATGTTGTCAGTTGCTACAACTCTAAAGTAGGAAATCTGAGTATTCAGATTGTGTCAGAACCATTTTCTTGCTGTTCTAAAAAACAGTGCATCCACTGTTGTTATTGAATGTACTCCTTGGGGCCAGGGTAGATAAACCAGGCCTTAAGTCCTGCTGTACTGAAAAAATACTTCGAAAATTGGTTAAGATGTATTCTAGATATCAGAAGCCTTTTGCTTAAATGCTATTTGTTTCCTTTCTTTTATCTTTTGCATTTATTCTAGGGATTTCTTGCTGCAGGTGAAATTGATCCCCTAAACAGGAGATTTTCTACTGGATTTAAACCTGATGTTGTGGTACAAGGTGAAGGAGTTTTTTGAACATTTTGGGTGAATTGAATTGTGTGGTGACAAAGTCCCTAAGTAGAGGAGAGAGAAAGATATGTTAAAAATAAGTGGATTTTTGCTTGGGACACAGATGCTTTGAAGAAACTGTGAGACAGAGAAAGGGGTTTAACGCACTTCTTTAAAAAAAATACTTGCTAAAATTTTAAGACTTGTCAGGGACTGGAGAGTGGAAAACAATCTTATAGTGAAAAGGAGAATCTTGGTGGATTCTAGAAAAAAAAAAAAAAGCAGAACTGACTGAAGATGGATCAGTTTAATTAGGTTTCTGTGCAGCCCCTTTCTCGGAGTAGCCAGAAAGCACTGGGTGGGGAGAATCCCTGTCCACATTGGTGAGGAGCCAGACTTAGGGCTGGCTTTTGGCTGCTGCAGGAAGTGGCTTCTTCAGTTAGTGCAGGAACAGGCAAAACCAGAAAATTAAGATGAGGGCAAACACCAGCTGATCAAGTCTTTAAGACTTTTCAAGGGCTTGTACTGCTCTGAAAGACAAACCAGCTTGTTTATCAGGAGCAGCATTTATCAGTGATACTGTGAAATGGGCTGGTGCTTGTTTATGCCCTGTTGGTATCTCGTGAGTATAGCATTTTGTTATTTTGAAGTGCTCAATTTCCAGCTGGATTATTTTTAGCATTCTTTGACAATTATTCACAATACAAAGACTAATACTGAATTATTAGTCCCAAACCAATAAACCACCTATCATGGACGAAATGTCAAGTGGGACAAGAGATGGATTCAGGGCCTGGATTGTATATTCCACTGATTTGGGCAATCTTTTTTCTCCTTACCTGACATTTTATAATGTCTCTGTAACATTTATTGCTATACAAGTAACAGCACCTGTTCCCCAGGGACTTGGCTGTATTGTTACATTGTGCTGTGCTAAAAACGCAAAGGTTTTCAAGTTGTGTTTCCCCTTGTTCTCTGGGGTAAAAGCCCTAATTGCTAAAAACTACTGCATGATCCAAACTGGTGGAACTGAAAGAAATAAGAACAAACTGATAAAGTCTCAAAGAATGTGGTGTAACTTCAGGAGGTCTGGTCCTGCTTTGAGCAGGAGGTTTGAGCAGAGGCCTCATGAGGACCCTTCCAACTTGAATTACTGTGTGGTCCAAAGTGGACAGGAATAGCAAGAAATATGGAGAAGCAGAAAATCAGAATCTGTCTGACTCCCTCTTGCAATCCCTTTTGATCTCACAGGCTCATAAATTAAGAAGTAAGGCCTTTGTGCCTTTTTAGTTAACTAAATGCATTAGTTGAGAGGTGACAGTAGAGATAGTCAATTAAAAAGGGTAGAACGTTTCTTCTTAGTACTGTTTTTGTTTTCTGTTATGCAGTAACTGTTTTAGCAGAATCTAATCATATTAAGAACCTCTTGCAAGAGCGTGGAATCAATGTCCAGAGCATTGCTGATATCCATCCCCTCAGAGTGCAGCCAGCTCGCATCCTGAGTAACCTCTACACCATGCTGGGTAAGTATGGGGACATGGAAGCCTCTCCACTGCTGTGCAAGGTCTTATTTTAAGGGTCACAATCTGTTTTTTGTTGTTCTTGCTTCGCACTGTCTCAGTTTCTTTAATTTAATTTCTTTTATTTAAATCAGTTTCTTTGATCTAAAGAAAAATGTACTTGTGTGAAGAAGTTTAACAAACTTAGAGCTTCTGCTTTAAATAAGGGACTCAAACAGGAAAAAAAAATTGCCTCATTAGAAACAGTGGTGAAAGTACCAGTTGGAGTAAGTGAAAGTACCAGTTCTTGCCCTTGGAGTTAGGCAAGAACTGACTCTTCTTTTGTCCTCCAGAAACTACTTCAACAGAGAAACTGCCTTTAGAAAAAAATACCTGGAAAATAACAGAAAAAAAATATCAAATGTTTCTCCTTTCAGAAGTCAGAGTATTTCTGTTTTAAGTCTGGAAAATGGGCACTATTATTGCCATTACTCCCAGCAGGCAGCCTGTGAAGTTTTCTGCTCCAAATCAGGGAAGCTGTGCTGCTGCTATCAGAGCATCTTTGGGCTTGCTTAAGGTTCTTGCTAAAGTTCCTTCCAATCCTGAGCTGAGTTGAGCTGCTGAAGCTCTCTCTATCAGTTGCAAACCCAGAAGCCCTTTAGGGAAGTACATTCCAGTTCCTCAGCAGGGGCCCTCAAGTCCTGTTTTTCAGAGCCTGAGAGCTGAATTAAATAAAAGCCCCAAAACTCCAAATGCTTCCAGTTGTTGAAAATATTTTGATAGCTGTTACTTGATAATCCTTGCTGGAATTATTTGAATCTTGGTGGAAAATTTGTTACATGTATTCCTAATTGAATTTAGTTTTACTTCTTCAGGCATGCCAGTAACTCATGACTCAAAACTGTGGATGTTACTACAAAGTAAAATTGAGGTGAAATGAATCAGCATTGGTAGATTCCTTTACAGTGTGGACAAGGGGAGCACTATTGTGCCTCTTTATCAGTCTGGAGCATGATTCCATGGCAATTTGGTTACAGATAATGCTGAGGGAGAAGTGGCTGCTCATTGGATTAATATCTTTTTGTTGTTGCAGTCATTTTCGGTTTGTGGGGTTTTTTTCACTTAATAGGAAGCTCATTTTGGAAGCATCCAGAGTAATGGGGCTTTCAAATAAGTTTCAGAAAGTATGCCCTTTATACAGAGAAAGGAAATTGTATATACTGCTTTTGGGATAGAATCTGTCTCTTTATCACAGAGTTCTTTAAAAAAATGAAACATTCGCAGGGCTTTGCTGAAGCTTATATTTATTTCATTGTGATTCATAATAGCTTTCTTTCAGTAATGGGGGGTTGTGAGTAGGATGATGTGGCACACTGATACATTGTTTTTAACAGTGACTTCTTTGGGAATGTTCACAGTGGTATTTTTTCAGGCACGGCGTTGTTTGGCTCATATTCCTTGTCAGACAGATTCAAGTCAGCTCCTGTCTGCTGGTGCAAAGGTTGTAGTGTAGATCATTTGCTAATAAGCTCTACTGGGAAAAGTGGAGCTTATTAGCCTGATGAAGATCTGTGTTTGTATTTGGATGTACTTTGAATGTTGATTTAGCCTTCTTCAGACAAGAAGTTTTAAGGTTCTATAGTGAAAGCACTGCAATTTCTGTGGCATGTTGATGGCCTGGTTTTCGTAATGTCACACTTCCTGTTCTTGATGGAGAAGCTTTGGATGCTGGGCAATGACTGTAAATTATAAGATCTGATCCCGTGGTCATTGGAGCCAAAATTTAGATTTTTTAATCATGCCTTTGAAGGCTTCTGGCTGTTTTATTGGTGGTTCCTACAAGACCGACCAGTGTGTAGCATCTCACTCTGTTACCTCTCTTCTGCTTTGCTGATTTTAGTGTTAGTGAAGTACATTTTGCTGTCTAAAATCATTATTTTGGAAAATCACACAGCAAATGCCAGCTGAGACCTTTTTTCTTTCTCTTTTCTTTCCAGGTCGGAATAAGAACATGAAATTAAGTGGACGGCCACACCGACACATTGGAGTGTTAGGCACCTCCAAGCTGTACATGATAAGAAATCAAATATTTGCTTTTACCCCACAGGTGAGCATGTAAAGCTGGCAGGAACATCACTCCTTGCTTAATGGCAAATCATTAGTGAAGCACTTTGCTTTTATGTGCTGTCACTGTGCTTTAGCTAGAACAGGGCTGATGCAGCAGATGTGCTTTGCTTTGCAGGGTTTTTAAGAGTGATGGATAATCAGCATGGTAGAACTGCTGAGAAATCTCTCTTCTGTCCTACAGAGTTTGGCTTCTTTGGCTTCTGGCTTAGGAGAACACAGAAAATCAATAGTACAGAGTTGTTACTGATCTCTGCCCAAACCAGCGTTCTAGCTAATGAAATAGTTTCTGCAGAAATACATCCCCTAATATATCTTTCTATTGATTGCTTTAATGAAAAATTCAGCACCACATAAGCGTGCCAAGTACTGTAACCCCCAAGTGATGAAAATGTGATCTTTTCATTATATTGTTGAAAGGGTCAATAGTGCTGAGAAAGGGATAGTCTGTCTTGTTTTCACTTTAGTGCATTTTTTCAGTGCAGCTGGAAGTTTGGATCCTCACAGAATCAGTGGCTCTTATTTTTACATTTAATGGAATACAACACACTTACTCCAGTAGAATTGCTCTAGCAGCTGATACTAGAAGGCCAGTCACCTGCTCCAAGCATGTACAACTGGAGCAAGATAAGGAATGTTTCCACCTTTCTAAATAGATGTTTGACTAATGTAGTCTTTAAACTCCAGTGGAAGAGATTCAGTGGACTCTATAGAATGCTTCTGTAGTCCTTCATAATGCCCAAACATCACTTGATCACAAGCAGCTTTACAGCATTTGCTGTGTTACTCCCCTAAATCAATTTTCACTTTTGCAATTAAGGGAAAAATTCCTTAGAGACATGATTTTTTCAAAATACTTTTTCATTCACATATTACTTTGTAAGTAGGACCCAGTATTCCAGCTGAAATCTTGCCATGTATCAAGTATGGACATACTTATTAGTATATTCCAAAATTGCATTTATCTTTACATTAGCAACACAGTGACAGTTCCTGCATATTCCATGTTTGACTAAAACCTCCATAACATTTTCCACTGTACTTTGTAGCCAGACATTTCCCCCAAGGCTTTTTTTTGAGGAGGATAGAGTTAATGTTTAATGTCACTTTCCTAAGACCAGCAGTTAAGTCATCTTGTTGATCTTGACTAATGTCCACAAAGTTTGTGGTTTTGTCATTTGTATTTCATTCTCTTTTCTAATGAAAACATTGATTAGGTGTGGGGCAAAGGCCGACTCCATTCAGATACACTGTCATTCTGAAAAAATGGTTAAGAACTATCTTCTGAGAACAATTTTAAAAGTAGTTCTGCCTTCTCGGATATTTTTCCTTCAGCTCAGTATTGTGAAAATTTGCAAAAGTTGAGAGATATCAGCCATTTTCTTATAGTTACCATCTGATTGCTCCAAAGAAGGAAATTGGACTAATTTGCTGAGATTGGTTTCTGGCTATGTTGCTTTATCATTTTGTAATTATCTTGGCTGTCTCAAATTGGCTTTGTTTTCGTGTGCTTTCAGCACTGGAATTGGCCTGATTTTTAAAATGGCTCTTCCACAGGCAGTGTGTTTTCTTCTCTACGGATTTCTGGGACCTGTTCTTCCTGAATTACCAAAGCTAACTGCGAATGGCTCAAGGATTGTTTTGGCTAGTTCTTAATTCCTTCTATGAAGTAATTTCTCTGGGCTTTGCCAGCCTGAATTTACGTGCTCTTTACGTGCTTACCCCTCCCCGAGGCTTATGGGCTTCCTTAACTTTTGTTGTGGCTGCTTTAACATACTTTCCATTATTCGTCCAGCTTTTTTGTTTCCAGCTCCTGAAGAAGCCGTATTAGTCTCTTACTGTGGTTCTTGGCTTTCTGCTGTAAGTGGGAACAGCACACTTTGCCTCTGTACATTTAATGTGCTTTTTTCCCACAGTAAATACCATCTTTTCTGTATTCTGCTTGACTTTAGGATTGTTCCCAAGAGACATACAGTTATTGGCTCCCAGTCCCCAGTGTGCCCTTAAGCCTGTTTATTGTTTTTGTTCCTATTGTTAGCGCTTTTTTTCACGTTTAGAGTACTCCCATCTTCCTGATCACAGGTTAGTATAATTTGGCATTGGAAAGATTCTCCTTCATGGGTGTGATTGCCTACTTTTTGTATGGCTTACTTTGATGGTCAGTCTACAAGTGTAGAAAAATGGAGTCTTGCACAAGCATGGATTTCTTTTTTCACAGTCTCAGGCCTTGTTAGGTTAATTCATGCCATTTGTGTTGTGGTCAGGAGTGGCTCATATGGCTTTTGTGACCAATTTAAGAGGGGAAATAGAAAAAATAAGGAAAGCACTGACAACTACTCCTATGTCATATTTTTCTCTTCTTTAGTTTACTGACCAGCATCACTTCTATCTGGCTCTAGACAATCAGATGATTGTGGAGATGCTCAAGACAGAGCTGGCATACCTCACTTCTTGTTGGAGGATGACAGGGAGACCAACCCTGACGTTTCCCATCACTCACACAATGCTTGGTAAACTTAATTTTCTCTGTCTCAAGCAAAGTATATTACTGCAGGGGAATAGGATGGACATCAGTTTGAGAGGAGAAAGGTGGCATGACTTCTAACATCAGAAGTACAGTTTCATTTTTTCCACGTGTGTGCTGAATTTGGATGACATGGTAGTATTTAATTTTGGTTTTACCCCCCTTTATATCCTTGCATCACCCCATCATCTCCATACTATTTCTGTCTAAAAACGTTTCATAGGAATCCCTTTGGAACTTGTCTCGAGTGAGTTGATTTTTGTCTTTAGAACTTGTTTGAAGGGTTGTGTTTTGTTTGCATGTTTGTTTAGGATTTTTGAATAAGCTAGTATTGATAGCAGTTTTGGATTCTCTTTTAAATTTGTCTGATGTAGGTTGTAGAGAACACCCAGTAATTAACTTTGTTTGGACATGGTAGTTTTGGAATGTGTTGATTAGCTTCAACTCTTTCATTATTCTTTTTTAGTTGATGATGGTACTGACATTCATCCAGCAGTTCTTGCCACAATAAGAAAATTAGAGGATGGTTATTTTGGAGGTGCAAGGTAATGTCAGAACCCCCAAATTATTATCTCCATGATTTTTAAAATTAAATCCTGTAAAAGTGTCAGTTTTGAACTTGTCATAGTGTGCAGACCTTGTACTAGAACTCTGCAGAGAAGGAGGTTTTAGCTTTAATTGTTATATGGCAATCAGATGGTAGCTGGACCAACCATGGAAAAGATTTGTCTCCCAAAAGGTGTGCTACCTCTCAGTGCTATCAGTGGATAAGGAAAATGATTGCCAAACCTGTGGAAATACAAAATCTTGGTCTTGGCTGGGCTTCTGTTATTGATAAGTAAATTATTTTCACAGTTATTGGACATAATTTTAACAAAAATTGCATGTAGTAGTAGTAGTCTTATGTGTTCTATTCATCTACATATAAAATATAATGCCACAGTATCTCCCTATTCTCTTCTTACTTGCCCTCTCTCAATCGGTATCTTCCTCTGACAGTCAAATGTTGTTTGATTAACTCTAGTCAGCAACTGAGCCCCACACAGCTGCTTCCTTACTCTCCTCTTAGTGGGATGAGGGAGAGAATTGGAAGAGTATAAGTGAGAAAACTCTTGGGTTGAGATAAAGACAGTTTAATGGGTAAAGCAAAAGCCACACATGCAAGCAAAGCAAAACAGGAAATTTATTCACCGCTTCCCATGGGCAGGCAGGCGTTCAGCAATCTCCAGGGAAGCCAGGCTCCATCAAATGTAGCTGTGACTTGGGAAGACAAAACCTGTACCCCCAGTCATTCTCCCCTTCCTCCTTCTTCCTTTGGCTCTGTATGCATGACACCCTGTGGTATGGAATGTCCCTTTGGTCAGCTGTCCCCAGCTGTGTCCCCTCCCAATTCCTTGAACGTCCCCAATCTGTGCTGGTGGGGTGAGGTGAGGAGAAAAGATTGTGATGCTGTGTAAGCACTACTCAGCAGTAACTAACACATCCCAATGTTAACACCAGTTTCCAGCACAAATCCAAAGGATAGCCCCATACTAGTTAGTCTGAAGATAATTAACTCTACCCCAGCCCAAACCAGCACAGATGTGATTTCTGTGTTTTAGCAGCACTGCAGTTCTGTGAAAAGATACTTGTGGGGAATTCCCAGCCCCAGTTTCTCATGCATTGTCCTTGGAGTTTAAGTCTTAGTTCAGGGTCTCTCTTCAAAGAAATATAGAGCACCCTGTAAGTCAGGCTTTGAGTTAGGCCTGTAGGTGTCACTGTAACAGAGTTCAATTAGTAGCTAGAGCAGTAAGTACTCAGCTGGATCTGCAACTCTTGTTTTGCCTATTTTATTTTTTTTTCAGTATCTGTATCTGCTGCTTTGTATTTACCAAAGGTGGATTCAATAGTAGGTCTGATAAATTTTGGGGAGTTGCTGAAAGCTCAGTGAGCATTAATCAGTATCGAAATGGTGGATGTTAATGCTCCTTGGCATGTGTTCCTGTTTGCAGGGTGAAGATAGGCAAGCTAGCAGAATTTCTTACCACATCTTTTCATACATATCTGAGCTTCCTGGATCCAGATTGTGGCCTAAAACTGTTTGATGACCGTAATGAAGACTGTAATAGTCCTGACAGTGAATATGGGGACTATCCAGCAGATTTCTGTGAAAAAGGTAGTAGCGTTTTTTCCACTTCGTATTTTTTCTGTGTCAAGTTCTATCAGCAGAGTCTGAGTTTACCTACAGTGCAGAGTCTATTCTGTGCACAGATGACAGGGATTTGGGTTTCTCATGCAACCTCCTGAGGACAGTTAGGACCTGCATGACTTATTTAAGGAATGAATTCCTGTGTATTCTTCCTATGTTCATAGTATGGGATTGACTGGTAACTGCTACGGTAAACCTGAATCTGAAGAGCTGGCAGATGGGGAGGTGTGGCAGAGGCTGGAGGGAGGAAGAGACTGTGAGGAGTCACAGACAAGAGCTTGTGTGGAAGAGATGATAGATTCTTAGAATCATACAGGCTGGAAAAGACATTTAAGATCAACAAGTCCAACTGTGCCAACTAGACTATGAACAAGAAAAAAAACCCTTTTGATTCATCCAAAGGAAAACCAGCTTCCTAATGTAATTGTTTTCAAAGTGCCAAAAACTGATTATTTTTTCTTTCCAATTTATTTGGCTTAAAAATTTCTTGCTTAGCATATGCATGCATGCATTTTTTGAGCACCTTTCTACATAAGCAAAAATACTGGTGTGTTTGAATAAGGAAGCACTGATAAATTAGGATTTTACCTTTAATAAACCTTTTCTTTTCTGTATGTTACACTAGATAGCCAGGATGAGCTGGATCAGTATATAAATGATGTCCTGCAGAGTACAGCACTGAAGTCATACCTGCCTCCAACTTCAAAGACAGCCAATCAACCACCTGTGTTCAGTGCAAACCATTCCACAGAAGAGATACTGTCAATAATGGCCAAGACAAAGGGCTTGGAGGTTCCAGGTATTTCTCCCTATTATAATATTAGAAAAACTGGTTTGGAGGTGCTACGAGGGGTAAGTTCAAGCAAGCATTTCAAAATTATGCCTTTTAACATACTCATACCACTAGTTCCTTTTGCATAGAGAAGAAACAAGAATGACTCTGAAGTTGTTGCTGTGGGGGTTCCCACAGTATCCCATGTCATGGTGTATATGTAGAAAACCTGCTATGAAATGTAACATTTAATCAAAGTTAATGTTATGGAAACTGCTCCAGCTTCTCAGTTGAATAGAATTTCAGAGTCAGTTTTTGTCTTTTATTTATACAAAGGCAGACTAAATGTATTTTTTTATTTTAATAAAGCTGTGGTAAAATGGAATGTTTCAATGCAAGAAAAACATAAATATGTGCATGTACTTTCTGAATTTGTAAGAACAAATAGAGTAGAGAGGGAGTACAGTATTTCTAATTATGCTACATTTCTTCTAGAGTGATTGGAGAATAAACACCAAAATAATGCTTTGACTGAATTTGCTAATGGACTCCACCCTATGCATTGTTTTGTAGGTGGATATGTAGTATTCAATGCTCTGGTCAAGGGAACGCTTCCCTTAACTTCAGTGTAAATTAATAACTTTCAAGCTTTTTTGTTAGCCTTTTCTCCCATCTTTCATGTGCCACACCACCATAGCCTCTATTGAATTCAGCATATGAAGGTAATAGAACATTAGCCTGCATTTACCATTATAATTTTTTTTCTGATATCTTACCAGCTGGCCCATCTTTTCTACTTTATTCCTGTTAAAATGTTTAAAACACTTAGCAGGGTCAGGCCAGGATTTCTGAGTCATGGGCCAACATAAGAGATACCCATTGAGCACCTGAGCCTTTGACATGCCGATCTTGGAACAAGCTTGCAAGGAGATACAGGAAGAGCTTGTCTCAGAGCTCCATGCACATCATCTCAGAAGCATTGCCTCTGTATATTTCAGGTTTTTTCATGTATATGTTTGCCTGGTATAGCTGCTTCATGTAGATGTTTTTGATTTTTGCGTTACTGAAACAGACTTTTTGTTCTTGTGGCTTCACTTTCCAGCCGTGCCGATGTCTCTTCCCACTAAAGTTCTGAACACACACCGAAAGTCTCTGAATCTTGTTGATAATCCCCATTTCTTTGAGACAAAGGTAAGCTGTGGGAATTTTCATGCTGTTTGTGGTTTTAGGACTCAGTGCTATGGCCTTTCCATGTATTTTCCACCCAAACCCTGTGCCAGTTCTCATTTTCCTTCACAGACAAGCCATTCTGTCTAAGGCACTCCCTTGTTTTGGAATTTATTTTTTTGGCTGGCTGAAGGTTTTTTAGTCAAATAGACGTAATCAAGTGGGAAGTTTTTAACTGCATGTGCAGAACAGAAATATTATAATAGCTGCTTATTTTTAGAAGCCCAAGGTTAAGTAATCATGTTTAGTTCTAACTGAACACGAAGGGAAGGACAGGATGTTCAAAGCCTTTAGAGATGTTCTCCAAGAAATGCTACTTACAGTAATGTCCTTGAGGCACCAGCCAAATCTCACCTCAAGGCATGAAGATGGAGTTGTGCTTGGCTCTTTTTTTGTCTGATTATGTGGTAACCAGCTGCTGAGAATGGTTAAAGGAGATTGTATCCAGCCTCCCAAGGGATTCTGTTCTGCATGAGGCTCTGTTTGTGGAAATGGTATTTTACAACTATATAAATTGTTGAATAGCTTGTTAAACAAAACTTTTCATCAGAGAACTCCCCATAGGGTTGCATCATCTGATTAGTTAATATATTAGTTTCATCACAATGGCAATGTCTGCATTCATAAAGCACCACATATATACATATTCAAGATAGAACTCAAAAAGCTCTAAATTATTTCAACTAAAAAAAAAAGATAATATCTCTTTGCTTTTCTCTTTACAAGTAATGTAAAATGATAGGAAAAGCATGCAAATAATTTGGTTTCTTTATTTTGTCAAAAAAGAGACAAAGGTTCCATTCTGGGTGTTGTGTTTCTTGGGATTAGTCTCCCAGTTAGTAGCCTGGCAAGACTTATGTAATGTGTCTGTATTTCAAGTGCAGAGTTTTGTTTCAAGTTTGTTGTAATCTTTTAATGGGGAGTTACTGTTTGAATTTGATCCACTACGTTTTTCAAGATCACATGTTTGATTTTTCATCCATCTTTGTTATCAGGACCGTGAAAGTGTCTTGCACTTACCTAAAGATGCTCATGGTGATTTGGATTGCAGGAAGCTTGTTGATCAGCTGAAGGAATGTCCAACACTCCATGACCAAGCAGATATCTTATATATCTTGCATATCCTAAAGTGAGTTGTCTGAGTATGAACTTAAGCATCTTTAAATTTGGTCACAGCTATGATTATTCTTGTGCAAAAGCTTTTCACTGTTCAGGGTTGGGTTTTGGGGGAAGAATTAAAATATTTTGTGCTTTAACAAGAATATTTTCAGTTAGCTTGATTACATAAATTATTTGGATACAAAAGAGTACTTGTGCTCACAAATGAAATGCACAAGTTCTTTCCATGAATGCAAACCCACCCTGCTATATTTGTGGCATTCTATTTAAAGTCCACAAAGATTTGGTGGGATTTTCATTATAAGAAGGGAAGCAGAGGAAGGACACTTCATTGTGTTGTTGTCTAACTAAAAGCAAAATGCAATTTTAATGAGTGGTCTCTATTTTTCCTCTAATCCCTCTACCACTGGCTAAAATTTGGTACTTTCCAAAACATTCTTGGTCCAGTCTAGACCCATCTGCTGGGCTTAGTAAATACCTCCTATTTAAATAGCTTTGACAGGAACAAAATGCAAATACAAACCAATAGAATCATCTTCTGGAGTGCATTTATTGGGCATTTTTTCCTATGCAGGAGAATACTGCTGGAACCTGACAGGCAGTTAGCTTTGGGTGCAAAGACAAGCATGTGTTAATCACAGATGGTCTTCCCTACTGGTACAAAGATTGTATTTTTGTTTATTTTAGTCTGTCTCCTGTGAGGACCTCTTTTTTGATCTTCTTGATTTCCCAAGCAAAATGTTTAGCAGCCTCCCTTAAAGAGTAAAGGAAATCCTGAAAAAACCACCATTTTTTTGTTTAACTGCATCTAACATGGTTAATTCCATATTCTGGACTTGTTTCACTGTGGGAGTGTCTGTTGGACAGGACTTCTGGTGGACTCTATGTCTCAGCAAGAGTTGAAAAGTCATTCTGTGGCACTTCAAAACATTACCAAAGAGAAGCCATAATGCAGTGAATTTCAAAACCAGGAGAGGAGCATAAATCTTCTTTGCTTCTCAATAATGGCATAAGCAGCTTAGTTAATAGCTAAGGAAGAGGTAGGGCAAAAAACTTTCCCTGAGGCATCTGAAAAATGGATGTAGTCTTCAGCAGAATTTGTTGCTGAATTCTGCTCTGAAAAAGCACTACATGGAGTGTTCCTGCAGCAAACTGTCTGCGTGAATGCTCAATTTAAAGTCTGGTGGGAAATCGTTCGGGTGGTTCCTTTTAAGTCACTGGCTCACAGCTAAGTGAGTGCTCAAATTAGTGTGAAGGTTCTGGTATCAAGGGGGTTTTGTCCACATATAACAGATCTCTGGTGACTGCCCAGATGTCCTGTGTAGTACTTCATTCTGTCACCAGTGTGAGCAAGGTGATCAAAATGCGGCTGGGTTTGTGTGGTAGGGTTTAGCAGTGTAGACCTTACCTGGTGACAATTAACCTTCTGTGTCTTCTGCGGCAGAGGTGCTGACTGGGACACAGAGCTGGATGGACAGTATGGTGTCACTGTCCACTGCCTACTCAACGAGCTCTACAGAAAGGCAGGCCTCAATCAAGAATGGGGCTTAATCCGTTACATTTCCGGTATACTCAAAAAGAGAGTGGAAGTCCTGGCTGAGGTATGACATATAAATAATCCTGGCTCAGTTTCGTGCCTGGAAACAGAGATAAAACTACCAGTTTGCCAGCAGGGCTTGTGCTTACCCTTCTTCTGGTCTTACCATACATAGTGAAACATTTTTAAGTAAACGTTGGTTGCTTTTCTAAATCTTATTACGACATCTTTACCTTTCCTCTGTACTTTGAACGGTGCTAATTTTGGCATGGACTGAGAATGTCACACAGTCACTGTAAATGGTTGTGAAGGCTTTATTTCATCTCTGTTAATTGGAGAAGTTTAATTACATGTTTTCAAAGCTGCAGTTGTCACTGATAATTGTCTGTTGCTTTTGTGATGGCACAAACACCTTCGGAGCAGAGCTATGTTAAGATGTGAGTGATGACACAAAAACATGTTCTGCCAGTTTCCATCCTGTTGGGTGGACAGTCTGCCATGTGCATGGGTGTTGGGAGGCATTAAAATATCTGGGACTATTAAATGATAATAAGAAGGATCCATTTTAGGAGTACAGATTTGATTTTGAACATTACAAAACTGTTTCCTCTCAAGTACTCTAAAATATTAGTTTAATTTCCTAGTTATCCTAGGCACAGAACTTTTTCCATTCTCAAGACACAGTGGACGAGCAGTACAGACACTCACAGAAAGCCATGTATGTTAACTTGAGAAGATACTGACAAAGAATTAGAGAGCAAGAGAGTAGAGATGATCAGTCTTCCTCCACATTAAGGGAGGAAAACAGACTCTTCAAAATCAGAGGAACGTTGCTCTGTGAGCTCTTCAATTCAGGATGCTGAAACAAATAAACTGAACACCTACTTTTAAAGGAGGTTGATACATAAGAGTAAACACTGTGGTATTGGTGGAAGTACCTATTTCAGAATGTACTAGGATAGCTCATTCAGGAATGTGATGCAGTATGTTGGGTATTTGCTTGTTTTAAGATACATATTAGTATGCAGGATTTTTTAAGCTAATATTGCCAAACTTTTCGTTGATTTAAAATATTTTTGTCTTAAATAAAACCAAAAGTTTATCATATGATAAAGGATGAAAACCTTTATTATCTGCTAGCCCCACTGAAGTCCTTAATCATTATGCTGCTGATTTCACTGAAAAGGAGAAGCAGCTTTCAGATTGGTCATACCCTCATATCCCTGTTGACCTCAGGAGATCCTTGGCATCTAGTTAACAACATTCTGCTGGATCTGCATGTATGGTAATTAATAGAAATGCACTTAAAAAGAAAGAAATGCTAAAGAAATGCTTCATTTTTGGGAATTAAAAGCTGTGTCACTTCCACTTGATTCAGAGAAAGGTCTCTTGCTTTCTGTCCCCTTATGATAGGCATGCACAGACCTTCTGTCGCACCACAAGCAACTGACAGTGGGCCTGCCACCAGAACCCCGTGAGAAAATCATTACCACGTAAGTGGGAGCTCTGTTTCACTTACAGAGTCAGCCTGCTCTTCATCTTCCTGTCAGTACCATTCTGCTGCTGTTACCTTCTTTTAACACTTATTCCTCATGCCTGTAGGCACCTTTGTGGTGCAGAGATGTTTCTGGGTGATGATTCCAGTGATTGCTCAAGAGTTTTAACAGCTGGTTGTGCTGAGTCACTGCTTGCTGTGGTTTGTCTTCTTGCAGCCCGCTGCCACCAGAGGAGCTCACAGATCTCATTTATGAAGCCAGTGGCCAAGACATCAGTATTGCAGTCCTGACACAGGTAAGCAGCGTGTGTCAAAGGCTTCTTTGGCTGTGCCCAGTGCGGTGCCAGTGTTTGCTCTGAGACTGGGAAAGCCACAAAGGCCCACTTTGAACGGGTGCCTTTTTCCTTGCAGGAAATAATTATGTACTTGGCGATGTACGTCCGGTCCCAGCCTAGTCTTTTTGTGGAGATGCTCAGGCTCCGCATTGGTCTGATAATCCAGGTGATGGCCACTGAGCTGGCTCGGAGTCTGAAATGCTCAGGTAAGAACCGCTTTTGTCATAAGGGTACTGACTGTGTCATTCCTGCTTCACCCTTAGTTGTTGATCTTTCCATTAATATATGTAAAATCCTTTTATTAACCTCTTCATTCATATGTGCAGTTAGAAACTCTGAAAATTAATTAGAAACTAAGTTCTAACTAGAAAAGTTAGAAACTTTTTTTTTTACTTAATGGAAGATTCCTCTTCCCCCTTGTTCAGTTATTCAAACTGAAGTGGATATTCTTTATGGTATAACTCTGACTCTGTAATTTAGATCTACAGGTCATCTGCTGTTGGGAGATGGCTGTAATGCTTTTCCAAGTGATCTTGTTTTCTCATCATGAGCTTCAAAGAAATTTTGCACAAGCTACAACATAATATTCATGAATGCAAATAGTGTTACTTCTATGCAGTGTTTGTTGTTTAGTCCTGAAATGTATTTTCTTTGAAATGTTACTCTGCATATTAATTTTTTTTTAAGGAAGTGCAAGCCAAAAGGTTAGATATGATTGAGCTTCATTCATCAGCAGTTTTCTGAGTTGGCTTCATAGCTTGTTGCTTTTCCACAGTAATGCTTGTCTTTTGTTTTGTTTTGTTTTGTTTTACCAGGTGAAGAAGCTTCGGAGAGTTTGATGAATCTAAGCCCCTTTGATATGAAGAGTCTCCTACATCATATTCTCAGTGGGAAAGAGTTTGGAGTGGAAAGAAGCTGTAAGTTGTCCACTTGGCTACTTGTATATGTTAAGTGAGAACTATAAATAAAAACTTACAATCTTATAAGTGGGGATCTATTCTCTCAGCCTGTAAAATAGAGGTATAGGTAATGTATTAATAATTGGTGACCAGTACATGTGTATGCCTGCTGTGGAATAAACAAAACAAATATGATGGAAGCTATCCTGCACTGAAATTAGATTGTATCAAGTTTTCAATAACATGAAGGCAAACTTCTAAAATGAAGAAATTTTATGTGACCAGAACAAAAGCCATTAAAAGGGCATATCTAACCTGCCTTCAATAAGCATGTCTGTGATGCCCACATATTCCTGACTGGTGCACCAGCTCTCTCCTGGGTTCATATGTAGGCCCTCACAGACTCATTGCAACTCTTGACATCTTTTAAAGCTACAATTGCTCAGTGTCTCGGAGTGGAAAATCAGTCTCCGATACCCAAGTATGGATGTAGGCCCCTTACTTGATGCCATCAGGTTTGAACTCTTGACATGGTTTTGAAAGGATGCTGTCAACCAAGAGCATTGCACACTTCTGAAAGGATATGTGTTTAACATCTAGATAAGATTTCATCTGTTTTTCTACCCCTACGATGTTAAAAATGTCCATTTGCTTCTTTTAGTGCGACCTGTAGATTCCTCTTCATCTAGCCCTGCGATTTCTATTCATGAAATGGGGCATTCTGGAGCAACCAAAACAGAAAGAAGTGGTATTACTAAATTGAAGAGTGAGATGAAGCAGGTGAGGGTTTTCTGTCAATGCTCATCAGAAAGTGCAGCTGTTCTGGAACTGTGTTGTGCTAGGTTCTATTCTTGCTAAATGACAGAAGTTTCCAAAGTTGCTTTGATTTTAAAGCTGATCACTAACTAGAAGGCAGTTATGGGATGTTTCCTCCAAAAATGTGCTGCCTCTTTTGTTCTTGTTTCACATGCTGAAAATAGAACGACTTGAACAAACTAATGCATTCATGGCATCCACTGTAAAAACAGCTCTTTTATCATCTTTAGCTAAGGAAAGGTCAGATGCACAAAGTGAAGCTTTCATGCAGTGTTCATTCTTGTACTTGGCCCAAGTTGCAAAAACGGACCGCATTTTTTGCAATGGAAAAGATTCTTGTGGAAAAGGAATCTTGGTTTGTTTTCTTCCAGTTGTGTTTCTTCAGAATAGGGGATGATTATTGCTGTTACTGATGGCAGTAAAGATCAGTTAGTGATTCTTTACAGGACCTGGTCAGGCAGGACAGCAGAGGCCCCTGTGAAACATGAGTCTGTCTCAAGAGTCGAGCTGCTCCCTGAGCATCATCGTGGCCGAGCCTTGTGATACAGCTGTGGCTGTGAAGGTGCTGCTGACTGCTCTGCACTGGCCCTGAAGTGACTGTGCAGGGCTCACAGTCCTGCAGGGGGTGTCTGTCTTGGGGCCTGTCCAGGGAGGAGAAGGGACAAGACACTAGGTGGCAGCATTATTTTGATTTAAATACAGTAGTGGGCCTGAGCTGATATACTTGGGCCTTTGTTGACATTACAAGTGTAGTGCCTGCGTTGCTTTTCCATTAGATGGAAACTTGGTATTTTGCACAGAGGAGGAGTTGCCTGGTTTTATTTTTGTTCTCCCGACTCTCCAGCCTTTCATGCTGTTTCCTGCTACATCTCACTGCATTCTCTGAATAATTTATTAGATACTAATGTAATGTCATTTTGGCAGGGGGGTTGGCTAGGGTGGTGCAGGATCAACTTTGTTGTTACAGGGAATGCTTCAAGTACTTGTACTGACATCTCTGTTCATGTTGAGCAACTGCAGCTCTCTCATTTGCTGCCGTTCTTTCTTGAGTCAGAACATCAAGCCTTGGCCTAGGTCTGAGCCACTAACACTGAACGTGGAGGCATGGCTTGGGGTGGGCAGTTAGAGAAAAGTGCTGTAAGTCTGAGGTGCTGCATCCACATTTCAGCAAAAATTTTGCCTTGCAGCCATTTGTTTAGTGCAGCCCACCCAGCTGGCAGCCTGCAGCAAGATGACCCTCTTGTGCAAAGAGAAGCTGCTGGCATTGCAACAAACATGGAGTGAAAGCCTGGAGCTTGATTTTCGTCCCAGCCCTGAGTCACAGGGAAGCTTTTGCACGCACCTCAAACTACGGTGGTTTGTGTTGGCCATGGTGGGACCTCAGTGGATGGCATGGGCAGCCAAATGGATGACTTATGGCTGCCAAACAGGCTCCTGGCAAAGCAGGATCTGCCTCATGGTGCCCCTGGGAATCAGCAGGAGCTGCCCTGAGATCAGCTGAAGTGCAACACTGAAAGAGGAACAGGGGTTGTTGCAGTTTTCCCCAGAATACCTGAGCTTATTCCATATTTCTTGTCTTTGCATGGATGGGTTACCTAGCTAACCTTGTTTGTGTTCTGTTCTGTCGTGGCTGTCTGTCTGATGTGTTGGTGTCTGGTTTTGTTTTGTAGTTCTTTCATGAGGGGCACTCCATGTCCAGCAGCATGTTCGCTTCCACGGTAAACACTGTCTGTTGCTCTGCACCTGCTCTTCCCCTGTGTGCATGTGTGTGTGTGTGTGTGTTTGTGCAAGGTCTTGGCTTTAGACACCTTCTGTGACTTCTCCTGCTTAAAAACTTGTTTTCAAACCCTACCTCTTTGTCTTGTTCATCTTCACTGGGAACCAATTCTCATTAGTAATCTTTTAATAGAAGTTGAATCTCGCATTTGGATCCACTTAGTTCCTCTGAAGCTTAAGCAGTTGTAGCACCTGTACTTATGTTACAGGTGTCTTCAGTATTTAAAAGTAATGTAGCACTGATAAATGCTGGCAGTGTCTGGACAGTGAGAAACCCAGAATAACTTCAAGTCGCTGAGACAGGGATTTTATGGGCATGGCTGTCTCCTCAAGCAGTCATCTTCTTTCAAGGCAGAGAACTGTAGCTCTTCTTAAACTCTCACTATTAAGAAGGAAGATAATTGCTTAACTATTTTACTAACAGAGACCTCAACAATTTAAAGTAAGTCTGAAGCTCCAAATGTGTCATGGAGAGACAGGAAGTTTGCAGCTGTGCATGTCCTTTGAACTGGCTGTTGTGATTTGTGATTCTCTGCATCTTCAGACCTATTGTCAATGGCACACCTCCCAGATGTCATAAGTACACAGCTGCAGAGCTGTGTTTGATTGAAGTGCACATATTTAGCTGTTCAGGGAGATCTTTGCTTCTCTGAACTACCTGAGTAGTCAGATTGATTATTGTATCCAGGTGGATTTCTCTACTTTGGCATTGATGCTCACGCTCTGCTCCTGCATGCCCAAGCTCTGCTCAGCAGGATGAAGGAAGTTCTGTCTGTCATGGTCAGTGAAACACCAGGAGAACACCACCTGTGCCTCATGAACACCAGCAGCAGTGCAAATGGACTGTTCTGATATGCTGTGGATTTTTTTGCAGAGCTTGGCTGTGCAAAATCCCTGCACTATGCAAAATACACCTTCCAACTACGCAGTTTTCAGTCTTATTATCCCCCTTCCCCAGTACCTTGCTCAGGTGGTTTCTTACTCGGAGAAGTAATGATGGGATTTCAGATAGGGCTTTCACTGAAGTCCTTTCTGGGCTGAAAGTAACAGGTGTGCCAAAAGGAGTGAGAAAACAGAAGAGCACAGTCTCTGGAGTGCAAGGAATAGGCACAGACTGCACGTGTGGAAATCAGAACAATCTGGTGGTAGTGCCACACCTTTGAACAGGATTTGCTGTCTAATTTAGTGTCCAAGTCTAGTAGGGTAAAAAAATAGAGCAATAAGAGTAATAAAGGAGAACAAGACTGATACTTACAGAGAGGCAAGCATGATAATTTCATGGCTACATGAAGTCAATTTTTAATCTACTTATTTTAATGGAGCTTTTGCATGGCAGACCTCTCTTGCTGGACTCACAGACCCTTTGGTTCTTTTACAACAATGAGCCCAATGCCCAAGTGAATCAGACCTACCTGCAGATCCCCCCATCTCGAACACCAGTGACGCTGCCCTGGAAGCCAACTTGGGCGTGATAAAGTAGTCAGGCCTTGTGTTAAACCAAGCGCTGAAGTTTTCTGTATTACACCATGTTGAACTGCATGCCTGTTTTGTTGAGAAATGACTGAAGTACTCGAGAAGTGAAGCTTGTTTTGAAGGGGAGAGATATGGATCAATCCTGCTCCATCATCCTGTCTGACACTATGGCCTGTGTTTTTCCCCTGGTTCTGAGGTAGCATTACAACAAAAATGTATTGACCAGGCGTGGTCAATACACCCACTTGGGGTGGTAGAAAGCAATTAACCAAGGCTTTAATGTCCTTACAGAGGAGCAGCACTCCATCATCTCCCACCAGTACTTCTCCTACTGGCTCCAGCGGAGACATGAGCTGGGGTGACCGAAAGGGGCAGTGGCTGCGCAGAAGGAGGCTTGATGGTGCTATTAACAGAGTTCCTGTTGGCTTTTATGAGAAAGTGTGGAAAATCCTTCAGAAGGTAAGTTGGCCACTATGGAGGGCAGGAAGCAAGAAAGCTGTACAGTAACTTGGGGAGATGGTAGTCCAGAGGCAGCATCTTGCCGGGAGTTGGTCTTCAGCTGGGAGACTGGTGGAAACGAGAGTCATTAGTGGAAGTGTGTCTCTTCAACATAAAAGTGCTCCATTAACACAAGTTCACATGTGTCTTTGAAAGTTTGTTTTTCTCCGAAACCACCAATCCTGAATTTTGGATGGCCATGCATCCCACAGCCTAATGCACATTGTCAGTGCAGCTGAGTGCAGTGTCACTGCAGTGCAGTGCAGTTCTGTGCTCCGGTTCAGAAAGGCTGTGAGGAATGAAGTAGGAAACTGCACTGACTCTTCCAGAATGCCTTGAGATCTCCTGCTGGCTATTCTGAGCTGCACGGCATTCTCAACATTGTTTTGTTTGTTTTTAAGTGAAAAGGAAGTCCTTGCCAGCACCTCAGAGATCAGGGGTTTGAAAATGTGTTGAAGCAACTATCTAGGAAAGAGGAGAGGGGAAATATGAATTTTTACCTATTTCATAGTGATTATGCACCTGGTTTTCTTTGCTTGGATGCAAGCCAGCGTTCAGCACCTTGCAGCACTGAGCTGTTGATGCCTTGTGAAAAGACTGTCACTAGTTTAGGCTGGTTTTGGTCGTCCTTCTAAAATCAGTTACACTGAAACTCCTAGTGTTGATGTCTGCCAAGATGAGTCATATGTGACCTCTTGGCTATTTACTAATGGCATCTTTCAGTAGAGTGAGCATCACTTCTGACCTAACTTAATAGCTGGGAGTATTTCTGTGTTTTTTCTGGCTATTAAAATGAATTGTGCTAATTTAATTTTCAGTATTTCATTCTTAAAATCTCTTTGGACTATTCATAAAATCTGTCTCCTCTTCTTGGTGTGTGTTTCTGTGCCTCAGGTACTCAGATGTGTCACTCCTTAGCCTGCCTTCTCACCACTTGAGTTTTGTCACTCTTTCCTTTTGTCACTTGGTACTTCTAACATCACCTCTGCCCCACTGGTTGACATCCTTGAGGTGTGGTGCCCTGGATCTGAAACACATAAGTGCTGTTTTAGTGAAAATGAGAAAGGTTCTTGCTTTTGTGGTCTGTTGTCTATGATGCTTTCATGTTATCTTTTATTTCTACTTCCTTTTGAGCAGAGTGTTCTCATCGATTTGTTTCCCTCCTTTGTGTGCCTCTTGCTGTAGTGCCTCTCTGAGTACTTTGCTTTGATAGCTGGGCTGGAACACAACACTCTCTTGTGTGTCATGTCAGGCTATTTCTTATGTTTGCCAGGTTACATAATAACTTCTTTAGCATAGATGAAATATAATATTTGGAACAGGGGTTTTTTGGTCTCATTTGGGGGTTTTTGCTTTGTTTTTTTTTTCTATCCGAAAGTTGTTACGTATTGGCCTAAATGAGAGAACTCTCAGAAGATCTCCTTGCAAGAACTGTAATTTCTGTTCATTGTTGAAATGTTGTTGTTTCAGTGCCATGGTCTGTCCATTGATGGGTATGTCCTTCCTTCTTCAACCACCAGAGAGGTACAGTAAAATACCAATGATTTTCAACTATTTTCTACCCCTGTGTTGAATGCTGGCTGTGACAGTGTAAGGTGTGGCAGAGCTGCTGTTGCAGATCCTTGGTTAAGAGGTTAGAACATCTGGACCTTCCCCAGCACCTCTGCTGGCTTCCCCAGGTCTGTGTCCCTCCCCGGCAGGCCTGGGAGAGTGTTTCTGGCAGTTTTCCCCTTTGCTGAGCCTGCTTTCTGGACACCTTTACTCTCCCCGTGTGCCCACAGAGCAGGGCTTGAGAGAGGTGGGTGATGGCAGTCCTTGGGGGGTGGAGGTGAGGAGACAGTGCAGACCTGTTGAAATAAAGCAGACATGTTCCTTGCCACTTGCATTTTTTAATATGCTGCAACACCAGCCAGTGTATTTTGGCTTCACAGTCTCAAAAGTAAATACCAGTTAAGAATGATTTTTTCTAACCAAAGCTTTGACTCTTTAATTCTATAACCTTTCCTTACATTTTTTTCCTTAGTTCAATTGCCTTTAGGTGCTCTGGCAAGTTTTGAATTCACATCTATAAAACAAACTCCTGTGAACAGTAATCCATCAGCGCAAGAGAGGTGCTTGTGTGCCTGAGACTGTTTTCCTGTCTGGTTCCCTCAGATTTGTCTCTGGCTTCCTTCTCTTCTGAGGCATGATTGCAACAGCTGAAGAGAGGAGCTGGAATTTTCTGCCAAATTTAAATGTTGTCTTTTTTTTTTTTCCAGAAAGGAGAGCTTTATTTACCCCTATTGTGTAGATAAATAGGCTTATATTTTTAGTCTGTCAGACCTAGACAGTATCTAATTTTGCTGTTTAAAAGAATCGAAAGAAATAAGCACAAACCTCCTAAGGCAACATAACATCCCCAGAGATATGCCAGTGCAAATTAAGCTGCTCTACAAACAGCATAGCAATACCCCTGCATGGCAAAGCTTTAGGGGCTTATTTAAAAATCACCCCTCTAAGCAGGTGGTTATTTTTAAAACTTAACAGAGTAAGTTTGGCTTTGCAACTAACCTGTGATGCCAGAAAGAGAAGGCAGAGTGTGTGAGATCACAGCCTGAGGAGCAAGGAGTTAATTTGCCAGCTAAGCATCAGCAGCCCTGTATGTAAGTGAGATGTGTATGTGATGGGTCGCAGGGCTGGAGCAGCTTCTGGAGGTTGTGTAACTGTTTGCAGAATCAAGGTCTAGCAACACGAAAACTTTCTGTAAGTGCTAAAGCGGCACAAACATTTTGTTCGCTTCAGTCAGTCTGCCCCCACGTGCAGAGAGGAGCATATGTTCCAGTGCTTGCAGGATGTGGGGAACTAGTCTTTTGGATTTGTCAGTTTTTCTCTCCATTTCCACTCAAACTTGCCAGATGACCCCATGTGAAATCAAGTTCGCTGTGCACGTGGAGTCGGTGCTGAACCACGTCCCCCAGCCTGAGTACAGGCAGCTCCTGGTGGAAGCTATTCTGGTCCTCACATTCCTCTCTGACATCGAGGTGAACAGCATCGGGGGCATCATCCACGTGGACCGAATCGTGCACATGGCCAATGACCTGTTTCTGCAGGAGCTGGTGAGTTCAAAGGGCGGTGGTGGGAAGTCTCCTCCTTTGACAATTATCCCCTGCTCCTTTTTAAATATGTGTGATGGCCTGGTTCCTTCCCCTACAAAGACAGGCCGAATCACTTAAGTATCTTCTGGAAACATATTTGGAAACCTAATTTAAGAATTGTGGGAGATTTAGATGGAATAAAATTGTAGTGGCTAACAAGCTCTGAAGTATGTTGTTAGATTGAAGTGAGGGTTTGCTTTGTCAAGGCATTAGAATTACTAATATTTGAGTAATCCCACTCTTTCCCCCAAAGGACAAAAATCTCGGAAGTTATATGTTGTTCATTTACTTACACTGATCCAACTAAGTCATGTGGGCCCTACAATAATCCTGATTAAAGTTTTCATGAGGGAAAGGAGAATTGCTTTCAGTATTGAGCACAAATGGAAAATCATAACGTGGTGGGTTTTTTCTAATAAATAAACACGCTTGCCTAACTTGCCCTATTTCTTTGCTTGTGTCTTTTCAGAAATCATTTGGAGCTACTGGCAGTATCTTGGAGAAGGATGTAGCCACAGGAATTTGCCACTTTTTTTATGACAGTGCTCCAAGCGGGGCCTATGGCACCATGACGTACCTAACAAAAGCCATAATTATTTATTTACACGATTTCCTGCCTAGCACAGGTTGTACCATGCAGTAAGTGATGCCTCGTGCAGGAGGGAAGGCTCAGAAGCTCTTTCTCCCCAGTTCCTTGTCGTGAACCTCATGGTTACTTGCTGCCTGTGTGTGTGCCGTGCACTACCTCAGCGTTGGACACCAGTGGACGTGCTCTGTGCATGCCCTACCTACACAGGACAGGGAGCTGGAATTCGGCCTGGTTTTAGGAGAGTGTGAAAGAAATAACAAATAATGAGGCTTATTCTGCCCAAAGTGCATAAATGTAATTCATAGTAAATTAGAAAGAATTATACAGTTCTGCCAAGGGGAGAACAGATTATTCTGTGGAGATCAAAAGGCATAATAAAACAAGGGAGCTGTATCTCAGGCATAGAGTCTCCCAAATAAGGGAAGTGATGGAATTCATTAATTTTTCTCCTGCTGTGTGTAAATGTACATCATTGTGAATCACTAATGCACAGTGTGAAACATCCAGGGAAATGTAAATTAGAGGCATAGGAATAACTTGAAATAACCTAGTGATATTTCTCATACACATTTATCGCGATTCTCTTCTCACTTGCACCTAGTCAATGCTGGGCTAACGCCAGTAGAGACAAACATCTTGCAATATCCACTAATTTGAGAGGATAGCCTCTGTCAGGAAGCTGTGTCTGTCTTTAATCTGAACAAAACAGCTTCCTTCCCTGCATCCCTGAGGCTTTGGAGGCAAAATCTGAAGACTCCAGCTTCCCCAAGGTGACAGACACTTTTATGCCTGTAATCCTTTCCTCTGAATGGAGCAAGATAAACCGCTTCCACTCAAGCACCCTTTCCAAGTGTCCCGATTGTTTCCCTTGCAAAGAGCCTCAGAGTTAAGAATGGCATAATTTGTGGCCCTTCTAGCACAGCGTGAGTTTATGGAAGGCTTTGATGTTTCTCTTTTTTTTTCTTTCCCATTTTTTTTTCCTCTTATTTTTCTTTTTAGTTTGAAGCTGCAGTGGTCACATGTAGTAAGGGTTTGGGCTGCCTGGAGGTCTCCCTTCAGACAGTTCCCAGGTTGGTGCTGGCACCTAGAATCTGTCCTCTGGAAACTCTGAGTTGCTCCAGGCAGAACAGGTGTGTCCTGCAGGGCAGTGGTCCCATGACCATTGAAACTGGAGACTGGAGATGAAAACCCTGGTGGACCCCAGGCTGCATTTTGCTTGTGCTGGCACTGCTGGTTTGCCAATAGCCACATGCCAGCATCTGGCTGACAGCTCGGGAACATGGCAGTAGCTTTAGCCTCTCTGTGGCCAGGGGCTCCCCCAGCAGTGTGGAGGTGTGCCAGCACTGCCACCATGGGAGCAGGAAGCATCAGAGCAATTCTGTCTTGCCAGGTAGAGGGGAAAAGAGCAGACAGGCCTCTAAAAAAGTAAGTATTTTCTGAGCTAATAAACCTGATGAAGTATATTTCTGTGAGCCTCCCCTCCAGTCTTTCAAAATGTAACTATGCCATTTGTATAGGATTTGAAAACTTTTCTTTGTAACAACAGTAGGCGGTGCTTTTGAGAGTGCGGTTTTTGTTTCCAGTTTTATACAGGTATCTGAAATACCCTGACAAAATGACAACACCCTGTCTCACTTGCCAGTTGCCAGCCTTGTCACCCTGCCTGCTGTCCCTCTACACAGTCGCTGCTGCTGTAGCAGTGCCTGGGCACTGCCTAAAGACAGTGAAGGTGTGGGAGCTCTTAGGAAGTGATTTAATGTTTTTGCAGAGACCAGAGGAGTTTGGCAGTCCAGAGGCCCAGGAGCCTTTGGACTGTGTTAACCACCATGAGAACTACAGGCCTGTGGAGGGGCCAGCGTAAAGTGACAGTTCAGGTACAATTAGCACTTGGATGTGGAAGTCATTTTATTGGCATGGTGACTGTTTTGTACGGGTTTGCCTTCATCATGGTTTGGTTTGGTTTTTTTCCTTTTCATATGTATTGTGTGAGCTCACTTGGCTTGTTTCCCAGTAAATAAAAGTAAAATCCTTTGTTTAGTTTAAGCAGATGTGACCATGCAGAGCATGAGCACACAAGAGCTGGTGTGGTGGTTTCTTGTTCTACCCAGGATCATATGAAAATTTACTGTTATTTTTTGTTTTGTTTTTGAATCCTAGATTGTGAGAGATGCAAGATGATTTTCATTCAGACTCTTTATTTGTTTAACCTACAGTGTGATCTTGTTTTCAGAAACAAGGGTGATGTAGCTGGTTTTACATTAAGCTGCATTGAAATCTAAACCAATGAAACGCATGGCCTAACATACCCTGACACCCCTTGACACTTCTCTTTTTAATGGCAGTGTCATTGGTGTCTTTAACATGAAATTCACAGCATGACCCAGGTTATGGTATATTTATGATGATCATAATGAGTTACCACATGAAATGCAGGCACTTGGAAAGTATTTATGTGATAATTTGAAGAGTTTAGGTAGCTGATGGTGAAAGGTGAGACTCTGAAACACACATCCAGGGGAAGGGAAACTTGTGTTATTTTCAGGTCAGGCACAGCTTCAGCGTGCTGCTCAGATTGAAGAACCATTCCAGCTGGAGAGCTGCATTGTAGTGCAAACCTAATTAAGCAAATAAGGTTTTACACAGACCCCCTGCTTTGCTGAGGATCCCTGGTGTGTGTTAGGCTGCTGCAAAGCAGAGCTGGCACTGGCAGTGGCGAGGGTGTGCTCACAGATAAAACACATGACGACTTTGCAGTTTGTGTGGGGCTGAGCTAATTGGCAGAGGCTCAACTTGGCCGTGCTGCTTCCCTGGGGAGCCAGCAGAGGATGACACTGCCAGCTTCCAGCCCCTGGAAACACATTTATGGAAGAAGGCAAAGGTGAACAGACACATCCTGTGCTTCAGAAACAAGGGCATTAGTGAATTAAAATAGGCTGCCTGAGAGCTGCTTGTCCCAGCCTGACAGGCACTGCTGCCCTAAGCAGTTTGCAGCTGTGGGGTCAGAAGCACCTACGCAAGTGCCGGAGGCAGCCAGATGTGCATGGAGAGAGGAATGGGACTGGGTGGGACCACTGGCCAGAACAATGATGGGTGTCCAGCTCGGAGCTCACATTGCATGCTGGCTCTAAGCCAGCTCCTCCAGGCCATGCTCCCTGATCATGGCTGTTTCCTTCTCCCTGCTGCCAAGTGAAGGGCACGGGTTTGTCAAACTAGACAGATCAAAAACACCTTTGATCTCCCCTGGCTGCTGGTCCCACCAGTAAATGTGAAAAGTTAATGGGTGGAGTACAAAGTTTGTCTGACTTCTCTCCTGCTAATTGTAGTTTCCTTCCTTAGGCAAAGAGCCCTGCTTCTTCCTGGAAGGTGCAGGTGAGCTGCACAGTCCGTAGCTGCCCTATAAAGGTGTGGCCACTTTCTGTGGTGAGTGGTGAAACACCTGGGCTGCCCCCTGCGGGCACAGGGCACTGCAGGACTGTGTCACCCCTCCAGCAGCAGCGAGGGGCTTGAGTGAAGCCAGAGCCTGGGCCAGTCCAGGTGCAATCTTGGGCACTTTCTGGTGTGGTCCACAGTTAGGAGTGGAGTTGCCCATAAAGCAGGAGAGAGATACCACCAGCGGTGGCATCTGTAGCTGTATGGTTTGGGCGCTCGTCTGCAGACTGATTAAGTCCCTGCTCAAAGGACCAGTCACATCTGCAATATTAAGTAGCCACTGAATAGAATTGGGACTAAAAGGGATTGGGGGTGGGGTTATAGAAGAGCTTCAGCTCAAATGGTTTTAAGTACAAGCAGCAGGGCTTTTTCCCACTCCCAGTTTCAGTCTCGAGTGGCATTTATTCCTGGTGTTAGATGTTTCACAGTTACTCCCCTGCCACCCCCCTTCTTCTGTCAGGGGTAAGGGGGCTCTTGTGTGCTGCCAGCAGCTGACAGGACAGGGGCTTTCTTTTTTGGGTCAGTGATTCAGCTCCTCTCATACTTCAGTGCTGCATGCCCAAAAGCCTCTTACTGCCTGCCGAGTGCAGCACTGCACTGCAACTGTACCTTGGCATTCCCTCTCGTGAAGTGATCCGTCGAAACCCCTTCAACTTTATGTCACCTTCAGGAATGTGTCATTAGTGGGGACATCTAAACTGAGGCTGTCAGCCGTGTTTCAGAGCAAAGGAGGACTCCAGAGCTGCACCGTCCCATTCCACCTTGTCACTTTGCTCCTACAGCATGGAATCCAACAGTGGGAAGCAAGATCCCACAACACACTGTGGTGTTTGTCCATCTTAGGTGGAGCCTTTTTGTCACTCCACTGGAATAAGATGGGACTGATCATCACAGATCAGCATAACTGCATGCTGAAAACGGACATTAAGCATTACCAATGCCATTAACATTTTACTGTAAATTTTGTTGGCACTATTAAAGATTTTTCTTCCCCCCTCCCCCAAGGCAATAGAAGTAAGCGTGTGCATGTTTCTTCATTCATCTATCAAGTTACAAAATACTTCTGGAAAAGTATTCTGGATTTAATTGTAAAAAATAATATTTAGGAGAGAGAGCAGTGCCTTAAGCTCGGGCTGCTGCTACATTCTGTGATGATAAACTGCAAAGGATGCTTTTTCTTGTACTTTCAACACTGTTATTAAATAACACCAAACTGATTTACTTAGCTCATCTTTAGCTAATACAATTTAAAGAGGGACTAGACTGAAACCTTTTCCTACCCAAAAAGCACATTATGTGCACTGTATTTACTAAGGCTGAATAAGGTGATACTTTTACCAAAAATCTCCTGACCTGGTGTTGCTTTTGGAGTGTAATAGGCAAAAGAATTAGGTCCAGATCTCTCGACTCTCCCCCAGGAGCTGACAGGGTGGTACTGGCAGGAATGGGAATACTGGCTTGCAACAGGGGAAAGGAGACGGGCAGGTGGGGGCATTGGACGTTTCCATCTTGCTGCATTCGAAAAACTCTAATTCAGAATTTCTCAGTTCCCTTTTCCTGGTAAAGAATTTATGTATATGCAAAAATATTTAGGTTCATAATACCAAAATATGTTTACTTTGTGTTTATACTAATTTCTTTGTTTTTAAGAAACCCAGTTCATCTTCAAGAAAAGTGTGTTCTACTCTGATAGGGGCAGGGTACCCAAATACAGGCAAAAAGACATCCCACTTAGACATTACTCAGAAAGCTAAAGCTTTATTTTGTGATCTTTTGTATGTTACATTGACATGCTATGCGTTTAGCCTTCATTAAGGTGACGAGTTATGACCGTTTCTTATCTCCAAGTTCCAACAAATGTGGCAAAAAGTTACCAGTGGTAAGAGGAAACCTAGCACAAGTGTAAACACCTTTCAACCAAGATCCTGTAAGTTGTGTCTGTAAACTTCTGGTAAGATAGACAGTGACCTGGAATAATTTAGTTCCAGTCCATCATGCAAAGAACAAATTTAAATGCAGAACAACCTATTTGAACTAGATGGTTCTTCCTTGTTTTCCTTTCCTGCACTGGACACTCCATAGACAGCATCTCTTGTGTCCGTTTCATAACCAAGGAGGGTCTGATCTGTTCCATGTGGTCACCAATGCCCTCAGCTGTTGCCAAGGACCACTGAGAGAAATAAACCCAAGTCTCTTCCTACACTATTGAAGGTGTGACCTTGGCAGTGTTCACAGATTAGATTAATGGGGGACATGAGGTACTAAGGTACTGGCAGTGTGTGGCAGTGACACAGTAATGCTGTAAGTAGTGGGTTTTCATCTCCTCTGTCTCATTAGTAGCAGGTACATGTCATCCAGCAGGGACTACATAAAGGCTTACAATGGTGACCTCAGTGTGCATCGTATCATATCGTATCGAGCAGCCCTTTTATGACTAAGGACAGGAGGGTGAGCTTCCAAGACAGTTCACATTCTGCCTTTTCATGAGTTTGCCTTTTCCTCAACTCTGTGAACAATGTGAAAGGCCTCTAAAAATTCATTGAAGTCAATTTGGCCATCTTTGTTGTTATCTATACTCAAGACTAATTTGTCAAATGAGTCATTCTGTGCATCAATGCCCAGGTGAGAGGTGAAGAGTTTCCATGTCTGGCTGAACTCCTCAACAGAAATCAGACCTAAAAGAGACACAGCAGGTTGCTTTTTCCGGTACAAAAATGCTTCCTATTCCTGCAAATACACATACATGTACACTCCCTCCCTGCAAGAAAGTTACCTGCCTACCCTGGCTTTGGTGTGTTTTGTGCTTTCATGACTAAAGTACATTTTTACTTGAGATAATGGTCAAATGCTTTTGCCAGAGGAATTGAGAAAGCAGTAAATACTGAGAGTGAGAGTAGAAGGGAGAAAGAGCCCCCAAAAGAGTGAAGCCAGTACTGAAGATGGGGTATGTGAGAATTTTTTGTGAAGTTAGGCTGTGTGCACTGTCCCTTATATGGTTGCAGCCTGACTGCTTAAATTAGTCTTCACTAAACTGGAAAAATTACATCACCTCTGCTTCCTCTATTTTTAGAAGCCTTAAGGAGGAAACACAGTGGGGAAAAAATAACTAGTATAGGCTTCTTAGAGCCGGTACAGTGAAGTTACCTAGACTTACCCGAGTTATCTTTGTCAATGATGTTAAAGATGATCTCCAGATCCTTTCTGTATCTGCACAGTGTTTCCACCAAAGCTGGCTGACCCTGGTTTTGAAACTGCATACAGGAAGACATTCAGACCTTGGTTTGAGTTAGGTTGACCAACAGAATATGTACAGTCCAATTCCATTTTCCTATTTTAACTTGTCAAATGTTAAAAAAAAAAAAATCCTTATGCTTAAGTTTCCTGGAATAACACTTTGTGTCTTGCCCTGAGGAATAATCAGGAATAAACCCCATCACTTTCAAATTGGCAGAGCAAGGGGGAAAGAAGCCCTTCACACCTCCTACCTTCAGTAATTATTTGTGGAAATGTGAATAATCTAGGGAAGATGGTATAGGGAATTGGCTCTGTAGCATGTTTAAAAGCTCATTTCAAAGAGGGTTGAGTGCTCTGGGCAGGATTTGTCGCATCTCCTCAGCTACATTATCTAAACACCCTTGAGAGTCAACAGAAAGGAAGGAGCAGTTCTAGCATGTGATTCATCCAACCTATTTTAAGCATCTACCTTAACAAGGAATGATGATTCGTACCCAAGCAGTGCTCATTTTCCTCCAGTGACTATAAAAGGAAGTTCCACAACTAGTTCAGATGTAGATGCCTCCCTGACTGGCCAAACCACTGTCTTGTGCTTCAAGTTGCACCAAAAGCTGTTCCTCCAAGATTTGCAAGGAGGTGTTTTTGTCCTTACCTCTTTTATAGGTGGATCCATTTCCAAATCATAAAAACATGACATGAATTGAACTTCTCCGTCTGAGTTTGTATGTGCTAACCGAGGCCGCAGTATCCTCCAGGGCAGTTCCAGATGTAGGACAGACTCCATTACTACAGCCCAGTCATGGACAGAAATGTTGCCTGCCAGAAGGAGTCAGTTCATGGTTACAAGCGGAACACGGCACAGCACACGTCAGTCACCAGCACACCTTCGCAAGCACTCTTAAGAACAGTTGCAAAGCCTGAATATTTTCTCTTAACCCCAGAATTAAAGCCCTCATAACAATGAGCAGTGGGGTCGGACTAGACATTTCCACAGGTGCCTCCTAACCTCAACAACTCTGTGATGCTATTAGGATGTTCAACATGTATTAACACCTTTTGAGAAAACCAGATTATGCCATGAAGAGTAGTTCAGATTTCAGCTGAACTGCAGTTACAGTGACATGTGGTTGAAAAACTCAACAAGATAGAAATATGTCAAACAACTGTTCCGTGGCCAAAGAAAGAGTACCATCATGTTCCTGAGCGGCCTTGTAGGAGCGCAGTCAAGTGAGGAGCCATCACAAGAAAAAGTTGTATTTGGAGTAGAAATCAACTTCTTACTCGTACATTAAAGCTTCATCTATTAACTTACCACTGAATTTGCTGCTGCTGATAGGTGAGTGTGTGTCTGCTAGAGGTACAGGCAGTCAACTTTCCTCATGTACCTCCCAGACTCGGAAGGAGACCAGTTCCCACTCATCTGAGACCCCAGTTCCCTGTCTGACATCTGAAGACACCACCTAAGAGAAGGTGGTGACCTTCGAGCTTCTGGAACTGGATTTGCCTTCCCATACTCTCTTGCCCAACAGCAAACAGCATTTCTTTATTTGCCTATGTGTTTCAGTTTTCTTCTTCCTACTTATGGCTTCATCTTCTCAAGTTGTTTTCCCGGACTAAGCACTTGCCGACACCTATTGTCCTCTGTGGTCAGGAAGAACAAGGTCAGCCAGCCTCCGCTGCCCTCCGGCCTTACACTGGCAGGCAGGCAGGACCCCTCTCCATGAGGTTTGTCCCTTCTGCCCCCCACACACATGGAAGTGTTTTCCCCATAGTGGCAACTGGACAGAGAGGGAGTGGTACCTGTGCCTCTGGGGTCGTATGGTGCAAAAGCTCTAATGAGTTCAGACCTATGAGCATAAATCAGCTCTCGTAAGGACTTTAAGGCAGATGATTCAATTGTACCCACCCTAGAAGGAAAAAAATCAGAGCATTATTAAAGAATTTAAATCCTCTGGCATTTTATACTTTTTAACAATCATTATCAAATTCTTTTATCATTTAACATGTCCTATGTTTAAGTAGGATGACCCAAAACATACTAGAGAACACTGGAGGGAAGGGGGGAAAGCCCTAAACCAAACAAAACCAGAAGTGCTCCATAAAAATAATCTGAATTGAGTTTATACAGCTGCTTTCCTTTAGTATCTGACCACAGTGCTAGGCATGGCAAAGCTATGATAAACTTTTTTGACTCAATTCATAACAGGATTTGTCCAGATTAACACTGCAGCCTTAAGGCAAATCTGACAGACAGGTGGAGACCCTTTACAAGTCCCTGACAGTTGTCTGTTCTATCCTCTTACCTTATCTAACTACCATTGGCAGTTTCTCAGGAAACCATGTTAGACCATTTAGAACATGTTTGGTCTACTGTATTAATTTTTAAATGGTAAAATAAAAAACTAGGAAAAATCAAGAAAAATAGATGCCTATTCAATTATTCAATCAGCTCTAGATTTGTGGCAGGTACTCACAAGCAAGTACATGCTCACTGCATGCAACACACAGCTTTACCTCTCCTGAATATTCAGCCTGCGTGTGTACTTGCTGGATTGAAACTGTACAAACCGAGGAATTAGTTCAGGGTCCAGTTTGACGTACGCTCCCCGGTTACTCCCCTCTTCGTAATAGTTAGAGGCAGAGAAGATAGTGATAACCTGATCATAGGAAACAAAGAAACTCAATTGGCTGAAACAGCTCTTCTTGACACTGACTTCTGAAACGGACCTTAGGAAAAAATGCAGGTTACAAAATTAAGTGGCTACATAGAAAACAATTTGGTGTAATTCACCACATTGGTCTTGCCTTTTGAGTCAGAGCTCTGGGCTTGTATTTTTGATCTGTCACTGGAAGACTTCAGTTCAGAGGGCAGTGAGATATAACATGCTGTTCAACAGAAATCACTTTCTAAGACAGATCTAGTTTTCAGGATTCTTGCTGGCTTCCCAATATATCACCTCAGAAAGCAGGGCCAGAAGAGAAATCATTAAGTTAAAAGACTTCTAAAGCCTTAGGGCATCTCTTGCACTGTATTTACACACAACTCTTCTCAGGGATTTTGTTGATGTCTATTTCTTTTCATGTGAGTAATAAACTGGTCCCCACTCCCCGAAGCTGTAAAGAATTTTGTTCGTCAGAACTTGGTAATTTGTTGTAACATCTATCTAGCACAAAATTCCCCCAAATCCAATTTAAGGAAGTCACTCTCTTTTTTATTTTTTAATTAATTTTGCAGACAAATCTATTGTGGATGTGCCTGGGAAATTCACAGGAGAATTCTGCTTTACACAAAAGCATCTTACCTTCCCACCATGACTGATGTCATAACCTTCCCGCTTAAATTCATGAGACCTGATGAGAATCTTCAGATTATACCTATTAAAGATCTTGGCAGTGACATCAGGACCAAAGTAACAGCCTGCTCCTCGACACTTGTTTGGTGTGCAGCCATTTTGGCTTCTTGGATCACTCCAGAGAATGTCAAGGATCTACAAATAGCAAACTCAAGCAAGTGAGGGCTGACAGTAGGTGAAGACTGACAGGCTCTGATGGTCTGAAGTACTGGCCCTAGCAAAAGCCCCACAGTACATGGAGAAAACACGTCTGAGCTAACATGCAGGTCTTCTGTTTTCTTCCTTCCTCTCAGAGGGCATTTTTTTGGGCTGAAACTTTTGTTCTACTTTTTTTAAGAACATGACCTAGATTTTGGATTAACTTTTTTTTTCAGATGACATACCATTTCAGCAATGTACCTCCTTTCACAGCTGAGTTTTTCTGACTTGGACGGGTGCATCAGGAACAGTACCTGGGCTATTTTGAAGAGAGCAAAAGCTGCCTTCTTTGCATCTAGGTGGTTTTACCTAACCAAAGCTTGGGAGTGCCTGCTCTACACATGACAAGAGTTGCCTTTGGCTTTATTGTCTTCAGTTAGCTTGTGTTTTAAAACAAGATTTTATGTATTAGCATTTTAGCAGGATTCAGATGTGAAGATGAATTATTACTGTTTAAGTATAGTCAGGAGCAAGTATTAGTCAAACTGTGTTTGTTTAAACCTTGCTGGACAAGGTTTGTACTAACATATTCCACTTCATGTTTGTGAGCATGGCTCAGTGGATAATTGATTAGCTGGGGGAGTGTCAGTTTTGAGGGGGTGTGTGGGTGTTACTTGTGCCCATTATGTTGGTTTGTAAGTCAGATAGGTATCACATCTCCAAATCAGCTTTCCAAATTGCCACAATTTATTAAATTACAGTACAAAAAAGCTCCATATTGGCCCTAGTATTCAAGAGGAAAGGAACAGCCAGAGGACAAAAACTTCCCACTCTTGAGTAATCAGCATTGTAGATCTCCTTGTAGATCTTGGGCGTTGGGGAGTTGGGTGTTTTTTTGGGCTGTGTCAGCATTCAGCTGCCAAAACCACAGCCAAAAAATGGTGCTCGCTCTCACCAACAATTGCAAAGTCTAACCTGCTTAAACCAATAACCACATATGTCTCAACAGATCCAACCACATGAGGGCAAGCAAACACATTTCATACTTAGCAGTTTCTTCCTCCTAACAGCTAAGAAAGCAAAACACTGGGCACATTGTAAGGTATAAAATCCCAAGCCTTTCTTACATGGTCTACCAAAAGCATCCAGAAAACTAATAGCTGTCTAGTATATGACTGCTTTCTTATTAAGAGACAGTTCCCTGTGACTCAAACATACTGCCTGAACAGAACACCTGCTGGTTTTGTGCAGGAGGTTTTTGGTATCACTCTGTGTTTGGTTTCACCCACCTGTTTCCATTCCTCCTCAGTGGGGCCCAGAGGCAAAATGGAGCCTGAAGGCTCAGTGGAGACCGAAGAAGAGTCAGAGTCGTAGTGTGCCTTCCCAAAATCATTCTGATCGGAAATTCCCTCCTTCAGGTCCTGTCTGCCTCTCATTGACTTGGGCAGCCGTAGCAAAGATTTCAACTTTAAGAAATAAACACAACAAACTGAAAGAGTTATCAGCACATAAAGTTGATGCAGAGATTTTAGCTGAAAGGCACATCAATTCATGTTTCTTCTACTCAGGAAAACTCACTGAGAGTTCAGCTCAGGGTTGAACTCCTATTATGTCCTGAACTCACAGGTCTGGAGGAAGCTGAAGGTGTTTGGCACCTGCAGAAATTTTACTTTATACCTATCAGCAACCAGCCTCTTCAGAGCTGCTTTCATAATCTTATCCAGACACACAGACTCCTTCCAACCACAATCAATCTTAAGGTCTCACTGTACAACAAGTATGACCTAGGCTCAGGGATGACACTTAAGTGCCCAGCTTTCCTGGAAACAAAATACGTATTCATACTGTACTGAAGATGAACCTTCATTCACTGCTGTTCTGACACAGTAGCATGCTGTTAGGTTAATTTGGGTAAGAGAAATGGAATATGAGGAAGATAACAGTGAAGTTGATGAAGTATTACATCGGGCCTTTTATCATTAAATCAACCTCTTCCAACACACATGGGCGTTTGCTTTTTTGGAGTGGTGCGCTATAGCTCTGTGAATGACCATTCATACAGACTTTTCACCAGGGAGTGTCTTCTCATTTGAAATGTTCTCATACTAGCTTATTTCCAAAGTAAAACAAAAAAACTCCAAAAAACAACCACCAACAAAACACACATCCTCCACAGCCCCCTAAATGTTACTCTTTAACAAAGAAAAGGACTGATTCAAAACAAAATGCAAACCACTGGGTTATTCCCCAGTGCACTGGCCAGTATTTGAGACCTGTCAGATGCCAGCTGTACCAATTAAAATACACCACTTGGCCTTGAGTGATACTGCCCTGGGTTGTGGCCCACAAATGTCTCATTAGCAACGCTCTCCTGTGGCAGCAACTTTGACCTGTTCATTCTGTATTTCACAGATACTGCATCAGAAACATGCAGAGCCCAGCCTTGATGAAAGCATGGGCAGAACTCGGCTCAGAGTTAGGACACCTGCATCTGTAGTTGGGTACCCAGTTTTAGTGTACGGTGGTACAGCCAACACAGCCCAATGATCAGAAACGTTCACATCTTTGAAAGACAGAGACACACCTGACAGTCCTGTAAAGCATTTATTTCTGCATTAGAAAACATGAGAATGACAGAAATAGCACAGACATTAATTACAGGGTACACTACGTTGCTTAAATATAGGTCTCCTGTGCCATCTGAGATGCTCTACTACGTCTGTGGATCAGTGTGAGGGGGGCAGACACAAACCCAACCTAAAGGAGACTGGTGGAGGAAACCTACAAAGAAGACTTTCTTCAGAGGCAGGCAAAAGCCAGAGAGAACATCCCTAGCCTATGGGGTGCTTCCATGAACAGCACTGGAGACATGTGTCTAAGAAATAGACCTCCACCAGATCTCTTGGATCTCCACTGATTATAAGGAGCCTCAGCACCCTGATCACAAGCAGACATCTTGATTTAGTTGTCCGAATTGAGACCAAATCCCACACCATTTTCCACTGATTTGAAAGAGCTGTGTTTGCTCACCATTTCAGAAAAAAACATGAACATTTCTGGTTTTTAAATCCCTGAAAAGCAGTAATTTCTGTTTTCTCAAGGCCAGGTCTTAAGTTTGATCCTTCTGGAAAGGCTCTCCCACATGTACAACACTCAGCTGCTGCCAAGGGAACGCCTCACAGGTGGAGAACTTCCCCCACACAGCAGATGGCAGAAGCACAGCCCCAGGACAAAAGCCAGTGCTAGAAATATGTGGCTAGATTGGTTTCCAAAGTGGTTTTGAATCAAGTACTTTTCATACTTTCTGGCTAATGCGTCATCACTGCAGGAAGGGGGGATCTAAAGTGTTTTTAGCTATTTTAAAGTCAAAAGAGCTGTGCTATTTTATAGCAGCCAAACAATTGGCTCACAACACCTACTGAAACTTTCCTTCCTAAATGCTGATTTTGAAGAAAAATAGGACTCTTTTTTTTTCCTTACAGCAACCATTTAGTTTCCTAATGCAAAAATCAGCATTTGTACCCCCATGTGGATAATATATCTCTTACCTTATTTCTTTCGAGTGCCTTCAGGAAATCCAAATCTGTGGTGTTTGAAATCCCTCCATGTAGGATAAGAACTTTTTTATCAATTATAGTGGCAAGGGGGAGCCAGCTAAAGACATCTCGCAGAAGATACAAAATCTGTGTACTGTGTTTCTGTAAAATATACCCTTACATTAGATCCTACTTCTGGTAGATTCTGTTGCTTCCAAATTCAAGATTTTGTTGAAGCATCTGCTACAGTCTGTATGAACAGTTTTGTTCAGGTGACAATGTGAATTGCAACGCTGACAAACGTTCTGACATTTACTTTAGAGCCATTTGATTGTATAATTTAGCTTTTCTTTCATGGTCACCTCTTTTTGTGTTGTTAAATGGCCTTATGGATGTTATTTAATTCGTCCCATAGATCTCTGAGAATAAGAGGCTAGCACTCAAAATTGTTTTGTCCACTGATGTGCCAAAATAATTTCAACTACATCACTAAAGTAATGCTCTGTTACACCTACATAAACTGCTTGGAAGTTTCCTTGTTTTCACAGATCTCATTTTACATCTGCAAGACTACAAAGAAAACATAGGAGAAGGAGGAGGAATCTTACCTTGTACTTACTCGAAACTTCTCTTGTGAAGCCATATCTGAAAATAGGACAGCATCATGAACTGTTTTTCAGTATGCCCCTTCTGCATGGTTTCCTGTGCTATAGTGTTTGCCAGGAGTTTTCTAGCCCCATTTTTCTCCTGCCTTTCCATCTCACCTCAGTTTAAATGTGCTTTCTTCCACCCTGTCTCGAGAACCGAGTTAAACTGATTTCTTGTACATAGAGAGGACAGGAACAGTATCCATCCTAATAATCATTAAGTGGCCATTTTGCCAACTTTACCTTTTAAACACCAGAGAGAAATTTCAAAGGAACCTAACTGGTGATGAGCAAAAATTCCCACAGAGCCTCCACAGAGTTCTTGTCCTAAATATCATATCATATCATATCATATCATATCATATCATATCATATCATGGAATGGTTTGGATTGGAAAGGACCTTACAGATCATCTGGTTCCAACCCTGCTGCCATGGGCAGGGACACCTTTCACTAAACCAGGTTTCTCAGAGCTCCATCCAACCTGGCCTTGAACATGTAACTTTCTTAGACAATGTCATCTATTACGTTTTTTTCCCCCACAAGGGACAAGGATTTTGACAACTCATTCTTGTAACACCAAGATATCCTTGGTCGAGGGGCATTTTCACAATACTCAGCTTTCAAATTTACATATGTGCAGCACTGATAATTAAAATGCCCAGCAAAAAAAAGCCAGGATTGCATCTATGCACTTCATACCATCACACATTTAGTTAATATTTTCTACTATGGGTGGGAATTTTTCTACCTCATAGACTAAGTAACTGATCTTGGTTTATGTTTGTTGGTTTTGTTTTGGTTTTTAAGTTTTAGTTTGTTTGTTTGTTTTAATTAAGTGCTGAAAAAAGAATTATGTGAGACTGATTCTCTTATGTGGATCATTAATAGGACTTGACCATGGGCCTCTAACTCAGGTCTGTGCCTGTGTTAAAACAGCACTATATTCTGTGTGGACACACCAAATGATCGAAGGGGTTCAACAGGTTACCCACCAGTCAGTCAACCAAAGACTTACTGGGATGGCTTAGAATTGTAGGGACTAGGACTGAGGAGTTCTTCCTACATATGTGAGATGATTTTTTTCTACAAGTCACATTTTCACTGCAGCCAGAGCCACTGCTTGTGCTCACTCCCTTGGCAGCACTGTACAGCTGAGTACAAATGGCTGTATTAGAAAACAGGGTCTCAGCTGTTCCTGCAATGGGACAGATGACACCTCCCAACCAGTGAACCTCCCCTGAGTGGAAGCTAGAATATTTACCTGCCCCTTGTGTTTGAGAAGTGACATCTTAGTCTAAAGTTAACTGAAATATCAACTTTAACTAAATATGTGCTTTTAACTAAAATATCCTTCCATCTGTCCTCCTTCCCCAATTTTGATACTCTGGAAGCTGCAAGAAGGCCTCTGACTTCAATGGATTGTGACTAGGTCAGAGACAAGATACAGTTCTCATGTGTGTAATGAGGATATTCCTTCCCCCCCTCACAGATCTTGAAGATGCAAAGCTACACCTGAATACTTAATAAAATATTACTTGTATTTTAGAGTGTCACAGTGGCTAAAGTAGCATTCAAAAGCTCAAAATTTTCTAGTGAAAGGCCAGATACTACCCACCCTGCCCTCCAAAATCTACCTCATGTTCATCATGTAGTCTTCATGGTTTCCTCTATTCAAGGATATATTATTGGGATAGATAAGAAAAAATGCAAATAAGAGTATAACTATTTCCATAGAATTTTTCCCTCTGTCAACATAATCACCATTAAAGACGTAACGGTTTTGTTCTGAAGGCAGACCATTCTGCAGGAAGAAACAAAAAAAAAGATGTTTAGAGATGCTGCTATGGTACTGTAATAAAGGAAATAGTATTTAAATGAGGTCACATTGCTAGAAAGTCTGAAAAATCTTTGCATAATATAGAAATCTAAAATGTAGCATTTCTTTATTTCCACTGCTTAGAATAAAAACCTCCATATCAGACAACCTGTATGAGCCATTAGAGAAGACCTCTCTAGCTGTTCTTATGATGTCATCTCTAATCCTATCCTCTACCTATTAAATAAAATGGGACCAAAAGGGACATCAGTCTTGTAATAAAATATATTCTTCCATTAATGCAACTGTTTCCAGGAAATTGTGTACTTGCAAACAGAACAGAGTAATTCTTTGAATGGAAGGTAAGAAATCAATGACAAATTGTCTTCTGACTCAAGTTTGAAGGTCCTTATGTTTCCTTGCATAGTTGAAAAATGGATTTAATATATTTACAATGTTTGCAGTGCATGCTTCCAAAGCTCCTGATAAAGACTATAGTCCAGAGGATATAAAATCTTGATACAGAACTCTGAAGGGTTTGATTCCAGTTGCTTTAATCCTGAAAGCACTACTTGAATTTTACTCACTTGCACTTTGTCCCCATCAGGGCAAGGATATACTTGAAAGCTCACAAACCTGATAGGCTGTACATACAGGTATTCCTTAACTTATTTTTTCTCTGAAGATATAGAGCAATGCTTTATTATGAATGGTTACTCATCAAAAGCTAGTATTTTGAACTGATGGCATGTTTCATTAGATTAATTACCAGTACAGCACTGGGTGCCATCAACTTACAGAAAACATAGCATCAATTATATGTAGCTTCCTCATTTCCAATCATGAGTCAGAAACATTATTTCAACCTTTGACTTGCCAGAAAAATGAAACCTCTGTTCTCACAACTGATATGCACAAGAATTATCAACAGAACATCTCTAAAATCACATCATAACTGTGGAAGCCACTCTTAACAGGTTTGGCAGCATTGCTATGTCAGGATGCAGTAGTGAATCCTGGTCTCTTGATCCTGACTGCTGTAAATACGACTTCCTTGGATTTTGCTTGTCCTGAGCCCTTTACAGGTTTGCTTAGAAGAAGCCTGTGATTGCTCTGTGCTCACAGCAGTGACAGTGTATGAGACTCTGCTAATGCAGTGGGTTGCAGTGGCTTTAAAAAAGAGAGAGGATGGATTTCAGGAGTGGAACAGACAGCAGAAACTCAACAGCAGCTTCTGGAAAGACAAATTAATAAAAGCTTTGCCTTAAAACCAATAGGCATGTGAATCACCAATAGATTGTGAGTATACATGCAAGCACTCTGGAGCTGCAATCCTCTTGGAAAGACAGATCTACTGAAGCACTCTTCAGACTCTATCATCCCTTTGGAAAAGCTTACACACCATTTTAGTTTTTAACAAGTTTGTTTTGGACTTCCAACTTCAATGTGACATTTAAGTTTCGTTCCACACTCATGCAAAGTTTTTATTTCCTTTTCTGTGGTTTTGACCAACAATAAGAGCAAAACTAAATTAAAGGCTGTTGCAGCCTCTGACATGTCAGAGAGGCAAACAAGGCCTAATGATTAGCAACTTGCTGCTGGGCATCATTACTGTATTTCCTGGGTTAGTGATTAATTAACTTCTGTTTGTTGTTGGCACTTTCTACAGTTTCAGGCCATTTCTATCCATAGCATCCATTTAACAATCTAACTTAGCAATACATAATTTAAAATTCAAGCATTTCAAGGAATTTCAGAAAACGCTGTAATTTAATGGAGATTAATGCAGGGACTGAATGAAAAAGTAATTATCTTAGCCTCATTCAAACCAGGTTTAATAATTATACACAATCTACAGCATTGTATGGATAAGCTATGTATTGCAACCTCTGTGTGTTTGCTGTTGGTGGTTTGTAGAATTGCTGTGACAAGCCCTGGACAGAGCCCCATGCTCAAGGTGCTGGTCTACGTGCAGCCCTCCAAAATCCATTTCAGCTCTGCATGGCTCTGTGCAGACTGAGATCACTACATTCCTCATGGCACTGTTTAGGATCACACCCCCTTGTTTAAAGTTATGGGCGGTTCATGCCAACTTGGAGGATGAAATCCCCTCCAACTGAAACAAAGTCAGGGATGGAGAAAAAGAATGGATCCCAGAAGCTGGCTGGGTTCGCTGCTCATCTGAGTGAACTGCTCAGAGGGGACAGAAAAGACTGTGTCATCTAATTTGCCTCTAAATAAGCAGCTCTAACATGTGCTCTCTATATTCTCAACCACTTTGAAATGACAAAATATTTGTCATTTTATTCTGTTTGGTGGAAGGACTTCCCTAGAAGTTTAACAGAGAATGACTGCGTGTTATCTCTAGTCCCTGAAATCAGTGGGAGTTTTGGCTCTGAATTTAATGAACTCAGGATTAGAGTTGCTTAGAGGCTTTTTTTCCTCTTTATAGCATCCATTAGAGGGGGAAAAAGAATCATCATCTGTTTACTCCAAAAGAGTAAAATGCAGGCTGATTGCAGTTGTAAATGTACCTATTTAACTATCTGAGCATGTATCTTCAAAACAGTTATTTTTCTCATTCCAGGTTCTGTGTATGAAACCAATATGTATCATACCCTTATTCCAGTTTCAAAAAGAGAGATTGTCTAATTAAAAGAACAGCTAAAATACCACAAGCCTAAGGCCAGCTAAACACAGTTGATTAATAAGAAAAGCAGAACACTATAAAAAGGTCTGATTTTACTTTAACTAAACTTCAACAGGCTTCAGGTATGCCACATGGGCAAAACAACCACATTTCCATTCAGCAAGTGTCAGATAAAGTGTAACAAAGTGCGAAGCAGAAGGAGAATTACATTATTTAAACACATGGTTTAGCTCACTTCAGTCTCCATTCACAGCAGATGAATGTGTATAAGGATCAGACACAAACCTTTTTCCCCGGAAAGCTCAAATCAAAGAGAGTATCTGCTAAATGAAAGGTGGTGATTCATGCTGAAGATAAATGTGAAACTAAATACACAACATTTCCTGCATCTTCAGTTAAATATACAATTGCGGAAAAGATAGCCTGGAGCTCAATTTTTTTCACATCCGTAAAACAGAGCTGTGTTTTTTTAACATGAAAAGAAGGATATGTAAAGGGTGCCCAAAGAATTTCTATTTTGTGAAGATTATGTGATTGCTTTCAAGGCTTAAAAACCTTTTAAATAGCACTCTTTTCTGTTTAAAAAATATTAAAAAAAAAAAGCTCTGTAGGTATCAGTGGAGGCCTAAATGAAAGCTTCTGCATTTTCTCTGGAGAGTCAAAATTATCCATGGTGTAGTGTTACATCAGGAACTAAGTTAGCTCCTATATTAGCAGACTTTAGTCAATATGGAATTTAAAACAGTGGCAGAAGTCTAGAGACACTGCAAAGAGCCCTTTTAAGTTTTGGCTCATGCTCCAGCTCAGCATTTGGGAAAATAGTAACTGTGGCCTAGATCTCCTCCTTCACAGTGTGCAGGAGGATATGGAGAAGGAAAAGCTACGACAAAGACACCAAATTGTTCCAGGATTTCTGTATGTGGTATATGCACACCTCATGTACAGTTTTAACTGTGATAAATCTGTTAGACATAAATATGTTTTCTTAACATCAAGTCATAAAGTGAAAATGCTACATCTCAGAGAACCCACTTACCTTATAGAATATCAGCAAAAGATCATCCAGGTTTCCATGCAAATCTCCTACAGGAAACAAAAACATTTTTCTTTTTTTTTTTTCATTTCCTCACAGAGGAGGAAGAAGCTGGAATTATTAAACTAGAATTAGTTAGTCCTAACAAGTTTTCTCCCATGTGGTCCTTATGGATATGAAAGCAAAAAAATATCACTAAAAGACATTTCAAAATATGATAGACCTCTACATACTAATGGATTTAAGTTTACTAAGTAGCCCTCTATGTACTGCACAACTGAACATCTGCAGGATTTGATGGAGAGTGTCAAGAACTGGCCATGTTATTATGCCTCAGTGCTAAAGCCACAGGAACAACAGATTTGGCCCTTTCCAAGAGGTTTGTTTGGAACAGGCAGGGGGATTTCACCCCAACACAAAGGATCACTGCAGCACAGATCCCCTCTGCAAGTGACTGAATTTCATGCTCACAGAGCCAACCTTCTCATGTCTGTGACTCACCACCACAAAGCCGGAGAACAGTTTCAAAACCTACCTTGTGATAATATGCTTTCCCTACCAATGATTAGGAAAAGAGAAGTGACATTTTTGCCCTCTCTACATGTTTTCTTTGCAACTTTTTATTAATTGTGAGCCTGCTGAATTCATTCTAAGGGATCCTTCAAGCTATGACAGATATTCATCACGTATGTGGATGCAACATTTCAGACATATATTTAATCTGTGTTATTAATTTGAAATTAAAAGAAAATGGAGTGAAGGATACCTTATTTTAAGGAAATTAACATTTTGGACCAATTATGCTTAAAAATTGGTCATCCATCTTCAGCAGAAGTTCTTTCTGGTTACAAAAGTTTTTAGTTTCAATAAAGGAAAAGGATCCCTTTAGATGCTGCTTACACAGTGCAAATGCAATACAAACATGAGGAGGTATGTCTTGCTTAACAAGAACATATGAGCAAGTATGAATGTGTGTTTCCTTGGTTTGGAGAGGGGTCTTGTTGGTTTGGTTAATAAATTATTGTTTATACAAGACCTCACTCAAACAAACCCTTTTCTGGCAATCAAAGTAGGTCTATAACCACATCTTAAATTTTGTTCTGCATGTGTCACAGTGCCCTTCCTTATACCACTTTACTTTTACACACAGCACACTCTGATAGCTGTCAAGAGTTATGTCACCACTACTGTTCTGTTTTGGAGCTACTGTGCTCTGTGGTGAATAAGGATAATGCATTCCATTATTCATAATTTACAAAAGTGTAGCAAAATAGATGGGCAATGAGCTCTTAGTTCTTTACTGTGTACACATCACATCACATCATTCTGTGAGACTAATTTGTTAGTTTTATAAAGACTGATCTATCCTCTTGTGTCTCCTTAGAAATCAGGGTTTATTATAATTTCAATATATTCGAGATAGTCATGCTGTCAATTAAAGGTCTTTTTTGCCACCCATATTAAGTCCTTATTAAAATCATTATAGAGTAAATTGTGATGGCAAGATTTTTTTTCTGAATGAGAGGAGAGAGAGGTGAGACTCACAGTGACCAAAATACTTGGTAGCATTTTAGAGGCGGAAGTGCAGGAGTATTTAAGCTACACTGTAGTGTTAGCTGAATGAAAACTGACTCAGAAATGTTAAACAGAAAAAGGAAAGAGAACGTGAGGGACTTTCTTAAAATATACTTAGTGTGACTTGGGAACTTTCTTTTTGTTTGTTCCAATTTATGCATTTGTGAGGAAAACAAACAAATAAATAAAAGCATCAAGAACTTTCTTGTACTGGCAAAATTTGGAAACATCTATATCATTCTCTAACCACTTAGAATATCAACCCATAGCCCAAAGCATTTATCTCCTCTGGCACCTTACCACAGATAGTTATATCCTTGGAGTAGGAAGTTGAAAGAGAAGTGATATTTGGCATCAACTTGAGAACTCTCCTAGTTTCACATAGTAGCTGCAGGACATAGTGGGGATGAAGCAGCTGGGAAAAAAAAAACCAAACAGGTAGAAATGGAAAACTTCATAGAATTAGCAATAGATCTCTTTGCTTTATTAATATCAGACATGTATTGCCAAGATTATTTATACTGCAGACCTCCAGACATGATTACAGGCTGTATGGCTTAGTGCTGGGAATTAGGAACGTTCATAGCTTTGCATTTACTACTCCATGTATGGATATAGAGCCCTTAACAAACTTGCTTTACGTGTTTTCCGATTTTATTTATAGTGTACTGTGAGGAATTTTGTTAGAGGAGATAGATGACCGACAAACTGACTTTTCAAGATTCATGTTTTTAAAGCAAACAAAAAAGGCCAGTCACATAATAATTTCCTAACAAAATGCCAACCATAGTAAAAAAAGGGAGATCAGACAATAAGGTGAAGTCTGGGTGAGCTCATTTATGATGCGCTTTATATTTGATACTTTTACAATCAGCCTCCACAGAAAATTACAGGAAAAAAGTAGTATTATTTAGCAAATGGAAAGGCAGGTTAGACCTTTATCCCTTACACTCAACATATTGTTATGCACAAATAATCATAAGTTCAAACAAAGCTGTGCCATGGAATGCCTCCCTGCTCCACCCTCATGTTGGGAGTGGGCAGCAAAAGGGCTTGCTCAGGAATATAGAGAATCAGGAACAGCCTCCTCAGTGCCCTGGAAGCTGCAGACAGGAAGCTCTGGAGATTGGTGGTATCACTGTTCTGCTAAATTAGCAATGCTTTACAGTCACTCTACTGTTACAGCGGAGTCTTGCACATTGGAATGAGCCCTTACACCTCAATGCCTCTAAAAGGAATGAGGTGAGGCACAAAAGGAAGAGGACCAAAAATGGAGCACTTTTAACTCAGAAAAGATGATAGTTTCTATGTTAGCTTAGGACCCCTTCCCCAGTCCTCCACTCTCACTGCTAACCCCTGTCTTGCAGCTGCTAAGGGTTCCCATTCCATTTCACCAGTCCCTACTTCCACCCCAGTGCTGGATCCAGTGGTCATGCAGCAAAGTAGTGAATCAAATCTGGGAACTGGTCTGGCTGGGAACTGACTGCTTTCATTTTATTATGTTAGCTTCCAGCCAGATAAGTTTCCCAAGACAGCTCACCATGCACCTGTAGGATCACATGGGCCAAGCAGGAAAGGGTAATGGGGTGTAAAGGAAGGGTGAAATATCTCTTTGGGCACCAGTTAAGCCATACATTGGATTGTGGAACTACACCTTGACACAGATGTAAAAGAAGTAAAAAGAAATCAAGCTAGTTGCAATTTACCTGTTTATTCCTGAAAGCATGAATAAGAGCATTGGCATCTTCAGCAGTAAGGGGGAATGAGAGTCGTGGCCCATAATACGAGTCTGGAACATCAATTTTCTCTTCAAATTCTGTTATCTGTAAACATTCATCCACCGCCCGAGGATCACTAGGGGTGGTGGAAATGGGAGAAACTGGAACAAGAGGGAAGAAAAACAAAAATGTAGAAACTCTACCAATCCCCACAGAGCTGTAACAGCACGGCCAGAAGTAGCTGAATGTAACTGCTTTAATTGCTGCAGCATTACAGTGCCTAATTCCTGCCCTGTGTAGCAGAAGAGCTCCAGGTCTCCCCAGATTGTTTTGCAATACTAAAACCAACCAACCAACCACCCATCCCAAAACCAAGACAGAAAACCCCAAACCCAACCAAATGAAAAAAAAACCCAGGAAAAAACCCCTCTGTTCCAACAACCAGTAGCTGTGATCAGGGTGCAAAACATTCTGCACTGAAGTTCTGGAGCAGTCTGCTCCCATAGGTAAGGACAACCATCAGCTGGTACAGACTTCTTTCTCCTTCTCCCCCAAAGCAAGGAGATACAAAAGTCATGGCTGATCATTCCATGACCATCACCTGTTCAAAGCTTATAATAATAATGGCCAGTCTTCGCGAGCAAAGATCCGGGGAAGGTCTTTACACCTTCCAGCCTGCGCATTGGATTTTTTAGGTGAGACACAGTGTGCGCGGAACTGAGCCCACCCTTTAATCCTAAGGTTCATCTGCCGGGGCCAAGCGAGCTTGGACGGTGGCAGCGAGGTCCTTAGGACGTAGATGGGTTGCTTTTTTTAGGACGTAGATGGGTTGCCTTTTTTAAGGGCTAACGAGCTCCATCTGCCTGGGAGTGGCCCTGACCGGGAATCGAATCCGGGCCTCGGCGGTGACAGCGCCGCGCCCTTAACCACTAGACCACCAGGGGTTCCAAAGCTTAATATTACACTTTTAATACAGGTTGTGAAGATTCATTTCTATTGCTTTATTTTCTAAGTAAAATTTTTAGGCTAAATAGCAGCATGTCAGGGATTATTTTAAAAGTCACCAAAAAATCCTATTTATCCACACTGGATTGCAGACCAGTCCTTGCTGATACGACTAGGAAACAACTCCAGCTTTTGGTTGGCTGCCAGGAAACCACTGGATGAAATAAACAAAAGTTGAGTGATGAAAGTAGAGCAGAGCTTCTAATTTTCCTGGAACATGGAGAAAGCAGGAACATTGCTAATTGCTTCAATCCAATATTTTCTTGACATACCCTGGAAATGTATCTGAGTGAACAGCATATTTCAGTGTTTTCTTCTTGCATATTGTCTTTATCATATAGTATTCTAAAAGAGAAAACCAGACCCTAGAGGAAAGTGTTCTAACAGCTAGTGTTGCAGAGTTGCTCTTGTGAGATGACTGTTGTAAACACCTTTTGCTGGGCTACAGGTGAGTTTTCTGCAACTTTGATTTCCACTGGAAATAAATATGTATTATTTATTGCTGGAGGAAACTCACAGCAGCAAAAACCACCATGTGGCCTCAAAAATGATAAGATTCATAAAGGCCAACTTGTCTTGCAACTGGATAAAATCCATATTAAATAAATAAATTAATTAATTAATAAAAATACACTCTGGATTAAAAAGACCCACCTTTTTATTAGCACTTCTGCTGTGAGCTGATTAGCACATTTAGTGCTAATGTAATGTTACACTCATCCATGTAAATGGATTAAGGCATGAGGTGACAGCAGGGTGCTCAGGGCTCACCGTTTCCACCAAGTACAGTTTGATTTGCAGTCTTCCATCACAGGTACAGCTTTGTCTGGCCAGACAACTGAACGTCCCCTATGGACTGCAATTGCTGGTTCACACCCAGTGATCAGCCAGGCACATTCGCACCAGTTCTTGTTCTCGCTCTAGCAGCAGTGTCTGGATGGCATCTCCCTCTGCATCCAACCTCTCAGGAAGTGCGTGGCTGCAGATCACAGAGCCAACTCCTCAGACCACCCAAAGTCCTCATTTCTTGCCTGTTTTAGCTAGAGGTTCTCCTCATCTGACATGACTACTCAGTATTTCAAGCCAGGCAGACACCTGCCCATGCCTGCTTCTACTCCTGCCTTCCCTTCCTGCTCCTGCCTTCCCTTCCTGCATGGAGCAGTCTTATCCATCACTTCACCTCTAAATATGAACTTGCCTTCCTTGCAGTCTCACTTCCATTCTGGCAAATGCCTAGGCTGGGAAACCCAATCTCCTTCCCTGTAGAGCATATCTCTGCAAAGTGCACCCCATTTTCCACTTTTGGATGAGTTGTCAAAAGCCAGTCATGGTCATTACCTTTAGAGTGCACTTACATCTCCTCAGGCAGTCTTTCACCTATTTTAGGGCTTCTTCCTGCACAGGATGACTGTCTCATCTCAGAGTGGTCAGTAATGGATGACCTAATGCAGCCTGGGGATTTGCACACTGGCCAACGAGTACCACAGCTCATCACATGCTTCATGCAGGACTAAATCTGAAGGATTCACAGAATCACAGAATACGCTGAGTCAGAAGGGACCCACAAGGATCATCGGGTCCAACCCTCAGCCTTGCACAGGACCATCCCCAGGAGTCACACCATGTGCCTGACAGCATTGTCTGAATGCTGCTTGAACTCTGTCAGGCTTGGTGCTGTGACCACTTTCCTTGGGAGCCTGTTCCAGTGCCCAGCCATCCTCTGCATGGAGAACCTTTTTCTAATATCCAACCTAAACCTCTCCTGACACAAATTCAGGCAGCATCCATCTCATTTTACTATTGTAGTCAAATCTGTCAAAGCTCTTTCAGTTTGTATTGAAACACGAAGATGAAAACTCTTGGCATGTCTAGTTCAGGCACATGTGTCAAGACAGAATGAAACATACTCTGCCAGCATCTGCATCTCTCCACGGGCTACAGGGAGCACAGGTAATGACCTGCTTTGTACTCTGACGTCAGAGGTCTAGCCCAAGCTCAGTGAGTTGAGTCTTCACTATTAACAGACCCCATACAACTACCCTACAGCCATATTCCATGTTAAACATGAAAGCCCAGAGCTAAGTTTGGCCCAGAGTCAGTTTGGCCACAGAAAGCCCAAGGACTTGGTTCTCCTGACAAGACCACCTCACCAGGGAAATTATTTGAGGCAAGTCAGAGCCACCACTGCCAAGGGTAACACTATTACCCTCACTACCATCAGGGTACCTGGGAGCACTTCTGACTCCTGCGAAGTGCTCTTACCTATGATAGATACTGATCCACAGCCATCAGATCAAAGCCAAATGGTCCTTGAGACTACAAAGATGATGAAGATTTCTATAACCCTTCAAACATTTATTCCTTCACTCCATTAGCACTATAAGCTGCAAGCAGCTGTAGCATATTCTCCACTGCAAGAATCACTCTATGCAAAAAATCTTGGCAGGGTGTTAAAGCTGTAAGGAAGGCATCATGGGGAGTGAAACTGCAGAAAACAACACCTTTTTTTTTGTCCCCCTTTGAAGAAAGGTTCTAGAAAGTGTGGTTCCTGCCCTGGTGACCTTGAGAGGTACAGCCAGTAGTGTCTTAGATTCCCAGTCCCACTATTTTTTCCAGGATGTGTTTGCAGCCTTCACACCCTCAATGTGCCCACAAAAGAGTGAGTAAATGGGTCACCTTTTGCTGTAAAGACAGTTTCCAGCTTTCTCTGACCAGAGAACTTTCCATTGAAAGTCTGAGTAGGTATGAAGAGTTTTTGGGGTAAAGGAGGGAGAAAAGCATAAGTAAAAAAGGTTTTTACTCTTACTTCCCACAAATCCTTGCAAAATAGCCTTTAATAGGAAACAGAACAAGAACAAGACACTCAGCTATATAATATCCCAATCACAAACTGTACTGACATCTTAAGCAGAATGAGAGGAGGAAAAAAGCTTTAGGGGATAACAGATAAACAATCACATCAAAAGCACTACTGTGTTAATGAGATGGTTGCTGCTTTCTGTCTTTGAAAAACATAATCTGAAAAAAAAGATTAAAAAGAGGAAAGTGACAAGACGAATACTGGAGATTGAGTGGTTTATAATATAAGGAAAACTACAGATCACAAAATTTTCAGTTAGCTTTCTCATCACATACTGGGAAGAAGAGGCAACCTATTCCCTGGTAAAAATATTATATGCTGTCTTCTTGGAGACAGCTTTTGAACCACATGCTATCACTCTAATTTAAATGAGCTGATTAAAAAAAAAAAAAAAAGCCAGAGAATTGTGGGTTTTAGAAAATGCTTGGGAATAACAAAGTCAGTTTGAAGCCTCTCTGCTTGTTATGTTTACATTCGCCGTGATTCACATCTTAAGATGGTGATTCAGCAGAAGTGGAAGCAGCTTCTTAAGAACACTCTATTCAGCACTGGTTTTGCTTGTATCAGTGGGGCTAGCTCATATGCTGCAAAGGTCACATCGAGAGGCAAGCAATCAAGAGCTTAAAGTAAAGAATGCATACAGCCAGTAGTTGGACAACATAACCACAACCCACACAAAACACATTTGATGTGCAATTTCTTGAAAAAAATCTAAATCAGCTCCTTTGAATAGGCAGCCTTGGCCATCTCTCTATTACATGCACCTTACAGAATTTTTGTTTCATTTTGGAATCTATAACATGGGGTGTTAGAAACAGGGAAATAAGAAACCAAGACAAAAATAAAGCCTTTGGAGCAGTTATCAAGTCTTAACAATGTCAGTCCTAATAGATCAAAGTTTTAATCAAGCAAGACAAAGGGACACTTTACCATAAACCCTGCACTTTATCATGTGTTTCAGCCTTAACCACATCTGCAGTTCCCAATGTCTACATGACCAAGAAACAGTTCACCAGTGTAGTGGTGAACACCCTGTGAAGGTGAGGCTTGGATATCCACCTGCCCAGGAACAGCCTATGCATGTAGCAGTGTGTCCTGAACCAGTCACATCCTGAGCCCTAGCAAGTCACCTGGCACCTCACCTTTGTTCCTTCTGTCAGTAGACACAGTTAAAATCATATCTACAACAAGCAGCTGTAAAATCTCATTTTAATATTACAATGAAAATAGAGATTAACACTATTTTTCCAAATCTCAGACCTAGCACTACTATTTTCTTTCCCACTCAGGTGGAAAAGCTGAACAGAGGTGCACTATCAGCACAAATACATAGATAAAGTGAGCAGTGTTTTGATTTTCTTTAAGTTTCCCAACTCCTTCCTAGGAAGTTAAATGACTAAAGCAGATTTTTTTTTTTTTTTTAAGAATACAGTAGTAATTGGAAAAAAATCAAAGAAAGGACTATTGTGTCATCTGCCTTGACTTTGGAGCAAGGCTCAAAGTAATTTATTTTTCTGCAGAGCACAGAGAGCATTAGGGACTCTAAAGTATTTAAGAAAGAAGAATTGCCATTTCTACGTGTTGTCATTAGAACACTGAACCACTTACGGTTTTGATGGTGGTTTTATCCTACTATCAAAGTATCTTGTGCAAATTTTAATTGGAATAACCCGTGGTTGAACCAGATGAAAGACAAAGGGCATGCTCTTGTAATGCAATAAGAAGGAGACAGCCTCATTTCTAACTCCTCTGGAATTAGATCTATTCTGAATTTATCCAGGGATGTCATGTTTATTTTCTGGACTTAGGAATAATTTTCAGTCTGTCCTTCTGTTGAGTTTGACCTCAAAAGTAAGTTTTGTCTAAGGATCCCAAAAAACTTCTAAAATTAAAGGTTATTCTTTGAATAACTAAAGTTTAATTGAGATGGTTTCTAAAGATTTATCTGCAGTAGTTTAAATTTATTTAATTTTTAATAATTCACATACTGATACATGTTTTGCAGTGTTATCTAGAACAAATTAAATTAAAAAGTGGTCCAGAACTGCTGAAACAATAAAAAAACACAAAACAAACAAACAAAAAGATAAAAAAGGAGAAAAGCAGCCTCTTTAAAGGCAACCTCTTTGATTACATCTGCCCTGCAACCAACTGAAGATAGTCTTTGTGAATAATCACATCTCACAGTTTAAGAAAACATGAATAGAAAGCTGTGAAAATTGGAGTCCATAGGACTACCATGAGAAAAGCTGAAGGGCAGTAACATACAAGAAAACACTCTGAGCATCTCTGAGTATTCTCATAAGGACAAGAGGTACCTGTTCTGACTTACATCTTGACTCATTGAGTAGATATTGAGCAGTGTCAACACTTACAGGATCAAATTCATATTATAGTATTTGGCAAGTCAAACCTCAACCCCAGCATGTGCCATAGGCTGTAAACATCACATTCAAAAGTAACTTTCCTCACATCAAGTTTCTCAAACAGAATCTCCACATTACTTTTATGTTTATGCTTACCTGAATCAGGATTAGTACAGTGATCCAGCATGAATGAAAAAAACTGGGATAGCTGAGTAAGAAAAAGAACAAACACACTGATCAGTTTAGGGGATCCAACAAGCATTAACATTCTCTTTCCTTACTCAGTTACTAGCAATTTCGCATTTAGGGGGATCTGAGACACTACTGTATGTTCCCATAGCATCAGCCTGCAATAATGACACAACTGGTGTCCTATTACAAAAATAGCTCTCTCTCTTTCCTTCTTTGCTATGAATTCACAGATTGACACTATATGAATACATAAAATGTTTCAGGGCTGTATCAGTGCTGCTGACACTTCTGGGTGTAATTCAACTTGCCCATCACCCAGACTATTTGCTTAGACTTACTTCATAGTCAGTAGAAAGCAACTGCTACAGTGCAGTGAACTGACTTTAGACACAGATGCTATGATGAACACAAAGGCCTCAAAGTTCCTAATTTGTTGTATTGACCCTAAAGGAAGCCTGGGCTTACACGCCAAGACACTGTTGCACATTTATTGCCTCACAGACACGGTTAAGATCACTCACAGTGTGGTGACCTGCTATCTCTGGCTACCAGGGCTGCTCTGCAGGGACGTCTAACCTATGGTTGTATGGGCAGAATGTATGTATGTAGTTATGCCTATGTAGTTATACACATATACACACATATGTCTGTGTACACAGAACTTAGTTCACATGTGAAGAGGGAAGTGGTTTTATTAATCAGGATCCAGCTTTGCAGGAAAAAAAATAACCACGCACCCGTTTTATTTGTGCAACCTCAGTGCTTTGGGGATAACATAACTGCTTGTGCAGGAAGAGTGGAAGATTACAAACCTGCAGTTGATCTTGTTCATCAGCATATTCGATTGACCGGAAGATACTCAGAGAATAGCGGCGCCTCATCTCTATCCGGGCCATTGTGGAGCGGTACCAGTTCTGGATGAGGATGGCAGCTTTAATGACTGTCAAAACAGAGGGCAATGCACTATACATGGATGCAGTGTCATCTACAGCTGAAACTCACATGCTGCCTTGGCAGAATTTTGCAGACAGATGACAAATTCAGTCCATTGTGCACAGTCAACAAACAGTAAGAGGAAACCCTGTGAGACTGAAAAGCTGTTTCCTGGTAATATGTGATGCCTTTACTGTTCCTGCCTTCAGACACGGATCCTGAACTAACTGACTTGCTCAGGCCTGTATTGTCACTAAAGCTTCCCCATTTCACTGTCCTGAAGACAGTACCCCTGTAAGAAGTCATTCATTCATGACAGCAGATGGGCAGTATGTGTGTTATGGGAAGGTGAGGAAAGGAAGAAGAGCAGTTTGGCCCACCAACAGAATGTATTTCTCTATCAAAGATGCAGTAAAAAGCTTCAGATTTTGCAAACAGTAACATGAACCACGCAATGACAGCATTTGCAACAGCCTCTTCTACCAGGAAGTGTTTTCCTGCATAGCTCCATCAGCAAGCCATCAAAATTCAAACACTAGGATAAAATGTTAACAAATTATATTGAAGGACAGAATATGTTGCTTAAATAGACAAGCCAAAAGGCATGCAGGTGTATCTTTGGCAAGCTTGGTGAACAAAGGTACACTTCCCAAGAACTCAATGGAATATGTCAGAAGAGCATTTTTGACTATGTGTTGAATACACATTCCACTCAGCACTTTCAGAATTTGTGTCTACTACTGTCTCAGTCTAGAAAACTTCTGGAAGCTTCACTGCAGGACAATCACAAAGACTGCAGCATGAAGGAAGGAGCCTGCTGCCTACAGGCCCCATTCATGCCACAGAGATCACATTCCTTTAGCTGCTCAGATAAAAGTTTATTAACAAATAACAATTTGTGCTAATAGTTTTTCTCCCTGCAAAACAGTAAAGAAAAGCTCTGTACTAGAAGGACAACAGTTTACACTAATCAATTATTTTAACTGATCACAAATAGCAGAATTTTGAGACTAGGATGAAGGGAACCCCTGAGTGAGAATGATTTTTTTCTTAAACTGATAGTTATGCAGGTAAAGAAAAACCTCAGTGGAAAAGTGATTCTATTAATAAATGCATAACGTTAAGGAAGACTTTTTATAAAAATGCTTACATATGCTATAGCAACACATTGTTTGCTTATTTTACCATTAATAAGTATACAGTATAGTTAAAGTGGTAAAGTTCTCTAGTTCAGACAAGACCAAAATCAGTAAAGACTCCCATCCTGTAGATACCACATCCATCCTAGAAAAATCCTCCTACTCGAAGGAAATGTGATCCTTATATGTCTAAGAACATCCTTCATACCCTACATAATTTCTGAGATTTCTTTTATTTTCTATCCTTTCTGAAATCCTCCACCACTATAGACCTGAAAGCCTGACACATCACAACAAGGCTGTCAGCAAGGTTTCTGTTTAGAAGAAAAAGGGGCAAAGCACAGTCATGAGCATAGAAACTGATTTCCAGCATCAGAGCCATTAAACTTCCCATTAAAACCCCCTGTGTTGCTTAATGGTCCTGAGCACTTAACATGGCACAAATTCCACTGGTATCACATAACACAGAGACATATCAGTCACTGCGGTTAATGTTGCAAGTCTAACAGAATATTTCCTGTCTTTTTTTTTTTTTTTTAATTGTACTTATTACAGAGCTGGAATTTTCAGGACAGAATCAGAAAATAATTTTCACACATGGCTAAACTGCATCTGTAAAAAAATGTGTTGTCGGTTGCAGAAGGTCTCTACACCAGCAAGTACCTCTTAAATTCATGTTATTAATGCATTAGAGGGTTGTACAGCCTCAGGCTGCAGAGAGAATAATGGTTCATCATCACTTGACTACTGCTGAAGTATAGAAGGAAAACCATTCAGCAAGTGAGAAGACAAAACACTGCCCAACAAGCACACTAAATCATAAGCCAGCATTGGGCTAATCAAGTCTGCCCCACATCCATGTGTGTTGATAGCTGTAGACTGAGAAAGAGTACATTTCTCACATCCACTCCAAGCTTATACGTCTCAGAAATATTCCCAACTAGCTCACTCCCCTAGGCCTTGCAAGGCACACATATGCATAGCATGCAAACCCAAAGAGGAAGGGCTGCCTCCCAGTTACAGCTAAGTCTGGGACTCCAGATGCTTCCATTCTACTTTCACATAGCATAGAAGCTGCTGTGACCACCGAGTAGCATCCACAAAGCTGAGGGCTACTCTTAAACCACTCAGCCTGGATCCCTGTAGCCATGACTAAGAGCTCCCTACTTCGTAGACACCAGTTTACTGGGACTGCCTGTGCAGAGCCTGATGTGTTCATTCCAGGGTGGGGTATTGTTAAAAGCAGGAGGAGGATGCATAGTTTAGTTGAACATTTAACCAGGTACTGTGGGGACTTTCAACTGACAGCCTCAGTAATTGCCAGGGAGAATGACAGGCCAGGTACTTGGTAGGCCAGAAAACTGATTCTGACAGTCACTGCAATAGCTCTGCTTTCTCACACTTCTTTCATATTCGGGGTCACCCAACACCAGAGAAATCGGGGCAATTTGCCCAGGAATCCTGTGGTGTGAAAGGCCATAAAAGATCCCCCTCAAAACCTTAGCCTCTAAGCTTTGCCATATGACACATACAAGCACAGACACATCTGAAATTTAGCTTCTGTCCCAGATGCTGTGACTCTTTTACAACCCAATCTGCTGATGTTAGAGGTGGTCTGAAGTTGCCTTCCGACCTCAGCCAGCATCTAAAATCTGTGCAATCTTTTACAAAGAAAATAATTTTCTCTGAATGAGTATTCTGACAACACAATTGTGGGGAAATGTTACCCTATAATCCTCTTCTGGTGTTACAGAGAGAACAACCACTTGCCCTGAAGACAAAGGCAACACTCACCTCTCTCTGACTTTCTGTCAGGTACAGATCTGTTGCACCCCATGGTTCCAGTGCTGCTGCCTATCCGTTTTAATTGCCGCTGATATGGAGCATGTTCCTCTCAGCTGTTAGCATTACACACATTTCCTGGGCTGGTCCTTCAGTGATGAGGACTGTACCCCTCTGGGTTCCTCAGCTCTTCCTAGCACTCCTGCCAGGGAGGAGATATTGGGAGGGAGGGACAAGGAGAAAAAAACAAAAGTGTTTGACAACACAGAATCTGAAATACCTACATCACAATGGTACAGCACATCCTACACAAACTGGACCTGATGAGCTATACCAGGTTTCTTTTCCACATCTGATTACTATCAGCTTCCATTCAAAAGAATTTGACTCACTAAGTAATACAGTTTACTTCTTACATGTTAGCTTAAGGTTAACGTGTTAGCTAAAAAATGCACCAGTGATTTCTTAATCAGAATAGCTACTTAAAGCCTTACTACTAGGGATAAGGGACTACAGAGTTATGTTACTCCTAATTATTGTGATTTGAAAATTGGAACTGCAGAATTTTAAAGACTCTAAATTATGTCTGATTACATGTGATACTGCTAAAAAACCCCCAACCCTCAGGCCTCCTAACACTATGGATTTTAAAAGGTGCCCTACCACCTCATTTATCACTTTATCACTCAGTGTCACCACAAACAAATTTACCAGGAGAAACAGTGCCATAACAAATCACTTCATTATCAGATTTCATTTAAATAAACCATTCTATTTTCTGTTTCTTTTCTACTGAAACAATTCAAAGAAAAGATTTTGTTTCATTAAATAAATGAACAAAGTATATTTTTTAGTGAAGTCTTTTGGGTTTTTGCCCCGGCACTTGTTCAGCTCTTCACTAAGTAGTATCATTCACTAATGCAATACATTCCCTAATCAACAAGTTCAAATGAATACAATTCCCCTGAGATACCAAATGGATCAGTTTCTAAGTAGCAAGAAAGTCACTGATGCTCTGAGATACTGAACTTTGTTTCAGCTAAAGATTTCTTACGTGATCACAGTTCCCCCTCTCTCTGTCTCCAAGGATACATGTCTGATATCTGAATTATTCCATTTGCTGTTTTGTTTCATTGATATTCCTTTTAACTTGAGGTTTAAAACAAAGAAGAAATTCATCAGCATAAAATGAATGCTTAACTACTATTTTCCTTTGGCTTTACTAGCAGAAATAAAATGAACAGGAGGATACAAGACAAAAATATCATAAATGTATAACTAAATGATCTTCAATTTCAATAATTAGAAAACATTTATAGCTGTGGGACTATATGTGTAGTTTTCTACATTCATTTTTATGTATGATATCCTGTCACGTCATGTCATTTCACGTTAATATCACACAAGTCTTTACAGGTCTGGGGCTATTTTTCTGGGTCCCACAACACAAGGGTATCCTACACTTGAGCTGACACCTACACTTGAGGGTCTGACACCTTATGAGTCATTAATTATTTCAGAAAAGAAGGATTTTAAGCTTTTTCCCCACAATGGACTGTTTTACTTCCCTCTGAAGGAGCTATCATGAAATACGAAGAAGCGCTGTTATATTTATTTTGAGCCAATCAATCAATGCCTTTGGCAGCATCAAATACAGCACTGGCTTTGCTTAAAGCTCAAATTTGTTTTATCTCCAAACAGTTATTTCTCTCCTGTATACCACCTCCTCACTTGTCCTCCTAGGAGAATCTCGTCTTCATTAGGCCATCAAACAAGCCAGCCATGACTTGAATTGTGATCAGAAGAACAGGACTGACAGCAAAATAGAACTTACAGTCCAAATCCTACTGCAGCGAGACTGTCTTGATTAAAGGGCAATGCAACTGGGCAATGGGAGCCCCAAACAACACCGTCATTCCTCGCCTCCTGAGAGGAATGATGGTTCTCTTTGTGGCTTTCAGTAATGTAAGCTTTTCTCCCAGTCATTCCCACTCCTTCCTTCACATACCTCTAAACTCGCAGACTTCTAGCACCTCCTTGAGCAAAGAAATAAAAAGATAGAGACACAGGGACAAAAATTTTATTGTGATAGCAGTAAGTGAAGACTGAAACATACTCCTCAGAGCTTGGAGGAAAACTTGCACAAACATATCCTATCATTAAACCTCTTAAAGAGGCCAAATCTGGCCATCAGTGATTACTCCAGGGGAGTAATCATCACCTTCAGTCCCAAATATCTGCATTCGAATATGGACATAGCAAACATTCAACTACCTTTTCCTGATGGCTTTTCAGCTGGCTACAGAGACATCCTGGTTGCCAACCTGCATGCCCAGACTCCAGGCCATGAGAGTAATTTCTATGACCTACTTACTATGCAGTGTAACGGTGTCTGGCGAAGAATCATTTGCCATTACAAAATTCCCCCCAAAATGTTGGCTGATGAAATGGAAAGCTGGGATTTTACCAAGGTATTGAAAGAGACACAAGGTAGATGGATGAGAATTTGGGACACAATGCTATGCTAACATTCTGAACACTATACCACTGATTTACCTTTAAGAAAGAATCTGTCATGTTGACTAAAAAGCAGGCAGTAATTCAATTTCTACAAGCCAGTGATCTGTCCCAGTTTTAGACATAACTTCAAGAAATTGCTACATTTCTCTCAGTTCAGCAAAAAGGCAATTTTGTGATGGACAGGTTCAGAATACACAGCCCATTCACTGAAGCAAAATGAAGTGTCTTTGCAATCATGCCAATAGACATGCATAAAGCTAAGCCAGAGTGACACATGCTGCTCTTTTCTGGATAGGAGTTACTGAAGTTGTGCTCAGAAATTTGGGGTTCAGAACCCAAGCTGTTGAGAGCCTGAATTACAGAGATAATGAACCAGCATCATTTGATCCAGATGTAACAGGTGTTGCCCAAAATCAATCCATGCCTCCAGTTTGTCAGTCACGTAAACACCAGGCTGCCTCAAGAATAATGGGAATCTTGTAAAGATCTATAGCTGACTTTTAATGAAATCAGACAGCAGGTCCTTTGGGCAGAGAGCCATCCTTTCAAGCATACCTTATCTTCTGAATTAGATGAGCTCTGCCACTGGCAGGCAAGTATAAGCTAGGTCAAGCCTGAGGATATGAGAGACATATGAGTAAGAGCCACTAGATTTTAAGTTCTTATTCATACATATTTCCATTTGTTTCTTACCTTTGATAAATAAAAATGAAAGACTTCTCTTTTTATTTTGGTTGGAATGGAGTTTCTGTAATTATGCTACTTCCCCTACAAGTTGTTTCAATGCCTATTTCCAGCAATGTGCCTCCTTGCACTACTCACCCCTTTCTCAAGCATATTTGTGAACAGGTAGCTATGATCTCCTCCCATAACATGTCTTAGAAGGTACACAGAGTTGGAGAGGTGCTGAGACAGGGGCAGTTTCCTGCATAAAGATCAGACGGATGGGATGGGTGGATGCTTCCAATGACAGAGGCTTTCCTTTGACGCCATCTTATCCATTGTTTAGTTTACTGTGACTTGCAGATTTCCTTTAGAATTGTTTTCCTTTGGAAACGAGGACTGCAGAGAACTGAGAGATGCTACAACATGGTTTTGTGATGGATTTGCTTCTGTGTATTGCTGAGGGAATGAAGCTGGAAAAGAAAGAGCAAAACACCCTAGCGAGAAGAACGTAGATATTAAATGACAACACCCAGGTTAGGACCTGGAGAAGGACAACTCTTCCAAACTGTCTTGTTATGATTATCAAGGATGGGAATCTAGAGATGAGTTAAAGATTTCATTAGTTAAAAGACCCATCCTGTGGAAAGTGGGATGAAGCTGCCACTGTAAACTAACAGAATTAAATGGAGCCTGGCTATGGCACAAGAGCTATAATGTTGACATCTACACTGAATTTGGTCTGCCAAAGGGCTGATATGGGAACATCAAACATAGGCAAATCAATATGTGCTTAGGTTTCCATTATTTTACATCCATGGGACAAACTAAGAGGGACTTCCAGTGATTATATATATCTGAAAGAAAGAAACAAGAAAGCCTTTTTGTTAACAGCTAATTTCTTCAGCCTGCTCAGAGAAGCAAGGCTAATCTTAATATAGAACTGATGGAATGATTTCTGTCAAGAGGCCATGTTGATAGACCTCAGTGTTGGGGCCAGGAATCAATAGGGAATTGGACGAAGTAACATACAGAAGAGTCAGCAAAGCCTGGAAGTGAATAGGATGGAGACAGACCAAGTTTTTAAGGTGGACTCATACTCCTGAACCAAAAAACGCACTGCAAAAAGAAATAAAAGCAAGAGCAGCAAAGGTGTGAACATGCAGAGATTGTTCAAGCAATTCTTGAGTTCAGGAACTGCATGCAAATCCAAAGAGAATCTGTAGAAAAAGGATGGAAGAATGCCAGTTGATGTTATTTATAATCAAAAAGGATACATTTACACAAAACATTTTCACTGTTTTGTGCAGAAAATAACCAAGCAAAGCAAGCAGCCTCATTTTTTTTTGTGCAAGACTTTGAGCAGAATGTTTTCTACAAAGGGGCAGAGTATCAAATACAAGTGTACAAATGGGGTGCAGATCACCTTGAAGAATCAGCAAAGCCATAATACCACTTTCCAGAAATTTTAAATGTTTTTAGGGGGAGATTCCTCTAGGATACAAGGAGAAAACTGAAAATCCTGAAGCAAAGTTGGTTCTAGTAAACTGGATCCAACTGGAGCATAAAAGTTAAGACACTTTAAGCAAAAAATCTGGATCACACACTGTCCTGCAGTTAATGAGCAGGGTCTTAATGACATCCTAAAAAAGCAAAGCTTCAAAATAAGTACGTGTTGAAATATGAGCCACTTTAAAAATTAAATTCATGCTTTAGTATGGTTTTAATAAAGTTTAAGTTAAGCAGCAGAACAAGGTTAAAAAATACCATCATAAAAATTACTTTTCCTAAAACAAAGAGTACATGGAATATTGTAGTCTCAAAACTGTGTGATCTCACCTGTACGCAGAAGTTCCGGATAACTGATTTGGTCCTGGTCAAACTTAA